ACGGGCAAAAAAAGTGTTTTCCTTTATTCTGACACGCATTGCCTAACAAGTGAGCTCTCCTTTTTGTCGACGCCATCTGTCCATATTTTTGTTAAAAAATGGTACAAAAATTGTACTAAAGTTTGTGTATCTCTTAATGTAGTTAAATTCATAGAATATGTTTTCATTTAAACTTTTTAAAATTAAATTAAATTAAACTTTTTTAAAGCATATTTATAGAAAATAATTGTAACTTGCTAACTACAATAGACTTTTCTACTTTAATTTTAATTTATTTTAATGGCATCTGACAATTGTTATCCTACCTCTATAAATACCAGCAGGTGTTAGAATAGAAATCGATACACTTATACCAGAATAAATCTGAAACAGATCTGTAATAATAGATTGTGAAACAATAACTTCCCTATACAAATTGCAAAGTAAGATTTAACAATAAACAAATTAAAATGTATAAATATAAATGTGTACGTTACCTGTTAAATAAACCACATTTTCAAACTGATGTAAAATATAAACTTCTGTCGACTTTTCCATAGGTTCCCTATGACGTGGTATCATTAAGAAATTGTTTAGATGTATTTCTTATATAGAAATATATTATTATGTGTTTATTTCGTCATCCGTTTCCCCAACGTTCACCCTTTTTATTATAAAGGCATATCTATTTTCCACCCATTACTCGTTTGTGAGTTCCTTGAGTTCTACGTCTACTTATATTTAACACTAGCGGGGATAGCCCGGCCTTGCCGTGGCACTTATGTTATAAAATCAATGTTCTCGAATAACTTTGAAAATGAGCGGACCGTAAAGAAACTACTTTCATACAAACGTTTTCCGTTATTTTACCACTGTTTCGAGTGGAATTTCCCAAATCGCTGAAACACGTATTCATTATATTCTTATATAGATCTTTGAAAATAAGTTTGATGCAAGTCGGACACAGCTTAGAATTCTCAAAAAATTACTTTAAAATGCACTTTCCACCGAAGGAGCTACGATTTTGCAAAAAATGTGAAACAGGCCACAAATGATTTTTTATGTAGATCCATGCAAATGAATTTGAAGGCAAAAGGCCATCCACCAAATCTTTGACTCCCATTTCCACCAAGGAGGAATCGATTTTTCGAAAAGATTGAAACACCACTCTAATGAAATTTAGCAATGATCTTTGAAAATAAGTTTGAGGCCGATCCGATTAACTAAAAAGTTTAATAGCAACATTTGTCGTTAATTAACCACTGTTGTGGGTGGAATTTTCCAAATTCCTGAAACATGTATTCATTAAGTTCTTATGTAGAGCTTTAAAAATAAGTCTGAAGCAAATCGGACACCCCTTACAACTTCGCCCAAAGAATCTTTGAATCGTATTTCTACCGAAGGAGTTTAGATTTTGCGAAAAATGTGAAACAAGTCTGTTACATTTTTTCATATAAACTTTGAAAATGAATTTCAGCGCGAAACGTCACCCACTAAATCTTTGACCCCCATTTTCACCAAGGAGGAATACATTATTGGAAAAGTGTGAAACACCCCTCAAATGAATTTGAACAAAAAACTTTGAAATTGAGTTTGACGCCAATCGGATGGTAAACAAAAAAGTTTCATACAAACGTTTTTGAAGATTTTTCCACACTTGCGGGTGGAATTTCCCGAAACCCCGTCTTCACGTGCACCTTCATCACATAATTTAACTACAGTGAAAATTTCAGCTTCCTACCTCTTACGATTTGGGCTGTACGTTGATCAACAATCAGGCGTCAGTCAATCAGGACAAACAGTTTTATATATAGAGGTGTATATTTGAAAATTAGTTTTAAATGCATCCAATGAAAAACAAAAAGACTAGAATCGAATTTGGCTATTCCACTTTTGAGCTATCTGTGTTCCCCTTTACTTGTTAATTTTAAAAGCAATAAAAGTTAGAGAAATTATATTTGAAGGCAGGGGGCTTTTTCCTCGGAAACATTAAAATATAAATCACATTTTCTCTTAGTATTGCGAGGACATAAGTGAATAGTAATTAAAAAAAGAACCTTGTTTTTTCACATTTAAAGTTAGACTCTTAATATTTGTATATAGGTTCTTCATATGGGTAAAAGAAATCTAGCTTTGCGGTAAGAAAAAGTTGGTTAGGCTTTACATATTTATATTTTCGTTATTTGCAGGTTTACAAACAAATCTAACCACCATTTACCTTTACATGTCAAATTTATATTACGTTAAATACAATAGGTTATTTAATGTTTGACATTTCGGAAAAATAAAAGATAACTTGAGTATCGATACTTTAAAACAATAGCTATCTGCGCTTATTGGAATTTAATTATAATTGTCAACAAGTAAAATATGGCAGGAAAATAAAATACACTATTTTATACCCTGAACCCATTGAAAATGGGCAAATAGGTGTCCGAATGTATGTAACAGGCAGACGGTAGCATCTCCGATCACATAAAGTACATATTATATTATTATATATTTAGACATGTCCGTCTGCCTGTTCTTCCGTCTATCCGTATGTATGACCACAAGGATATGAGAACCTATAATATTAGCTGTTTGAGTTTGTTTCCGATACTCGATAACTTACTCCGTTTCCAAGCAATCGATAATAATCGATATCGAAGTCCCTAGAGAAACGAAAAGTTATATGTGTATAGTGTATATGTATATATCAAGTATCTTTCATTTTATACCTATCGCTACTACGTTACTAAGTTAATAAACCATTTTATGCTGAAATTGAAATGCAATTCACATTTTATAATACATGAATTTTCTATGGTGCAATAAGATGCAGAAAATTTCATCAATGTCGGTTTAAAAAACACAAAAGTTATTAAATAAACATGTTTTTGCTGGTCTCGAGTTTGGCGCAGCAAGCGCAAGTTGCAGGACACTCACACACACACATGTTCGTGTGCATTTTTTTTTAATTCTATAAACAGCTTTGCAATTGCGATTGTTCTGTTTTCCGTGCTGCTTTTTTAATTCGTTGTTTTCTCATTAAGATTTAATTATTGTCGTGGATGTCGATTAGAGGCGGCGGTAAGTGCAGCGCTCTGTTGCGAATTCGAGCAATGGGGAAAAAACTACTCATTTTTGGCGTAAAGTCGGCAACAAGTAATGCGGTCAGTTGCAAGTTCGAATCCAGCCAAGGAAAAATTTTTTTTAATTTATCTTTATTTTTACAAACGAGCGTCGCGCGAACTGAATTTTGTGTTGGAAGAATAGGCTTCAGTGTATCCCCTAGTCGGGAGCTCCCTACTAGAACCTCTCACTTGTTTGGTCCTTATTACTTACTTACGAACTCAATAACAATTGTGATAAAGTTCGTAATTTCTGAATTTGGTTAGAATACATTGAAAAACAAATTTGTTATACACAAATTTTGATTTTTCCGATTGTAGATATGTTAGCTTTATGAAACAGTGATCCAATCCGACCAACCTCAACATATGTATCGACTGATGTCTGTTAAGAGAAATTGAATTTTTACTACGGTAATATTTAAAAATTAGGCCATCGGAAATTGCACTTTTGAATTAATTTTTATTTTTTTGTTACAAAAGTATATTTTTACAATCTTGGGCAAGTGTCTGAAATTGCCCATATGTAAGCTAAGAATACTTATTCACACATATCATAATTCGCCGGGGGGACAAATCATTAGTAAAGCGTAAAAATAGTTATGTTGTCATAATATGACTCATACTATGAAGATAGCCAGGCTCTGTGGTAATAATTTGTTGTATCCTGTGACGCTTTGCAATAAAATAAATTATAACATGTAAGCGTGTCCATAGAAAATGGAAATTAAAAGCGGATTATTCAATTCAGCAGTAATGGATAAATACGTTATATATACTTGTTTCTTACCAATGAATGTAAATATTATTTAATTGGTTTTTGTTTTGCATGCGTATCTCTAAATAAATTAGAATTGTTTGTTGGGAGCTTTAAGAAAATTAGCCAATAATGTTAAGCAAATAATTATATGTAACAAGCATAAAGAGTCATTTTCCATAAGCCTCAACAACCATAAGCCATAAGCATAAACAACCAATCCAAGATTGCCTCAGTTTTCCCCAATGCAAAAATGAAATGCCATTGGAGTGGAGGCTCTTACCCCTTCGCAATTTTGTAGTATTTCATCGGGTAAGTTGTAATTCGCATGTTACATTTATAATCAAGTTAGAGTGTACGATGATTTATTCAAATTACAAGCATAAATTTAATATTGTCAATGTACTTTGTTTAATATATTTGCTACAATTTAAATGTACTTAAAAACATGTGTATAAAATCAGAAAGAGTCATCTCCGTTCAGCATAAACACTCAGTTGAAGATCGCTTGAGTTTTGCCGAGATGAAAAAACTAATTGCCTATAGAGAGGATGCTTTATTAGCCTTAGCACTTTTGTAGCATATATAAGCAGATACGATTTGAATCGAATCTTAAATTTATTATTATGTTGAAATGTTGGAGCGAACATGTTTTTATGAATTTTATTTGCCTAATATACCAAATAGAATTAAAATATAAGCAGCTAAATTTATTCCAGACATTGCATCAGAAAAAATACGCATGCGCGTAAATATATATACCTTTCGTGAATTCCTTTAACCTACGTTCCACAGTGTATTTTCCATTATTACAGACATTACAGAAATTTACGTCAATCCATACGCTAAGTTATCTTTTTCCTACAGAACAATAATTTTTTGCTAACAATCTTAAAAGTACCTTACAGAGCTTATTATTAAAATGCGTTCTAAAAGATATTACTATAAACGTAAATATGTGTACATAAACATTTTAAAGCACACATGCAAATATTATTTTAAAATACAACGTATTTTTCCTTGTGGCGAATTTTTGAAAGGTAAATACGAGACTACAATCGCGATAGAAGGATTAACACCAGGCTATACTGTACTGTATAATCTAAAATAGGCAATACAGATACATATATAGCACATATATATAAACGGGTCCCACATATTGGAAACTGTTGCGGTATGCCGCTTACACAGCAAATACAATTTCCCCCACATACGCACACTGGGAGACGTAAAGAACACTCGTAGCATGTATCTTTCGTGTTCAAAGGCACACTTACAGATACATATATTCTCTCTGTTGTGTTACGGTTGTCAAAGCAGACGGCAGTTTTGGAAGAGCTCTGAACCAATGCAGTCGCGTCTAAAATTTCGGCTAAGTCGATGTGGCATTTAAAAAATCGTTAGGCGAACACATAGAGTTGATCATATGTATATTTACTTAATGGAAAGGTTTAATTATAATTAAAATATCCCCTGTGAAACAAAATAATACCAACATTGCTCTGAGAAGCACCAAACAAAATACGCTGCACTCAAGAGTTAAATATTTATAAAAACTTACCAGTGACCTACACAGGAAATGTTTAAATTGCAAAATGTGAAATAATATTTTGAATGATACCGAGTAGACTTCACATGAAACGGATGCCTAACAATAAAAATGTACCAAATGAGAAATTTCGTAAATACCTGTGCGTATAAGTTATCCTGTATGAACTACATATAAATCAAGCATTACATTACCATCGCGTCTCGAGAACATTTAGTTAAATGTGTACTTGGCTACACACAGATATCCTCTGTAATGTATCTGGGGTAAAACTATTGCTAGTGCAATGTTAGTGCATTGAATATGTACATATGCACATACATATCATGTACATATAGGGAAATGCTGATAATAATAATGGAAAAAAGCTATTACAATTAACACAGTAAAATTAACATAAGTGAAAATATCCAACGAGAAATGTTAAATAAATAATAAACGCTACAAGTTGCCAAGGTAATGCTTTAATTTTATAATTATAATTAATAGGTTAACACATTGGTTAGACTATAGGCTAATTTCAATGTCTTCAAGTCTCCTTGAATTGTTGACAAAACTCGAGTAATATATATAAAAGAAGCTTTAAGCCAATATGAATGCCTAACAAATTATATTCGAACTTGCCAAAAGTTGACAACATTTTCAAAACAAAAATGACCAAATTATAAGTAGAGCAAAAACGCATTTAATAATATCTTTTTATCCGCCAAATAGAACTCATATTGTAGAAATAAAAACTGATGTTCCAACAGCTGTTGTAGAAGCTATCATTGACAGCTGGCCATTTTAATAGCATTTTAATGCTCAGATTCAACCCAAATAAAGTGCCTTCTTATTTTTGCAACTAATTTTTTATAAGTATGCGTATACACACATATACAGACAATCAATTTTGATACACATGAGTATATATACATAAATAAAAATATATATATGTATCGTTCTTTTTCGCTGGAATTACGTGTTTGCATAAAAATATCCATTAGAAGCTTATAATGTAATAAATGTTTTTTTTTTATTCGTTTTTTTTTTTTTTTTTTTTTGAGTTAGGTAATAAGGGAATGACGCCAGCTTCACTCTGCCCTGCCTTTGAAAGTAAAATGACAGATAAAGTTGTAGATATGTATACAACAAAAACGAAAGGGAAAATTTTCCTAACTAATACATGACCTTATGCACACGTATGTATATATGTATATACATATGCCGTGCACTTTATGGGTGCTAGATTTAAAGTTGTTTTCTAAGTGGTGTGACTATTCTATTGAAAATCTTTATATATTGATCGATTTGAGACAATCGATTTTGTATTATAAGCACATTTTGAAAAATTGTAATTCGTGCGTATTTTTATAATTGAAAGAGATTTATAACTTACAAAAACAGAAATTGCTTATTACTACCATTCTATTTTACACCCAATTTATCTTCCATAATAACCAAATTTATATAGAGCAAACAAAATATAAAGATGAAATACGCAGTATGCATATGTGTAAAAATGAGGGTTTATAAATAATTGCATTAGGAAATCGCTTGATTTGTTATCATATGTGCGATAAGAAATTTTATGACAATGAATACTTTGTGGCATACACGTATATGTTCCTACATATGTACATATGTATATAGGCTCTATTCAAGAGTTATGATAGATCGACTTAAGTTTATAAACTCTTTAAACAAAGCAGAGCAGAGGATAGAGTATATGGGCGTAGGTAATACAATGTCAAATTCGCTAACGGCAATCCTTACGCTTACATAAGGTTCTCTCTTTATATACTTACGAACGCCGCTTTGTCTATATCACTTTTGGTTTTAATTTGCTTATCACACACCTATGTGTACATATGTATATAAGTATATACGCAATATCAATCTGCGACAGCCACGGCATTTGGTAAACGCTATCAGACGAAAAATAAATAATGCTTAATTCCACATTATTGTTATTGGCAGCGTGGAAAACGGTCGATTTAAGGCAGACCGAGTTCTGTTTCATTCGTCCATCAGTTTACTTTTATTGGTCGGTTACACCCCAGAGGCCCCCGAAAACTCATGCATTGTACATATGCCTGAAAAAAAGAGTCGAAATTTCCCTTTATACGTTTTTTGAGTTTATGGCCAAACGGCTTATTTCAGTGTTAGAGTTTTTGGTTGTGATAATTAATCGGCTTCACTTTTAATAAATATTATAAAATAACTACAATTCTACAGTTTCTTTGTGATTAAATTTAAATTTACAAAATTCAGTTTAGTAAATTTATTTACAGTTGGCGCATCGAACATGTCACCAATAAAAATATGTCAATATTAAATAATTATATCACGACTCGTTCGACAAAATATTTAGTGTATAACATTGGCTTAATGTCAACGTAACTTATTTCTTATTATGTCTCTGTACTGAAAATGTTATAACGATCGTATATAAATTGTTGTTCTGCTAGTAGTAAGGTGTAGTAGTAAAGAATGCAATTGTAAAACTGGTTCACAAATTAAAAATAAAAAAAATGAATGAAGAAAAAAAAAAACAAAATAAATGTGCACATAATATAACTTATACTTTTTTTTATCATCGCAGGGAATCGTTTGAAGATAAAAAAAAAATAACCAACATGAAAAATGATGATGCCAAAGTATTCAAATTTCAATGGCGACTTAAAGTTATCGGGTATAAAAATCTACAAAATCTAACAATGACTGTAAAGCTTGAACTATGTCAATTCAACAATAATACATACTGTTGACTCTGATACAGCATATATGGCTCTCCATTCACAGTTGGAGTATCAAAACATTTTAATTACACCTCTGATGTATGTGGCCACTACATTCCTTGCCACAAGCGGCGTTATTGGATTGCAGCACAACGTTTCTATTGGTTACGATAACTTTCTAGAAACATGGAGTATTGGCAATTGGAGTTTGTCACCAACGTCATATACATCTGGCATCCCATCGTTGCAGTCAAAACTAAATGAGTCTGGAAATTTCGGAGATTCAGTGCCTACCCTAACACTTTTCAATTACTACAATGAATCTGCGACGGCGACGGCCGAATGGGCCCACTTCTACGATCTCATTCTTTCGTGGCAGGGCATTTGCTTGATTGCTGTGTTCTGCACGTTTATCATTGTCACCGTTATTGGCAATACACTCATTATATTAGCTGTTTTGACCACTCGAAGACTTCGAACGGTTACAAACTGTTTTGTTATGAGTTTAGCGATAGCTGATTTACTTGTAGGGATTTTCGTTATGCCGCCAGCAGTAGCTGTACATCTAATTGGTAAGCAAATTTACCAATCGAGTACAACATGCATTTATTCAAACGAAGATTAAAATGCATGTTGATGTATAAAAGTTATCGTTAAACTAAAGTTTTTGCTAAGCTTAATCCGTTGATCATTTCAGGTTCCTGGCAACTCGGCTGGGTACTCTGCGATATTTGGATATCCTTTGATGTCTTGCTATGTACAGCATCTATTTTGAGTCTGTGCGCCATCAGTGTTGATAGGTATTTGAGTTTAACATAACAAGGCTAATTTGTTAACAACAAAATTTTACTTTTTAGATACCTTGCTGTTACACAGCCACTTACTTATTCTCGGAAACGGCGTTCTAAGCGCCTCGCGCTTTTAATGATTCTTATCGTTTGGATCCTGGCATTAGCAATTACTTGTCCTCCCATGTTAGGATGGTAAGTAAATAACAACTATGTAACTAAAACAAAATATTGAAAAGAAAAATAATCGGATATGCATACTAACAGCTACGAAACGTTTGACCATTTGTATGTGTTTACCAATTACATATTCATGGAAAGTGATTAAAGCACGTCAGATATTTACTTTTCATAAATTTATTGTTCATCAAAATGTACCCAACTTCACTAATAATCAATGATTCGTTACATATTCATAACTTCGTATGTAACATTCATAACTTTTTACATAGGTATGAACCTGGACGACGAGACCTAAGAGAGTGTCGTTACAACCAAAATGAAGGATATGTAATTTTCTCAGCGATGGGTTCATTTTTTATACCAATGGCTGTTATGATTTATGTTTATGCAAAGATTTCTTGTGTAATTGCAAAGAGACACGACAATATGACTGACATTAATGTCCATAACAAGGTAAGCATTAAACGGAACATAACAAAAAATTGATAAGTAGTGTTAAAGTAGAATTCATTCAATAATTATAATATTTTTATAAATAAATTGTATGTATATGTTTTCACCAATGCCATAAAATATCCGTTGCATATACAAAATGAATTATAAGATAACAAGCAAAACGCTCTATTTACATAGAGAAAACAAATTTTCAAATATATATATCTCATACACAGAAATTTAAACGGTATACCGCCGCCGACGTTGAAAATGAATTCTCCGAGCAGGAACATAGTACGGGCTACAAAAGCAAACAGGCTGCTGCGCAAACATTCTTCAACCAAACAATATCTAAGGATCTACATGAAATTGTACTTAGCGATAGCGACAATCTTGGAGTAGCAACATCAGGTGGAGCTAATGCTGGAAATTGCCAGACCTTGCTGGCTCTGCCATCAACCAATAGTGCTAGTGGAAAAAACAGTTGCTATGAATTAACTCGACCATCTTCATTGTCTCTGAAACGGACGTCTACCGCTTCTACGACTATAACCACAATGGCAAGCGGTGTAGGTCCCAGCAGTAGTTTATTAGATGCGCCATGGCAAGCCCAGCCACAACAACAACCGCCAACTCATACCTTTCGGCATTCGCATCTGAGTGTGGGTGGTGGAGACAGGCTGCGTGGCCACCATCATCATTCGTCTGCAGGATCAGGAACGGCTGATGTATCCACCACTACTTCAACCAATATTAAATCTCTGTCGAACCGCATAACATCCCTGAAAAAGGAAAACAAAACAACCCAAACACTAAGCATTGTCGTTGGTGGTTTTATCGCCTGCTGGCTCCCGTTTTTTGTCTACTATCTTATAACACCGTTTCTGGCCGAGCACCAGGTCAGTGGCACGTTGGCCAAGGCTCTTACCTGGCTCGGTTGGTTCAATAGCGCAATCAATCCTTTTATCTACGCATTTTACAGTGTCGACTTTCGTGCCGCCTTTTGGCGCTTAACCTGTAAACGATTTTTTAGTGACGACCAAAAGCCACAATTTCCCACAAACACAATGTCTATTAGGCGATAGTCGTGGCGTGTCGCCACCTTACATTCCTCCCATACACCCACAATAATGATGATATTAGGGATAGGGCTTGGCGACATGGCAACATTTCCTACAATATTGCTTTTAGATTATATATGTATATCTAGAAATTGCTAAAGACAAAAAATATTTAAAATTATATTTATGGATCCCAGCTGGTTTGTTGAAGTTTTATTCAAAGAATATTATTTATATAATTATATGATGCTATATGAAACAAGTATTAGCCAGTTTTCATTTAAGATTAGCATATAGACATATACACACATGCATGTTTCACTCTAAAGATGAGCATACGAATAAGCACTTGGTGCAACTGTGCCTACGTCGATAATCAACAAGACAAACCAAATTTTAGACAAAGGTCATTAATTATATTTTTGGTTTATACGTACATATTATACATAAAAAGAGATGTATATATTTTATAAATAGTAGTACCTATACACTTTTTGATATCTTACCAACCTTTTAATGAGATTTTCCTTACAACATCAACTTCCACAAGAAACATAGTAGTATTGTTCTTTGTATATATAATAGTTGAAAATAAATATATACACGCATTACATTATAATTGTGATTTACACCTTATTAAACCAATTAACATTTAAAATTTAGATGTAGTGACATTTCTTAGATGAATGCCGAAAAGAAACCAAAAAATCCAGTCAATTGTGAATAAGTAGAAGTAATCTTGGCAGCTATATTCGTAGTAAAAATTAAATCTGTAGATATACAGTATGTCAATACAATTTAAGAAATTCAAAAATGAAATTTCTGCTCACTGACAACTGAATATCATTTTCATAATATTTCTTATAAAATACCCAGAAACATACTAAACAAACGGATAAGAGCTACAAATCGGACGAAACTAAAAACCTCGCCTTTACAACTTCCGACTCGCATTAATCATCAAAAAAGTCAAATTAATTTTCATTAAAATAATTTTGGTAAGCCCCTATTACGGGGTGGAATTTTCAAAACCGCTGAATCACGTCTTCATTGACTTTTTTCATAAAGATTTTTGAAAATAAATTCAAACGCGTAACTTCATCCACCATACCCCCACTTATATACACCCCTTAAATTGCAATTTTTCACAAAAGTAATGTATCAATTCTAAATTTAATTAAATATTTTCTAACTTCTTCATGTTGACTAGAATATTAGTTTGATCAAGGTATTTAACATACAACATGATAACCAAAAATGTACATATATTTTTACAAGGACCAGAAATGTCTCCCTTAGCCTTATTTGAATAATTATACTTATGCATTCGCCAATCTGGGTAAGAAAAATCTCGGAGCCGAGCACCATTCTTAATTTTAGGGATAACAGTGATATATTCTTTGTATTCTATACAATAATTAAAATGCCTAATTTGATTTCTGTATGTCGTATACTTTACATCGGTAATATCCTATTTTGAAGAAGCCGGAAGTTAGCGACAAAATTGGATTTACTTAATTTTCGAATGGTAACTTAGCACTATATCTATCTTATTGTATCTAAGGTCGGAGGGCAGAGCATGTACAAGTTTTGGACTCATATCAACTGGATAATCCATCTCAATTAAGTGAATCCACAAAAATAAGTGAAATTAAGTAAATAAATTAGCATTTAAATAAATTTATTTATTTTGTACGTGCTCTTACCTATGTTTTAATTTAAATAAATACTATGGACTTTCTAAGCAATTAACATAGACGTAAATATGTATGTTTCTATTGCGGGACTTAATGCTTTAGGTGCGAAACAGGTTCATACGATTCCGAGTAAGTTTCTGCTTGCAGATTCGCCGAAATGTTAAACGCCAAAACGCAGCTCGAAAATCGGGATTAAAGGCATAAATAAATGGATTTATGGCACAGTTCAGCCAGCCAACCCATGTAAAAAATGACATAAGACTTTCGAGTTTTTTTAACTGCGGCAGAAATGGTATCAACAAATAATATGCAAAAAATGGCGTCCAGCAAGCAATCAGACCTCCCATCACAATGGTAAGGGTTTTGGTCGTTTTGGTATTCTTTATTTTTGTTGATACTCGCATTGGAATGCGATGACTTGCTAACTGTCTCTGAAACTGATGTAATGTTGTAGACGACCTGTTGGGCCCATTATTATTAGCCGTTTCTAAAGATGTGCCAGCCAGACATTGATTTTCTTTGTAATATAATGCTGGTAAAGACACTGCGGACGCGCATTTGGCATGATATCTACAAGTATGTGACGACATTCGTGAAAATTCTATTAGTTCATAGAATGTCGGTTGATGTTTCAGTTTCATTCTTTTATCGCCCAATCTGGTGTCCTGGCATTTGCCGCATCTAACGTGGTTTGTGCTTAGTATGGGATTTACATGGGTACTTATTACACTGCAACGAGACTCACAACATGGTAAGCATTTGTGCGGGTTACAACGATAATGTTCAGATTCCAGGATGAAGTTGTCGCCGTCTAAATCATGATCAGCCGTGCGTTCCGAGTTCTGGCAGAAGAGAAATGTATTATATAATGATAAAAAATGTATTTTGGAATGCTTACCGCATCGCGTACAATCCGTTGTCGTCGTGATGTCAGAACATAACCAATTCGAACGTAAACGTACAACATGACAGTGAGAGGGATAAAAAACGAACCCATTGCTGAGTAAACGACATATCCTTTATTCTGATTGTACCGACAGTCAACAAAGTCTGTTTGATGACGATTCCTACCCGGTTCATACCTGAATAAGTAAAATAGAGAATGATACACAGTTTGTTATTAGATGAGTACTACATTTTGTATTTCTTCAAAATGTTTCTTTAACGTTTTCCCTAATTTCAATCTCACAAAAAAAAAATATGACATATATCATCCTGAGACGTGAGGGAGCATACTTACCAGCCGAGCATGGGGGGGCAGGTGATTACAAAGGCCAGTAACCACACTCCAAGAATCATTAACAATGCCAATCGTTTGCAACGCCATTTTTTCGAATATGTCAACGGTTGTGTCACTGCGAGATACCTATGTTAAGTACAAAGCAATAAAAACAGAGTAAATGAAAACAAAAACCAAGCGGCTCATTGTGTATTAAGCTGTTAACAAACGTCCATAGCAAACAGCGAAGCATGGCGTCAGCTTGGAAATGCCATTTAAATGTAATTGAAACTTCCAACAAAAGAAGCGAGCACTACGTACCGCCCACATTATTACCATCGGGCTCTCTATACTATTTTATTTTTTTTTTTTTTGCCCACGCCCTGTTCCCTTTAAACGGCACGTACAGAATGGGTCAATAAAACATTTTTTGCAGTTTTTTTTTACCTTTTTATATGTCCATGACGTCATAACAATGAATTACATTTTTTATTACTTCGAATTAACGCACGACGACATAAGGATTTTGTTAGCTAAGTCAGGTATACGAGTTTCCACATATATTAGTCATTAACATAAATACTCCTACCAAAGGGTGCATATACTCGAACATACATCTATGAGTATAATTTATTCGCGACATACAGAATGTGGCGATGACGGACTGTAACTCTATTTTCACTCACGATATCAAATAAATAAATATTATACAATTATTTAAAACGAACCTGTCTAAACTGATGGCACATAAACTAAGAATAGACGCCGTGCATAGCAATATATCGAAGGAGATCCAAAACTCGCAGAGCAGCCAGCCAAGTTTCCACGAGCCTGCATAAGGAATACATATAATATATAAAAAATAAACAAGATTTCACAAAACCAAAACTATCTTTAATATCCAGTATAATAATTATTATCCAGTATAATAAATAATAATTAATATTAATATTAAATAATCTGATGATTTAAGTATGTATTTAGTAAAATTGTAAATTAAAATGGTTTCAGCAATGTATTCATCGGTTTAAGGTGTTTTCATGACAAGCAACGTATAGAAATTTATTACGTTGGCCCCCAGGCTCTGCCAGCTTAAAGTATGTAAAACCATGTTACGTTTGTAAAGCTTGAATGGCAATGGTTACTCCCAATTCACAAAAGGGCTAGGAAGGCAAAGTTTTCGTTTTGGTTATTTCAACCAAATTCGTTCGGCTTCTAAAACAACTTGCGCCTACCCATACTATGTACTGCATCTATACACTTAAAGGGATTGTACAGCTCTTCATTTTTTTAATTCGATTATTTGTTTGTAAAAGGTTGCCCTTAAAAGGTAAAAGTTTTAATGCCTTGCATTTTAGGAATTATAAATGCACGTAATTACATTTTGAGTTGCCCTTAGCTACTGACTACTTTTTGCCGTAGCGAAAGTTCTTGAAATAATTATTTTTAGTAAACACGAATAAATTTGATTAAAACTCATGTGCAATGTACAAAGGTTAACCAAATAAAAAAAGTTCATACAATATCCGTACATATTGAAATCGTTATAAATGAATATATCACAAAGTGCAAGTAAAGCCTTGGCAAAAACGCGCACACCTAACTTGATACTTATTTGATAAGGTCGTCTCTCGTCACAACAGATGGAAAAACATACATTTCGGAATGTAAATACATACCAATGACGTGCAGGGCTACTGCCGGTGGCATGACGAAAATGCCCACAAGTAAATCGGCAACCGCCAAACTCATCACAAAGCAATTGGTAACGGTACGCAGTCTTCTGGTGGTTAAGACAGCTAATATAACTAGCATATTCCCAATGACAGTCACCAAGATCAGAAGTAAGAAAATAGCCACAGCTATAGACTTTGGCCAGGCCATACTTTTCAATGATGAGCTCATTATTGATAGTTGATAGACATTTTCGATGCAAATATCTCAATATTTTATGGCCGGCAGTCTATCATCTAAACTGATAACCTAAATCAAAAATATTGATAAAAGATAATCAGAGAAATAATAGAGATAATGAGCATACTTACATATATTCATATTCATACCGAAATGTTCCATCTGTGCATTTTGACCAGGCTTTCCGCCGATTCTAATCGTTTATAGCTTCGGGTTTCGAAGATGACATGCAAATATATAATATAATGAAGAGCCCAGTTCATAACTGTCCTAACAATTTATACTAACTTATAATAGAATTCATGTGTAAATGAAAATCCACGCTAGCACACCCACCAATGTGTTTCTTCTGCCCGAGAAAAATAAATTTTAAAAAGCCTCTTGCTTTATATGCAGCAATTGATGGCGTCCCAAAATATTGTTTATATGGACCGACAAACAGAAGAACGAAGCAGAACGGACATTCCACAAAACGAATATTCTCCCTTTGACTTTTTAACAGATTATTGCAATTTACTTATGCTATTGTGTATTTAACCTTTAGTCAACGACAGTAAATCCATAGCTTATAAGTTTCTAAGTAATATTCATATTCAATTTGCTATTTTGACACACATGTGAAACAAATTTGTAATACAAACGAACTTATAAAGTTGTGTATATTTCCAATTGAAAAATGTTGCATGTACTAACCATAACTATTCTTTCTATTCTATTATCTAATACATATTTTTCCCCGATATTATTGGATGATTCACATGTAGTGCTACAAGCTAGTTGCATTATTGTTGATTAAATATTTTTTCTTTTTAAAGTCCTTTAGATGTAAGATACCATAATACTTAATTTAATTAAGAAAAAATGCAAACTCTAGAGATTTCTTATACAGCACACAGTTGGTCTAAGCACACGTTAATAACAAACTGGCAGAGCAACTTTTTCACGCTTCCACGGCGCTGGAACTGATCGCAGCCACTGCTTCGTATGAGCATTATTTTTTTTATTGGCTGCTAAAGTACACAAAAGGCAGCGCACTAAACCAACATGGGAGAATTCATTGGCTATTCAACATTTGCGTTTTGTTGCTTTTGGAATTTGTATTATTATTTTTAGCATTATTAAATCGGCCGAACACATTGATGCTTGTAGCTGTTTTGTTTGGGAAATATTGAACGTTTTCTGAAAATTGCTTTACATTTTATAAATTGAAAACGGCTAAGGTGTTAATAATCTTGTTTTATTCTTGTTAATTACGCGGATAAGCAGATATTTCTAATTATATTTGTTGCGGTGCGACAAAAGTTACAGCTCGAGTAAAAAGGAACAGTAAACAAGTAAAAGTAAAGGGTTTGAAAATTGGTGTCTCCACATGAAGCGGTGTCAACTCGTGCAAAAGCGTCGTTGTTTCTTTATTTCCTTCTTTGGCAAACTCTCATTACCCAATCGGTAAAAGAGAACCCTATTACTTCTTGAGCAAACTAGTAAGCCTATAGTTGTTCATACAAAAAAATATAGACTATAGCTAATAGTGAAACTAATAAATGCTAAGTTTAGTCCAGATATCTTAATAAACAAAATGTATGTACTGCCTGTAACCGAAAGACAGACTTATTTTTACAGTATGGGGTCCGGGATGTCTCCTTTTAGGGCTTACACATTTTATGAAAAAAATATATAAACGAAGCCCAAGGGATATATTATTCGAAAACAATGAATAATCTGTAAGTGTGCGATTGGGTGTCAACGAGCGCAAGTTATCCATATAACAAGAAAAAAGTATTCATTATCGTTTTATGCAGAGCTTTTAATTAAATTTCAAAACTTGTAATGTGCAGATGTTTTAAAAGTGAGAGAAAAAAAACAAATAACATAGATTTTCGATCAGTATTTTAAACCATGTCTAAGTGCCTAAAACCGCCTTGAAAGGTTATTTCTATTCTCAATTGTTCTTAATAGCTCTTACGGTTTGCGCTGTGCGTTGATCAGTGACTCATCTCAAGTAAGTTTATAGATGATATATATTGAATTGCAATGAACTGTTTTATAACACAACAAATTATGGCTTATCTTATAGTATATTATATTCTATTATATTATTTTATATACATTTACTAGTTTTAGGCACAAGAAGTTCAATTAAAAAGACAACAAACATTTTTAATTTTTTATTAGGAACAAATTACTTAATGGTGTGCTCCAAATTTCTTTTGCACTAATTTATATGTTATACTTTTCATATGATGTCAAAACAAATATATCTTCTAGTTAAAAAAACATGATCATTTTTACTAGTTCAAAGCAAAGTTTTCAAACCTTAAACTTCATTGCAAAGTTGTACTAGCTCTAAGCGTTGCGCCAGTAACGAATTAATAAGTTTATCAGTTAATTACAACTTTTATACCTTTTGACGTATGTCCTGTTATACACTCATAAGGTTTTATTATTAATTGAAGGCAACCATGCACGTATTGAAGTATATTAATATTGACTTATTATGGTTACAGACCATATTAATTATAACAAATTCTAATGAATATTTGGATCTGTTGTCAAAAAGCTAATAATAATTTACATTTTATTATGAAGAGAATGATTTGATTAAATATATTTTTGTACTTTATCAGAGTCTTTTTTTTTGCAACCAATCGCCAGGACGTTTCGGCCACGACTAACACAATTGTGAACGGAATATTTAGCCAACTTTCCCATTCGCTTCAGTTGGTCCTCTTGCCCCATATTGCTGTGTTTCATTAGTGCGTATGGGCGCTATATACACACATATGTAAATATGCGTGCGGCTGTCCACTTGTTTGACAATATGAATTACTTGGGTAATTACAAAGGTTTTGTTGCTCTAATTTTTTGGAAAAGAAAAATAAAAAAAATTAAAAAATTACCGGGCTCAGGGTATAAAAAAAAGTGTACTTGAATAGGATCTGTTACATACACTTAGACAATTTAAGATTAGCATTTTGAATGTGTTCGCCGTATAAAAATGATGTAACCAAACACAACGTTATGCTCAAAAATGTCTATAAACAATATAGTTATATTTGACCGACAACATATCCAAAAAGAATAATTTATAAAATGTATATAATAAACGTTAATATTTACCCTTTATTTGAACAGTAAAATATTACATCCATAGTCTGAAATACCACTACATTGCTATTTCTGATAATAAATACTATTGGTTATTTTTAATCAATAACAAATAGGCATACAATAATATATATTTGATTAATAAACGACATAATGTCGCGTACGTGTATGTGTACTTTCACGAACAATATACTACATATGTGCCATTGATAATGCCGGTCGAGTTTAATACCTACATTATCGCATGCAAATGGCATAATGCAGTATGTTAACAAGTAAGAAGTTCTAGTCGGGAGCTCCCGACCAGGGGATACCCTGAGCTCTCTCATTCCATAACCAAATTCAGTACGCGCTACGAGGTCTTTTGCTTTATTAGTTACAAAAATAAAATACAAAAAATAAAGAAGTTCCCTTGGCAGGGAAGTTGCAGAAACTCGCAACTTAACTCTCTACTTTCCGCCGTCTCTATTCAACAGCCACACCAGTCACAAAATCAAAAATAAATAGTTTCCTCGGTAGGTCTCGAACTCGCGACAGACAACACCACTTGCCACCGCCTCTACTCAGCAGTCACACACACAACTGAGTCCTTTTGAGAGAAAAACGAATTAAAATAGGAGCACAGAAAGCAATACAATAGCAATTGCAGAAGTGTTAATATAATTCGAAGCAGACGCGCTTGAATTGTGTGTACAGGTATACATAAATTCGTGCAATTTGCGATGGTGTCGCAAACACGTGTTTCTTAACCGATCTTCATGAAATTTTCTACAGTATATCTTATTGTACCATAAAATATTTGCGTGTTCTCTAAAAGTCAACTGCATTAAAATTGTGGCTTAATGTGGTGGGCAATATAAGTTAGGTTATTAACTTGATTTATAGCTATCGTGGTAGCAGGGAGGTGGCGATAGATATAAAATGAAAGATACTTGATATATATTCTGGAGTAAACATATCACTTTTGGGGACTCTAGCTCTCATAATTTACCCAATTTGTTCAAAAAACAGTAATTCGATATCGATAACTTGGAACCGGAGTAATTTAGCGATTATCGGAGACAAACTTGCATGCGCATGGATTAGGAGGTCCTAAATTTTCTAGTCTCTAGGTCTTATAGTATCTAAGATCCTTGCGTTCATACATACGGACGGATAGACGGACGGACAGACAGACGAACATGGCTAGATCGACTCCGTTATTGGTACTAATTAAGAATATATATACTTTATGGGGTCGGAGATGCTTCCTTCTGCCTGTTACATACATTTGGATTTTGCACAAATACAATATACCCATTTTTAATGGGTTCAGGGTATAAAAAGAGAAACAAACACTTAAACGTATGCAATTAAACTTTATTCTTGCAAGTATAATTGTTTGTATATAGCTCGGTATAGCCCGGCCATGCCCGTATAAAATATATGTTCTCAAAAAGGCTTAAAAATATTTTGAAACTGATCGGACAGTAAATAAACAGCTTTTATACAAACCTTTTTTTCCAATTTAACACTCTTGCTGGTGGAATTTCCAAATCGTTGAAACACGTATCCACGTATATTAAGTTATTATGTAGATCTCTGAGGTTAATCGAACAACACTTAAAACTGCGCCCAAAAACTCTTTGAATCGCATTTCTAATGAAGAAATTTGGAATCGCATTTCTACCGAGGAAATGTGAAGCACGACTCATACGAAGACACGTCATATAGAAAATGAAAATGAATTTGAGTGCGAAACGTCATCCACCAAATCTTTGACCCCCATTTCCATCAAGGAGGAATACATTTTTGCAAAAGTGAGAAACACTTTCAAACGAATTTGAACAAACATGTTTGAAATTGAGCTTAAAGCCGATCGGATGGTAGGTTATAAGAATCGTACAAACGTTTTTCGCGATTTTTCCATAAATGCGGGTGGAATTTCCCGAAACCCCGCCTTAGCGTGTACCTTCATCACATAAGGTAACTCCAGCTTCCTAGCTCTTACGGTTTGGGCTGTGCGTTGATCACAAATCAGTCAGTCAGTCAGTAATGAGAAACAGTTTTATATATGTATATAAAAAATATAATATATTATAAGCATGTGCATTTTAGCATAACCATTTAATCGTAATTGTACTAACTTGTGCATGCAACACTTTTTATTGGCGTATAAAGTACGTATAAAAGCTCTAAGCTTTTTTATTTATTTATTTTATTTATTGATTAATTATTTTGACATTAGACGACGTTCGCCGACGGCGCCAATCTTTCCTACTTAAACATGTTTCCATTTTATCACTTAATAGTCTAAAATATTGCTGATAGACGATCCGTTTACTGTTTCAGTGGATATATCTGACTCAAGTCTTTGGAATAAAAATAAAAAACTGAATTTGACTATTTTTTATAGTCACTAATTTTTAGTAAGAGGGATTTCGTTTTCGAAAACCATTAGAAATTTGAAATTGTATATATAGGCATTTGAAAATAGAGAATTTATATCCATTTATAAATATACTCGGAAATCTTCCATTGTAGTTCCTGCAGGTAGTTAGTGAAGTACAATCGATATAGGATTGGGGCCTTGTGCTACATACGTTGTATAACGCAACCCTTAAATGAATTCGTTCTGACGTCGATTTCACCTTCTTCGAGCTGCATAAAAGAACAACATTGAATATTTATGTTGTTAAATATGAGTTGAATTCATAATGCATACCTCATCAAAAGCATATATATCTTGATAGCAAGATTGTGATATACATTGTCTTAGGCAGTTTAATTTGGAAACCATAGCTAAATTGGCATTGACACATAGTGAGTTTTGTCCACAGGCTAGCTCGTAATCGTGATAGGTGATTTCCTAAAAAAAAAATGACAATTATTTGAAAAATCAATAGTCTCTCTTCATGTTATACATACATTTTTGCTCGTTTCTTTGTACGCGTACTCAGGAAAATGAAAAGTTGCTGCCCTAGATAGAGGTTTATTATTCCTAAAATTTTCTGAACCACATAAAGCAATTTGTATGATAACGATTATACCTAATATATCTGAAAGACGTGACATGTTTGCTCGACTGTCAACCGTTAACGAATCTTGGTATTTATCATTTAATATTCGTTCGTTTGGTATTTTTTTTTACATAGAGGTGACAGTAAACACAATAATGGTATTCCTTATTAAAATATAATACCAAAAAGCCTATTCACAACTACCGAAGCATCTGGTAACAGACTTTTAAAAAACTCATTTTCAAATATCTGTTCAAAATCGTTTAAACACTTTTGGACAAATGCAATCCTTCTTGAAACAAGCTTTTAAAAAACTCATTTTCAAAGATCTGTGTCCAGTTACTCACTTTTCGAAAAATGCATTCCTCCTTGACGGAAATGGAGGTCACAGATTTGATGGGTGACGTTTTGCACTCTAATTTATACCCAAAGATCTATATGAAAAGTGATTTGAGACGCATTTCGCACTTTTAGCAGAATCCAAGCCTCCTCGGGGGAAAATGTGATTCAACGATTTTTTTTATGAAATCTTAAGTTTTTTCCTTTTTTCATTAAACTTATTTGCAAAGCTCTACATAAAAACTCAATAAATACTTTTTAAACATATTTTTTAAATAGAAGTGGAGATCTCAATGGTACGGATCGATTTTAATTTTTCCAGGGCGTGTACTTGGTGTAATAATATAAGATAATATTCAAAATTCTTAGCACAAATACTCGCTGGTATCTATATTTATGTAAAAAAGAACGCATAAAAATGTATTCACTTCACTGAAAGAAATGCAAGAATTGTCAAATAGTGTAAAGACTAATATAAATCAGTGGATATGCTATGAGTTTTATCACCAAAATATATTCTGAAAGAGGTACTAGCACATAAAACATCTATAAAACAACACCAGGATCATTTTTAAAACATTTAACAAATTTATAGACAAGGCGATTTATTGGATTGGATGCAGAATTCTGCAATATAACCCACCCAAGATAAACTAAAGATTACACGCAGAACCATTAAAAGTATATTGATAAATAAATCATTTACACATAATCCTCATTATTCTTTAGCATTGTTTGTGTCTCCGCGGCCCCCTCTTGTTGGGGTTTTTGGCAAAGTGAACTTTGCTGTTCAATCGACCCGCGAATAGTGTAATGTGAAGTTCCATGCAACGAATCGCTGTGCTTATATTTGAGTGCGTTTTGGCGACAAATGCCCAATCTGTTGGATTAATTGTGCATTCATCGTGTGGGATGTTTAGATACTTTAGATTCGGATACATACTTGGACAAGAAAGTCAATAAATCCTGTTGATACTGAGATGTTAGGATGGCATACAAATATGGATCCGCACACGAATTCAAGGGATAAAAGAAGACTAGTAATATTTTCGATTTTGTAACATTAATCAACGGGCACCCAGCCAATGCAGTAAGACCAAAAAAAGCAATTGGCGCCCCACAAGTAAAATTAATAAATACCTGTAAAAATAGAAAAACGCCCAATTAATTTAAAATTAGTTAAGCTTTCGTTAAATGTTTATGACAAACTTACCAAAAGTAACATTTTCTTAGCAACACTCATTTCGCCCGGATTGTTACGTCGTGCACGACGCGTTTCTTGCCCGAGAGAAAGATATATTTGTGAATAGCATATGGCTATAATTGTGAACGCCACGAAATTGCAACCCAAAATCAATATCAAATATATGGAATCGTATATATCGCGTATCTCCATTGGCAGGCAAATGCTAAATTAGGTCACATTTAAAACAAACAGTGAAACAATAGAATGCAGTCAAAAACACCTCACCTGGTAGATGAATAATTACTTATACCAAACAAGGGCAATGAAGACATAATTATGGAGTAAATCCAACCCGTTAACATAATTCCAGCAGCCTGACGTAATGTGATACGCTTATTTAGGTACATTGCATGCGTGATCGCAAACCAGCGTTCAATTGTAATAATAGTCAAAGTAAAGATCGACAGATGACTGGCGAACACGGTTAAGAACCCGGCTATCTTGCAGCCCAATCCTGTGTAAATGACAAAATAATTATCTAAAATCTAATTAACATTAGAGAACTACTAACCGTACTGCCAATCAAATGCATAGTTAAAATATTCGCCCATTGAATGTGCATCAATTGAAGCGATAAGCAGCAAATAGAGACCCAAACATAAGTCGGCAAAAGCAAGGTGACATATTAGGAAGCGTGGCACTGATGGACTCTCTGATCTTTACAAAAAAAAATAATCGATGATGATGAAATGCAAATAAATCAAATCATTGACGAGTAAACACTTACTTAATAGATAGTGTGACAGTGAGAACCGCCAAATTACCAACAATAGCTAATGCAACTACAATCCAAACAGATATTCGCAGCCACTGATATCCCATGACGTCTTCACATGGATTTAGGGCATTTGGCATGGGAAAACACTGGATATCTGGGTTTCTGCATTAATAAATGTACTTTAATAAATAAGTAGCCATTACATAATAAGAAACGCTTACCTAAATGTGAAGTTTCCGCAATACTCAGCCAATTGGTTGTCATCTGGATTTATTGTAATTTGCTCATGAAAAATTCCAATATTGTTCATTGTGGAATCAGCCATGTAGTCATACGAATTGGAAGCTGCGTCAGTCAGTAGATTATCTGTAGCAGTTCCACTTTGGTTTCTATAAAGGCCCATAAATATTTGGTTAATTAGAGATATTGATCAAACGTACGTATAATGCACTCCTGCCGTATCTTTCACGGATGTGTTTTTTTTCAGCTTCTTGTCGACATCCCGATATAAATCCCGTTCAACATTGCATTGTTCTCTCCATTTTTGTAATTCCTGTAAGCGTTCAGCATGCCTCTTGGGATCATGCCTCGAAGGGAATTGAAAAGCACAGCAATGGAATGAGTGCGTTAAGTGGGCTCTCTGTAAGTTCTGTAATAAAAAATGAGTAAAAAAGAAAAGAAAATGTGCAAATGTATATACCTGAAAATTGTATATGGAGGGTATTGTTTTCAAAGTATGCGTATTGATTATGTATAATACTTCGACGGTTTGTAGTCCAGCTGATGGCAAGCTGACTAAAGATGTGCTTGAGAGATCTCTATGGTTAATTGGAAGTATGCATATCACTGTTGGTATATTTTAATGTGAAATATTTAAATTACTTACAGTTCTGTTATATCAATTATACCGTAAAATGCATTCGGGTGAACGTCGGTAAGCCTGCGATTATCCTTCAATGAACTGTAATATGTGTTATACAAGAAGTTATTATTGATAATATTCTTTGCAATTAACTTACAGTTTAGCTATTTTCGAACCCAAAAAGGCAGAATCATCAATGAAATGTATGTCGTTATTTGCTAAAACACTTATGAATCAAAACAGTACAATTAGTTTGGGCAATATCAATATAAGCTTAAACTTACAATTGTGCAGTCTTTACTTGAATAGATTTTGAATCAATTCGAGAAATTTGATTGTTATCGAGATCTCTATATGCATAAATATAAATCAATGTTGAGTTAAAACTTATTCAATTTATACAGAAATAAAACAATTCCATAATATGGGCACTTACATCATTTGTAATATATTATTGGGTGGTAAATATCCAAAATCGGGCACACTTGTTAAACCGCTGTTTATAATGCGTCTAAACAAAAAGGTTAATGTACAATTGAAGGTGTTTATATAGCTTTAAACTTAACATTTTCGAAAATAGCTATTATTTCTTGTTTTAGGTAAATGAAGGTAAATGGGGAATCTTAATAATGAAATATAATTGTTCTGCTTAAATAACTAACTTGCGAAAACTGACATCTCTGTAATGAAAAGAGCTGCTGCTGCAAATCATCCCAATAGGCTAAACGCAAGACATTGTAAGTTTGAGTCTATTACTTTCATTGTCTTTCATATCTCGCCATGCGTATACAGACGGTCATATTAGTGGACATATGGAGCTGGTATGCAGACAGCTCGGAGTTGATGATGATCAAGAATATGAATTGTCAAAGTTGCGATTATGTTCAGTATTCCAAATTCGCACAGCTTCATTATACAAAGTTATATCTAATAATTGCTACAGAGTCGAATTGTATATCTATATTCAGCTAGCTTGTTTGATATACGTAAATGTGAACTATGCTAATCACCTGTAAAACGACAGCTTTGGATTTGAGACTCTCACCAAACTATGTGACTTAAAAACATACATCCATTTTAACCAGCTCAAGCTGAATATACAAATAATGGATATTTTTCTTATGTTGTGATAAGACAATTATTTCTAACGCTATGTCCTCGCGAATTAAGGGTTTTTACTTACATAATTTCAATAGTGTCGGAAATTCCCTCAAATACATTTTTGGGTAGGTAAGTTAGTTTTGGAGCATTTGAAATATAGCTATAAATAATATAAAATGGTAATTTACGATATACCATATATGTAATAGTAATTTACGATATACAGTATATATAATGGTAATTTACAATATATTGATAATGTATGATAAACATTGCTTTCACATAGACATACATGGTGCGGAGAAATGTCAAGTTTGAGAAAGCTCCGTTCTGTATAGCTTCAAGTTGCAGACAGTCTATAAAGGCACTGCAAGGAAACAAATATGGCATATGTATTGTATTTAAATATGTTTATTTAATTTACTGGATTTTAGTATTACTCACACATCCAATAATGTGGTAGCATACACCTTCAAACCCATCGACCGCAACCGTGGCAAGCCCGCTGATGCAATTGTGAGCCTTAGTAGAGGCAACTTTAATGTTTGTGGCACACGTGTCAGCGCTTCGCCCTCGCAGCGGCACTCAAACTCATTCTGTTAAAAAATACAATTTAATAAAATATATTAAAAAGTTACACGGCTTAAAGCAAATATTTTGAACATCGCATAATAATGAACTGTGTGCGTACCCCTTGGAATTATTAAATGCTTATGCAATCGACTGGCACTTACCTGATTAGTTGCTTCCCAGCAGCAACACTTCCAAACGGAAGCATCACTCGTCGGATTCGTTGACATGGTTGGCGCCTGTGTCATTATGACGGACATATCAGTTTCATTACCATTATCAATCGACAGATTATTAAAAACGGTATTAAAACCGTTGTTGTTATCATGACAATTAGTATTTGCTTGACGGGTGCCATGGGCCAGTGAAAGCAAAATGAATGTTAAGAAATCCAACTGGGATATTATTACCATGCACTTCATTTTTGTTCAAGTGCACGTTTAATATTATTCTTATTATCTTGAAGCTTTCCTTTCCTCGGCTTAGTGTAGCTATATGTGCTAGTTTTGTCAGATGTCGTCTGTTGGTTCATTTTGTTAGTTGCATTATAGTGCGACTAGGTGTAAATTCATTGCTCCGCTAAAACGTATGATTAAAATAAAAAAATTCGTTTGCTTTAGTTTAGTGTACATTAGTGTAATTAGTTAAGAAACATTTCTAAGTTTTAATTTTCCATAAAGTTTGACAGACATTAGGTTCGAGTTCATACATAGTATATTTATTTATATATGTGTGTCTGTGTGTGTGTAAATGTGTATTTATATATATACCTAAAAAGCCAACAACGAATTCACAAAACAGAGCCTGAACAATTTTGCACCTATTGATGAAGCTGTGAATTAAAATTTCACGTATGTCGACGACATGTTTGATTGACTTTTCAATTTATATAGTTATGATTCGATTCCGTGAATGTTGTTTAACATGCAAACTGCGACCGAATACGAATATCTTCACTATAATTATAAAAGCAAACAAGGCTATGCAAGTATTTTGCCTAATAGAACAATGGGGGTGTTTGAGACACGAGTGCCGTCAGCTTTTGACATTATTAACCTTTCCTATTTTTACCATCAAAATGAACTTAGAGAGGAAGTGGACAAATTAAATCTGATAATATTTATCCGCATATGTTATATGTATTATATTTACACGCATGCTAAATAGTTTTATCATTATAATCCCTAGCAAGACAAAGGCAAACTGTGCATATTTAACAAACAAATATTTGTTAATTAAAAATGTAGAAATAGACACACAAATGTCGGCATCGCTTTCATTTATTTCTTTATTTTACTGAAAAAAAGCTCTATTGCGCTTAATTTTCTACTTAAGTACACAAATATTTATGAAGTCTTTGAGACTAAAATGATTTAAGTCGCAGATTTCCTCAGCTAGGCAAACTATTGATTACAAGTTACGAATAACTTATTTTTATTACATCAGTTAAATCTGTTTAGTCGAACATTCGTAGAATTAAATGAAATACATAAGACATGATTTTTAAAACAGAATTTATACAAAATATATACACGTTCTTCTTCAACTTGATTTGTAACAGCTTTGGATTTTTATACAAGTATAAAACTTACCACTACTTTATTAATGTACATTATTCACAATTTTTTTTTTATTCAGTATCGAAGTCAATAAATTTTAAATGCCTCGCCGTAGCCAAAAACTATGGTAGGATTTCATTTACATTTGACCTCCGCTGACCAAAGTTTACGTGGGAAGTGCAAAATTGTGCATATGCACATGGCGATTTTGTATTTTGTCTACGAAACTTTGTTGAATTCTTGTTTAGTTATTCCTTGCATATTAATTATTTGGAGTGCTCTTATTTTGATGCCAATGTATTCAATTACACAGGCATTTCTATTAATCGCAGTTATATTAAATTACAGATTTTTAATGCTGCCTGGCGCAAGAAACTTTATGCAGCTCGTTGTGCAAAATTTTGGTATCTCTCTCAACTTTCGTCTCGAACCGTTTTACCGTAGACGACCTTATACACCTGTTGAATAGCCACAACTGAAATATCTGATTAGCAAGAGCAGCTTCAATGGAAGCCGGAAATCAGAAATGTAAAAATCACAGAGGCGCTACACGACATCGTCTATATATATATCAAAGCAAGCCGAGTGATGAAACCGAGCGAACGCAGAGAGCACATCCAACCTATTACGGCTAGTATATGTTGAGAAAATAAGCTCTTAAAGCTAACGGGCTATACTTATAAAACTCCAAGGCTTTTGATTTAAGCTTTCCGTAGGTGTATAACTTTTACTGTTGCTTTGGTAAAAGCTTTCGTTTTCATGGGCCTACTTAGTAGCCAGCTCTGTCAGGGTAGCCCAAATAGTATTGCTCTTTGTACATGCTTAAAAGCCTTTAACATAGTGAGCTTTTAAAATTCCAAATTTCAAATATGTAACCCACATAACAATCACAAATTTTGAACGAAGCGCAAACCAAAATCATCATCAATCTGAGCAGCAGCACTCATTTACAAAAATTTTAACTGCTATTATTTTTGGTTTAATTGCTAATACAATTTCCATGATGAATGTGAATTTCCAGTTTAAGAAGGATCACTCATTTGAAAAGCGACGAGCAGAAGGGGACAAAATACGCAGAAAGTATCCTGATCGCGTACCTGTTATCGTGGAAAAGGCACCAAAGACACGTCATGCAGCTCTGGATAAAAAGAAATATTTGGTTCCTAATGATCTGACAGTTGGCCAGTTCTACTTTCTTATCCGTAAACGCATAAATCTTCGGCCGGATGACGCTCTGTTTTTCTTCGTCAACAGTGTCATTCCTCCGACATCGGCTTCAATGGGACTATTGTACCATGAGCACCGTGATAAGGACTTTTTCTTGTATATGGCTTACTCCGATGAGAATGTCTACGGACATGAAAAATATGAGACTTAGATTGCTAATGCTGCTAAATTATCTTCCGGAATGGTTAACAATTCAAAATGTTATTTGGTTTACAAAAATTGCAGTCCTTCAATAAAATATTTTGTCATTAGAACAATTTTCTAGAGTAGTTAAATCACAACTTTAATAAGATTTATATTATGCATCTGTATTTCTGGAGAGCCCCTCAGAGCCTCGAACGCATAGACTTGTTTTATTAAGATTTATGAAAATTTCTGAATATTTTAAATGATGCCTTCACAAATTCACTTCATACGATTTTAAGCTATGGTATTTAAAGTTGAGGGTAAGAAAGGAAACGTTAACTTTATATTAATTAAAATGTATATTTGAAAACAATCAAATCAGGCAACTACAAGTTAAAAAAGTGCTATATGAGCATTATTTAGGCACGCCACATATTTAAATCAACTGTAGGAAGGTTTGAATCATCGCAACTAATTAGCCTATTACTGCAAAAAGATGATTTGAAATGGGGTTAATCGCTAATCGGCTAATCATCGAAATTATCGGCTTACCCAGGATAATCGGCGAGTACGAATCCAGCCAAAGGCACCGAATGTAATGTCAAGTGATCGGCATTATCACAGATCAAACGTCCAATGGTGGCCTTTCGCACTTCCTGCAGTTGAGCTGGTCTAAATGCTGCTGGATTTACCTTATCATTATATTCGTAGTAATACCGATCTCCATGCTTAAAACGAGCAAACTGGTCGGCAATAATTTCCGCAAAAGTAATCCCAACGATACCATCTTCAACAGCTTTTTCCAGTAAGCCGCCCACCCATAAATCAATATCATCAGGCGTCCTATAGACCCGAGCAAGTTTTTCGCCAATCTATGAAGATTCAAGAATGTTGAGATATTTACATCTAAAAAGTAATCGCCACAAATACTCACATCCTTCGGAAGCTGACCAAAATGTTTCAACTTTGGAGCTCCCATTACTTCAAGGTAGTCATTATAAGAGCGCAGGCCCTGGTCGCGACCCCGTTGTATATTAATTGCGGCCAAATCTAATCCAAACGGACTGTGGCCGCGAAAAAGAAATCTACTGAGCTATGATTTAAGGAAATGAATGCTTGTTGGCTACTTTAATAGTTTTATTACACTTACACCCTGTGTAATAGAACTGTCGACTTGTTGCATTGGCTGCGTGTAAAGTGTTTGTAGCATATCATCGTAGAACTCTCGCTTGCGCATGCGAGAAGGATTAAACATAACATCCGGAATATTAATGACCTCATCATGTATTCGAAATTTGCCGTCGACACTAAAGACAAAAGTTAGTAAAGATTACGATTAATATAGTTTTTTTTTAATATTTTTTACACAGTATAGTCTGTAATACTTGCCTAGAATGACCCATTCGAAAAGCAGCTCCCGAGAACTCATTAGTAATAGCCGGATTCACATCTACGTTATAGTCGGTTGAATATCCCTGTCGGTGAGGCATTAAACGAAACCTTTTCATTTGCTGGGATCCAATAATTGCCGGGAGGTACTCATTATATGTAATGTGCTGTAGCTCTGCAATAACAATGCGGCGAGTCTCTTGATAAAGCCATTCGTCGTTCGCCGTCGGATTTAGTTCAGCCAAAATATCCGCAACGCGATTATGTTCACGTGCAAAAACAATTTGCAGGGTGATCAGAGATATAATTTGATTTGTGCGACCATCGCCTTGAAACATGGAATCACATATATATTATGGTTTTTATAGTTAACGATCCACTCACCCGACTTAAAACATGTGTTGCCCGGGTCCGCGCTGCCACACGCATCCTTATCACTGGTTAGGGGCAGCAAATCACGTCCAAAATCATTAAACATATGTAATCGGCCGCCATGGAAGGTGCGCAAGTCACGTGCGGACGCCTCATTAGATCCATATATCGGCGAGGCATCTAAGAAGTGGGTTACCTTACTCCGTTGCTTTCCGTAGCCCAATTGACAGTCGGCACTGGGCGCCAGTGATAGTCTTACTAAGTTCAAACAGCGCACACCAAACGCGCTATAAAATTCATCGTTTTCGGATACCGGTATCGGCAGACAGGCAAAATGCCTTTTTTCTGGAGGCAAAATGCTTTTGCCTCCCGGCGAGCAACATTGCACTAAGCCACCATTTTCATCGAGGCGCACCGAAGCCGATTGGGAAACATCATGGGCCAATAATTGCCCAAATTGCATTATCAACTGGTTGTACTTTGGGTGGGGTCGATGAACATCGGTAAATAAAGCGCTAGAAATTTCACGAGCGCTTGACAAAGCAGTTCCATCGCTTGAATGAGCGCGAGGAGTCCAAATCCCATCTTCGTAGGCTGGGGGAAGCAGACGCTCCATTGGCTGGCCAGCAGCACCCCAATGCGAACGTTGCGGTAACGGATTATTACAAGTGCCATCCATACTCCGAAAATGGTGTCTACCTAGGCAAATGGGACGCGTTTGGCAATGCTGAGCCAACGGTGTCTTTGAAAATTGAATTGGCACATTGTTTGTGATCAGGTCATCAACGGGCACCTGTTCCTTCTTGCCAAACACTTGACTGGCAATTACCAATTCAAGCGCACTGTTCGACAATGCAAAATTATGCAAATCTTCTTTGGGTGTGGATTGAAAAACAATACCATGAGTAAAATCTGGATGCCCACGAAGGACCGGCATTTGGACAACTCCGTGCATTAAATGCTCAAAATTCTTGCGTGCTTCTTCAAGCACATCAGGTGGCAAAAAGGATGGAATCGTTGCTCGGCGTGCCTTATTTTGTGGCGCAGTGTGGTTTTGTCCAGTTTCGCAGCAATAGCCAAATTTGCCAGCGGGCAGATCGCAAATTTGTGGCTTCTCGTGGTCCCCCATGCGGACATGAGCGGGACATTGAATTTGTGGTACACACTTTACAGATGTGCAAGTCTTACACATTTTAAGCAATCCACTTTTAGCGACATCTGCAACATATATACCATGTGTATGAATACATCATTCGAACTATATACTACATACATACATACTAATGCAGATCACATGCATAGAAACATATGAATAAATTTGCGAATACTTTTAAGCAAAATAATTTATATGTACAGTATGTCAATAAAGTGTTTTGGCTAGCAAAAAAACGCATTTTGTAGGTTTAGTTGAACTGTATGTACTTTGTACTTTAAAGTGGGAATATTTTTTCATATCTAATTTATTTCGATTCGCTATTTTTCCTAGAACATTTAATAGAATTAAAAAACTAAAAACATTCAAATTTTATGCTGTCAATAAAGTGTTTTTACAGCTACGGTAAATTGTTCTGCAGTTCGCTTTGGGACGATCCCGTTATATTTAGGCCCATGCGTTTTGCTTCTCTTGTGTGTTTGAGTTTTCTAGTTATTTCCTATTGCAATTTCTAACGTTTGTTTTTTTATTGACAGCATAAAATCTGATTGTTTTTAGTTTTTTAATTCTATAAAATGTTTGGATAAAGTTATTTTTCTGGCGTTATGCTCATGCTAAAATAGCGAATCGAAATAAATTAGATATGAAAAAAAATTACCATTTTAAAGTACATTTACGTTCAACTAAACCTAACAAATGCGTTGTTTTCCCTAATCGAAACTTTATTGACATACTGTATGTACATATGTATGTATGTGTGCTACTACATTAGAGTCCAACTTGACCGTCAAAAGTATACGATAGAGTGAGATAGCGATAATTCAAAATGGAACTGTTCATGAATCCGCCATTATTTATTGGATATTAATACAAATACTAAATATATACCTTTACCTTCTAACAGCTTAGACCTTATAACGTAACACCTTATCTTACCCGCATCGTGACTGCGCCCTTCCACACCATTCAAATCATTTTTGCGTATCGAAAGTGCGCCAACAAAGTTAAATTGTACAAGTACATGCACAAGATGGCAATACATTAACAAAACATATAAGCTCCGCATTTCAGACGACCCCGAATACTGGATCAGATGTACAAGCACAGGAAATGAATTTAGTTCAACTACATAACGGTGCTTCTTAAATAATGTGACCAGGTATGGTAAAGTTGAATATACCTCAAAGAAAAAGAATACCGAAAATATACTATTGTTTAAATACTTAAAAACTTTCATTGAAAATACAATCCCCACTTTGTATTATGTTTATATATGTTCCATGAATCTAAGAATATGTAGTCTTTCCCCTTATATATGTAACCAAGGCAATTAAGTTATTAAGTTTTCAAATGATTGGAAGGACGGTACATATCCCATTAGATAATTAACTGCTATTTAACACAGCATATCAGAAATTTACATATTAACAGATATCGGTATATTTTTACCGATATTAAATACTCCCTATTGTGAAAATTGATAGTTAAGAATATCACCTCTGAAAAATACAAAATGGGAAATCTTAGTATCGATAGTATCGAGATGGGCTCAATATTTCTTAATGCACTATCCGCCATATTTGTTCGCGTCAGTAGAAAAGTCTGGCAACGCTTAAAATCGCTTTGTATAGGGCCAGCTCGTCATGTTGAGAAATTATGAAAAATAAGTGAAATACACTGTACAAAGAGGAAAAAGTGTAAAGATTATATGAATACATTTTCGAGCTACTAACTCAGTGTGAATTTAATAACTACCAGGTGTTTTTTATTGTGCGCGACGGTTATGAATGGTTTTTTTCGGCAGACAAGACTTGCATACAGTGTAATGTTCGTACTCGTACCGAGCTTGTCTTCTCACGCGAGTTCGTTTTTAGTGTATATAGCAAGTCTATGGACGGTCGATGCGTGAATATATTTCTATGTGTAAGTGTGGGTGTGTACATGTGTGTCGATTAGTTCAGAAAAAGACTTAAATCACCAATAATTTACCGGACTCGTTACACTAGCGAGTGAAAAGTACAAGCTCGATACGTAAAAATCAAATATGTACATACATGCAGGCTCAAAGTTCGGTACGGTACAGATACGTGTGTGTGTATACTTAAAATATTAAATTCTCAGCCAGATCCTTGCATCATCACTACAGGGTCACATCTTCGCCAATATGTATCAATCTGAACCTACCAGCCAAAGAACTAAACCAAAAAGATAATCATGCAAAAAATGTATAAAAAAAAATAAAAGAAAAAAAGAAAAAAAAACCTTTAATGATGCATAAACGAGACGACGGCAACGATAAACGTCAGCAGCAGCGAGCAGTGCTATTACACTAAACGAATGAAAAGCTACCTGAATTATAAAATATTTACGTAAATATATTAATTGAGAGTGATATTCATAGTAATGCAATAAAATGAACCTAATAAAAATTAGCAAAAACAAATTGTTAAAAACGCGACAGGAAAACTCGTTTTGTTCTCACATTCGGCATTAAAATTTATATGCAACAGCAGTGGTTGTCTCGCTCGTACACACTTATTTGACATACAAAAAGGCCGCATACAATACAAGCGAGATAAATAGCACTCCAAAACAGAAAATCAACGGGAGCGCGCAAAAAATCCAAAAGCAAATTATATGAAAAGTGAACTCAAAGTGGATAATGAAAAATGTATAAAACAAACGCTGCAATTGTACCACCAGAAAGCTGTATGCACATTGATATTGGGATGAGTAGAGCTTATTGCCTTACATGACTGTCTTTTATGCACACATAATCTTTAACATGCATATGCATGTTTAGCACAATCTTGTGGTCTAGCATTGTGATTGTCGGTCTAAGTTAAACATAAATACATAGTCTATTTCATATTGTGATCGACACAACTGACCGAAGAGGTATGGGAATATCTGTATGAAATTCGTGTGCAATAAATATCAGTTTTGTCTGCAGTTGCTTTTGAATTTGCTATATAATTCACTTGGATTTACAAATATTTTTGATTGTTTTTATATCAGTAAAATATAAATGATAATCATAAAATGTTAAAAAGCGCTTATTTCATATAACTTAAATATTTCAATAGAAATATTTATATTAAAACAATGTGTGGCAATATTTATAGTTCTGTAAAATAATTGATCAGATACAATTTAATAAAATGTATTAATGTTGATTGAATGTTTTGTTGCACGTGTACAAAACAAAAATTGTATTTTTCAATAATATTCCAATAATTCCTATTCGACGTATAAAAGAAATATAATTAATTAATAATTTACTTCCCCTATTAAACAAAACTAATACACACATCCCATACGCGCACATGTAAGTGCGACAGTGAGAGCCACACTCTCATGCAAGTGAGATGGCGTTTGCGTGTTTAGTTGCCAAATGTAAAGAGCGCAAGAGAGAATCCAGAGAGCGCTTTGTGGCTGTCAACGCGCGACAATTTGTAAACGGACAGTCTGAATGCTGTGGTAGTGGTAGTTGATTTTTCAATACACAGAATGTAGAATTACAAAATCTTTGGCGGCCAAATGAAATATGTATTGAGCCTGTGATTGTCCTATGGTTATGATTTCGTGAGCCTTGGTGTTATTTATATTGTATTATTTGAGCTAAGTAAACTAATTATTGCTTCTAAAACTTGCAGCTAACATAACCTCAAATTTGCCGCTGCAGTCGGGGAAGTCGTCATCAGCGTCAACGTTGTTGGTGGATATTCTTCAACAACCACAGCTTCTTGATTTAATAAGCATCGTTTGCGAAACGACGACGCCATGAATGACAAAATAAAATCGCCATCAACACAAGGTAGTGGTAGCGGTGCGACTGGTGCAAGCGCATCCCCAACTGTGGCAGCCAGTGCAGGTGGCGCTACACCACCAACCGCGGGTCCACCCACACCGAACAACGGCAACGATTCTATTATACAGCAAGGTGGCACTGTACCGCATCCGTACAGCGGGCCGCCGCCTGGCGCTCTGCCAGGTTCAACTCCCGACTCAGCAACAGCTATGTCACACTATCACCATTTACATCAACAACAACAGCAGCCACAGGGGCCGCCTCTTCCACCACACATGCAGCACCACGGTGGACCACCGCCACAACAGGGACCACTACCGCTTCCACCCGAGCATACACCTGGTGTGAAGGATGAATATGGTTCGGCACATTTGCCACCGCCACCCGGCGTCCAACATCCCCATGCACATCCAGCCTACGCGCGCTATCACTCAGGTGATCCCAACATAGATCCCTATCGATATGGGCATGCGCCCACGCAGCAACCACCTCCTGGGGGCAAAACGCCGCACCAACAACAACAGCTGCAAGGTTCTGGGGGATCCCCGAATCGACCTCCACAACAGCGGTACATACCCGGTCAACCGCCGCAGGGGCCAACCCCAACCCTGAATTCATTACTACAATCGTCAAATCCGCCGCCACCACCCCAGCATCGCTATGCGAATAATTATGATACCCAGCAAGTTGCCAATGCGGCAGTGGCTGCCGCAGCCCAACAGCAGCATCAACAAAATGTTCAGCAGCAACCTGGAGGGCCACCGCCTCCACTACCAACTCATGGACCGCCGCCACCACAACACCAGCCGTACGGTGCACAACAGGGCGGGTGGGCACCACCCCCAAGGCCCTACAGCCCACAGCTGGGCCCATCGCAACAGTATAGGACACCACCACCGGTAAGTTGAGTTCTTATCAATCTTAAATAGTAACTACGCGCGATGCGTTGTCGATCAAGGAAGTTTTAAAGGCTCCCCAAATCCGTCTATAGGTTTGCAAATACACACTTGACACACTTAACAAATTTCGCGTATATCCGCGGTACAAACTTAAAAAAAGAACAAGCACGAGTTGTCGGAAAACAAAAACATAAAAGCATTAAAAGGCATGTTGTTGGCAAGTGAAGTTGCCGGTACCACCACCACCTGATGAAGCAAGCAGAAGAATGGCTGCATTTACGCTCTAGTTTGCTATTCAGACATATTTACACGTCTGTTTGTGTGTGCTATAATTGGTTATTTAGATTTTGTGTACAATATTTTCATTTATTTAAAACATTTTTTGAATCGGCTTTGATTTGTATTTTATTAGTCTTTTATCTTTTTGGGGTAAAGCTGCTGTCACTTTTTCAATGCAAAATGCTGCATAAATAAAAAAATATATATATAAAATAACAACTGCAAAAATCTAGATATTGCAATATATATGAGCGAATATGTGGCACGATAACTGGAATTTTATATTTTTATATCTGAATACAGGGCTCCCTCGGATAATTATAAATATATAAATGAAGTACATTCATTAACACTCATTTAATACGCTGTAACCTAAGTTTTCATTTTAGAGTAGAAAGAATCCTGGTTACCAGAAGTTCCCGATTTATAGAATGTCAAATCGTGGTTCAAATGTATGCCCATAAGCTATGGGCCTATCATTTGGTAGATTTTTACCTGTCAGCATTCGACATAGACCTTGAGGAATATTAAAATATGATTTATGCAGATACTCCCTTAACATTTTTTTAACAAACATATATATTTACATATTGGTTTATGAGTATACCCATGTACGATTTGAACTTTTCTCTTATATTGTTACATGTATGCAAATCTACACATTTACTTCATACCATTTACTCATAAGATACAAAAAGGTGTTCGGGTTATCAAGTTATCGTAAAAGAAAACAGCTCTGTAAAATTTATTGTATTTTATAATTAAAATGCTCAAGTAATCATAATAGATGCCTTTTTTCAATTAATGTGCACATAAGTCTGAAAATAATTTAAACCCATTGAATGAAAAACAAAGAAGTATCACACAACAGCCATTTACCCATGCTCCCAATATTCTAATATACCTTTATTTCAAAACTGGTAGTAAACGAATTGATTTTTTTAGACATAAGTTAAAAAAGAGGCAAACTGTGCACTCATATCTCTCAAAGAAGGTGTACTCAATGGCTTGCACCTATGTGGATAGGAAAGCTTAAAAGGTGTGCGTTTTAAATTTAAATAGTTTCCGTACGAATATTTATATGCTCATGTTCATCATATATTTCAGTTAGATCACTTTCACATGTTACTTTTGTTTCGTTCTGTTATTGTAATTTTACTCCGGACCGACTTTAACATGGCTAGTCCCTGTTTTACACAAATCTTAATTTATCCGTTGCTCTGTCACTCGTTTGATTCCATTCGTTCCCTCATGCATTCGATGTCTTTGTGTTGGCAGCAACAAGACAGCTTGCGACCCTTAGCTGCAGTATATATTTCTGAATTTGATTTTCACCGATGATGAGTTTTGCCTTTTTGGTTATTTCTCCTCTGCTTCTGAATTCACTATATGTAAAGGGCCAAACGCAAATAGATGTCGGTATTTAGCAAAACCATCTATTCATGTTTCCTGTCACCCTCTAGTTGACCAACCAACGTTGCTAGTTGTCGGTTTCAGCGCACGCACAAATGCAAAAGGCATTCGTTGCCAAAATCGCACTTCAGCTTTATTCCCAAGTTTTACTTCGCCATGCTATTTGCAATAATACGACGACTTTGCCTCTTTTTTAGTACATTAGGCTTATGGCCTTAGCGTTACCAGCAACATTTGTTATTTATTGTTATTGTTATTGTTGTTAAGTACGCAGGTATGGGCGCGATGAGGGTGTGAATGGTTATCGTTGTACTGTTACAAGTATAGATTCGTCTCTTCGCTTGTCTTTTTCCTTCATGAATCAAATTTCTCGATTCTTGTAATACTATCAGGTTGAATCAAAATCTTCCATGTTTGCCTCGTCTTTTTGTCTGCTTTTAAATTCAGGCACGCTATGGCGATTGCATTATATGAAATGCACATTTTTAACTGTCAATCTTATATTCTATTTTCATATATACAGTTTTAAACATTCATACATAACTGTCGTACATTTTACATAAATGTAAACTCTGGTTTCGTGTGTAAAAGAGCTTACCGAATAAGTTGTGAAAAATTAATTAAAATACTATAATGCAAGTTTATGCAACACTCAACAAAAATATGTACCAGATGGGCGCTGTTTTGCTTTCCGTTTGTATTCAGTACTGACTGATAAAAAAAAGTGTGCTACAAATTTAAATCATTGCCTATAAACGGATATTCACATTGAGTGTTTCAACGAAATTTAATAAAACAGGAATATATTTTTTTAATTTACAGACAAATACTTCCAGAGGTCAATCACCATATCCGCCAGCTCACAGTCAAAACTCAGGTTCCTATCCAAGTTCGCCCCAACAGCAGCAGCAGCAGGCCCAACAGCAACAACAAGCTACACAACAGACAGGTGTTAGCGCTCCTGGAGCGCCCGGAGCGCCACCACCTGGACCCTCACAACAACAGCAGCAGCAACAAAATACACCGCCCACTTCTCAATATTCGCCGTACCCTCAAAGATACCCAACACCACCAGGCTTACCGACGACTGGGCCCAACCATCGAACTGCCTACACAACGCACCAGGTATGAAACATTTTAAATCGATATTCTATAAAAATAAAGCTACGCATTCCCAAAAACTTGGGACAAAAAACACTAGCGGCTCTGAACGTACATATGCCGTATACATACGTATAAAAAGTTGGAAAAATTAAAAATAGTTTCATTTTATGTACGATCAAAATCACGATATTTTTATATACTTTTAGTATCCCGAACCTAACCGACCATGGCCGGGCAGCTCATCTCCTAGTCCTGGTCCTGGCCACCCATTGCCGCCTGCCTCACCGCATCATGCACCACTCCAACAACCGCCAGCGCCGCATAGCGGTGGGGGCCCGGCACCTAGCAGCAGTCCAGGGCATGCACCGAGTCCATCACCGCAGCCCTCGCAGGCATCACCATCGCCACACCAGGTAATTATTTTGTACAAACATATAACAGCTTCTACTTTTAAATAAAGATACAACAATGGTCCTGTTAATAGGGCTCACCAAAATATTGATAACTAACTAGATCACTTGTTAGACTTTACGATATCGAAGTACGCATTCTTAACTGAATCGCGCTATCAGCGTGCAGGCCATGACAACAACTTTTATGTTGGCGGACTCTCAATCTTTGTATATTTTTTAGAGAGGAGTCAGTATGTATGCGTAGTACCCCATTCATTCATTTAAAATGTCCGTAATGGTCGCTGTTGCGCTGCCGTCAACATGCCTCATACCACTTTTTTCTCATTCCCTTTATGTTGTTGTAGTGTGTGCACAAATACATAGATAAAATACAAATACACTCAAGATCTTACAAAGAGCAGCTGTTTTCATATATGTATGCATTTGGGTCAATGCCAAGGTTGTTGTTGCTTGCGGGCTGTTCACTTTTATATTCCGTGCTGACAACGCCGAGTAAATTTACTCGCGAAGTTTAGGCTTTAAGGAATTCACTTTCTTTTATAAGATGTGTTCAAGGAGAAGCCATAATAATAAGCTGATAGAGTGCTAAGTGCAAACCTTAACTTTTATTCAGTGTTGCCATTGTAGGAATTTATAACAGAAAAATTCAAATTAATAAATAATATCAGATATTTGAATAGTTTCGCTTTGTACTTAAATTTACGCAATAAAATAATTTTTTAATGCATTTTCTAAACTGCCCGTATTATATCCTTTATCATGCTTTAGTCATTTATACAAAATTCTTTAACGCGAACAAATTTTTTTTTAGAATTATGATATTCATTTTATTTTCTTACCCGTGCGAAATTCCTATCTTCATTCACATTTACTAACCATTTGTTTTACTCATCAAGTGGTACCCGTTAACACAAGCGAATACATAAATCAAAAAGCAGATACAAAAAGGCGCGCACACCTAGAAATAACGTGAATTTTCGCCAGATGCGGTAGGGCTTTACAGCAATGGTGTTTAACAATTGAGTTGTGTCAAGGATTTTTTGCTGCTCTCTTCTTCTGCTTAGAAAAATTTAATTAATTACGAAACTGACTAACTTCTATGTTTAACTAGGCAAAGCCATTTTCAAAATATACATTCTTAAATGTATATGTATGAACGTATGTATGTGTGTATCTACATATTCTCACTTACCGTCTGTATATAAATTGGGATAAATAAACTACATTCTGCAATAACATATTTAAATCATGAAAAATCATCTCCCCGACCTTTCATGTAGGAATTTTTATTTCTATGAATTTTAAATTTTTATTCGTCAAAGGCTTTACAGTAACTTTTTTTGCGCTTGGCGGCAGTTTGTTTGGTGTGATTGCAAGTATAACTATACAATATATTGCCTTTATTTTTTTCGGTCTCGTATTAATAATAATAATAATTTAAAACAATTTAATTATTAAGTTGAATTCCATGCCCCGTAAAACATTATCTTTGCTTTAAGATTTTTTTTAATATTTGTACACTTTATACAATAATGCAAACACTGTACAATAACAAATGCCCGCACAAACGCATTTTTATTATATATTATTTCATTGTGCTGTTCCCGTAGCGGTTGTTTTTCTTTCCAAGTAATTTTTCTACATGCCGGCAGCAAGCGTTTACATATGTACAAACCCACTCACACGTAAAAACGTGGGTCGCCTTCATCTTGAGGAGCGTTGCCCCATCGTTCATCGTTTTTTTACATTTGCCTTCTGCTGTCGCTGCCTGTGGTGGCTTTGCTATTCTCGTCATCAACGTCGCAGCCATCGCCTATGCTACTCAAGTATACTCCATGCTTGGCCTCTATTCCCCCCAACACATTTTTCACCCATACTTGAAGCACTCGACGCTCTTGCTTTTTTTTCTATGTGTATGGCACGAAAGCGAATGAACAGAGAAACGAGCAAAGAAACGAATAGCTGGCGCTGTTTTTATTATTATTTTTTTTTTTATTATAGTTTAACGTTGAATGTGTGTGGTATACGTGTCTGTGTGAGTATGTATGCCTGTGTTCACGTTGCTGTTTCTTATCTACGTCTTTGTCATCGTACGTTGGCTCACTCAAAGCGCGCCATAACTACCACTGCCACATCTCCAATCCACGTCCCTCTGCACGCTTTCAAGTTGCAGTCTGCGTCGGCTTCGTCGTTATTCGTTCCACATATATACATAGCTTTTGCTCTGCCTGATATTGCTGTTGTTGTTTTTGTTTTGCGCTTTAACTTTGCCCGTAGCTATGCCCGTCAGTTCGTCGTACATTTCATTTCAGTTCACTTAATTTCTCAGATACCAAAACGAACAGTGTTTTTGCCGTCGCGGTCACTTCCCCCCCTCATCAACATTTATATCGACAATGTTGATCCCGCGCTGTTCGTTTTACTCTGCGACTCGAATTGCTGTCGGCTTAAGCCTCTGTATTTGGCTTTGTCTGCAGACAAACATATGTACGTATGTATTTACTAGTATATGCACATACATATGTCTTATTTGTTCTCACTTGTGTTCAGCTTTTTGTATTCTCAAAATGTTACAATCGCCCGTTGAGGTTTAATATTCAGAATCATTTTTTTAATTTTTAATATTTTGGAACTATGTATACTGTTTTCGCAGGGTGTACATGCATAAATGAATAGATCGTATTTAAACAAAAATTTTTAAAAAGTGCAGTATTTTATTAAGCTCTGCTAATGGGACTAAACTATGGTTGTATTACTCTTAATATGTTTCAAGGATTTAATAGAAAAGCTGATTCAATATATATATAACACTATTTGCGTCTTTAATTTAGGAGCTGATTGGGCAAAATAGTAACGATAGTTCAAGTGGCGGTGCACATAGTGGTATGGGCTCTGGTCCGCCCGGTACACCTAATCCACAGCAAGTCATGAGGCCAACACCCTCGCCTACCGGCTCATCGGGCTCAAGATCTATGTCTCCTGCAGTGGGTAAGTATATGACGATTCTTGTAAGTTAAACCAATACTGAATTCGCTTTAATTTAGCACAAAATCATCCGATTTCGCGCCCAGCGAGTAATCAGTCAAGTAGTGGCGGTCCCATGCAGCAACCAGCAGTGGTTTCTGGCCCACCCCCATTGCCACCACACGGTCTATCGGGTGGGCCATCATCTCAGCAACAATCTCAGCAGCAACAGGCTTCAAATTCAGCATCTTCAGCGAGTAATTCTCCGCAGCAGACGCCACCACCAGCACCGGCGCCAAACCAAAATGTTAACAATATGGCTACACCACCGCCACCGCCGCAAGGGGCTGCAGGTGGTTATCCAATTCCGCAGCATATACATGGCAGTTACAAAATGAGCTTGCCGGGACAGAGTCCCGGCGCGCAGGGATATCCTCCACAACAATATCCTCAAGGTATTATTCATAAAACGTAGCTTTTGAACGTTTTTAAAAAATTTGTTATTTTACTAGGCAACTACCCGCCACGCCCTCAGTATCCGTCAGGAGCGTATGGAACTGGGCCACAACCTCCTCCAACTAGCCAGCCCGCTGGGGTAGCTAACAGCATGCCAACCGGCGCACAAGCTGGTTACCCTCGATCTATGCCTAATCACGGTAGTGGGAGCCCTCATTCGCAGTATCCGCCCTATCAGTGGGTGCCACCTTCGCCCCAACAGTCTGGACCTGGGAGTGGATCAGGACAAATGGGCACTGGTATGGGAAACCACGTGCAAGGCAAGGGCACACCGCCACCAGTTGGACCACCACCACCACAAAGCAGTGGTTCTCCGCGCCCTCTTAATTATCTTAAACAGCATTTACAACACAAAGGCGGATATGGTGCTAACCCAGCCGGTCCACAGCCGCAGGGATATGGCAATGGGCCGACCGGCATGCATCCGGCAATGCCTATGGGCCCACCACATCATATGGGTCCGCCACAAAGTATGGGGCCACCTACTAGCACGCCGCCTCAGGCTATGCTAGGCGCACAGACCGGAAGTGACACTGAGCATATATCTCAAGACAATGGCATAAGTTCATCAGGGTCTTCGCCAGCCACGGCATTGCATGCAGTTACCGCAGTTGTTACAACTGGACCAGATGGTACACCAATGGATGAAGTTAGTCAACAGAGCACACTTTCAAATGCGTCAGCTGGTGGGTACCTTTAAATAAATGTTAAGACGAATAACTGAGACTTTGTCATGTTACAGCATCAGGCGAAGATCCACAATGTACCACACCAAAGTCGCGCAAACATGATCCATATAACCAAAGTCATTTAGCTCCCCCAAGCACATCTCCGCATCCAGCTGTAATGCATGGAGGCGCTGGTCCAACTGGTGAAGATTATGAAATGAATTCGCCCCCGAATTGGCCACGTCCAGCCGCTAGTTCGGTAAGCATTTTTTAAATTAGAAAATGTTCAACAAAATGACCCGCTCTTCTATTTGCAGCAGGTTTTTAACAGTCATGTTCCTGTTCAACAAGAGCCATTTCGTAGTACTATTACAACTACTAAAAAATCAGACTCGCTTTGCAAGTTGTATGAGATGGATGACAATCCTGATAGGCGAGGTTGGCTTGATAAACTGCGTGCTTTTATGGAGGAACGCCGTACACCAATAACAGCGTGCCCAACCATTTCAAAACAGCCACTCGATTTATATAGGTTATATATTTATGTAAAAGAACGTGGCGGATTCGTCGAGGTATGCAAGGTGCCGTAGTAACTCCTTTTACTAACTTCTTTTTAGATTTACTAGCAAAACCAAATCAAACAAACCAAAATTAATGTTCAACCAACCAAATCAATCAAACCACCAAACACCACCAACCAAAGTAAAAAATTTAGCTAACCCTTAAAAAAATGATTTCTTTAAATGTGAAACAATCAAGAAACGGTCATACATTTCCTAATATTCAGTAGCATGACATCCAACCCCGTTCATTCCGTTTGTACGACCTGAAAGTACTTACCGTCTTTTTTACATCATTATGTTAAATGACTCAGAAACATGATAGATCTAATAATTTTCACACTTTTGCATGCATTTTTTGTCAGCATGCTTTTAAAAGAACTTTTTAATATTTACTTTCTACTGAGTGTCAACATTTATTCGCCATTAAACTTAAGAGGTTACGTTCAACATTTTATTTTGAAGAATTATCTTTCAAGTTTGATTTATATCTTCATTACTAACACATTTTCTAAAATTATTGTTGAATGCGTATTAGTTAAACGCTTCAATTGCTCGTATTTTATGTATCTTTCATATTTATTAATGATGTACCTCAATAGTCTAACCTCTGTTATTTTCAAATATATACGCATATTTTCGTTGTTGTTGACAGGTAACTAAGAGCAAGACATGGAAGGATATTGCCGGTCTTCTAGGCATTGGCGCTAGCAGTAGCGCCGCATATACACTTCGGAAACACTATACAAAGAATCTGTTGGCATTCGAGTGCCACTTTGATCGCGGCGACATTGATCCATTACCCATCATTCAGCAAGTGGAAGCCGGTAGCAAGAAAAAGACAACCAAGGCAGCATCGGTGCCATCACCAGGTAAGTGTTTACAGATGATATGGTTAGAGGTTTAATAGGCTAGGCTTGTATACTGCTATATAGTTTGCAAATGAACTTAATCTGCTACAAGCGGCAGAACCTTTTTCCTAATTATCTTTATATTTTATATCAATATAATGTTTCTCCCAACTTTTTCTCACTATTTCTTACAATGCCCAAATATTCAAACCAATCGGTGGTGGTCATTTGGACGCTGGAACAACAAATTCTACAGGATCATCAAACTCGCAGGATTCTTTCCCTGCACCACCAGGTGGCGCACCGAATTCGGCAATCGATGGCTACACGAGCTACTCTGGCGCTGGTGCATATCCACCATCTGCTGGACCACAACCAGATTATGCCACAGCAGGCCAGATGCCAAGACCACCGTCGCAAAACAATCCGCAGGCACCTCATCCAGGTAAGCAATATTATTTATTAAATTAATCTGAGAGTTTCATATATATATATACATATATATATATATATTTATTTACACATGTATATATATATGAGTGTATTATTAACAATTATTTTATTATTGTAAGATTATACTTATCCTCTTCAATATTTTGTGTTTTCAATGTTATATGTGTATTGCAAATAGATAATGCATATATATTTTGTTCGCCTACAATTTAATTTGAATATTAATTTCATGTGTGTAATTTGTTTATTCATTTTTATGTTGGTTACGTAAATATGGGCGCACTATTATTAAAAATAAAAAATTAAATCATCTGACACCACCAACAACAACACCACATCGCACCACTAAAATTACAAAACAACTTCGACATTGCTCAACCAAACCTTAACCTTCCTGTCAACTACAAATCTTATTACGTTTATACTGTGTCATTCATTAATTTCTTCATCAATCCATAATCATCATCAATGCCGCTTGCCGCTTTAGGCACACAAAATCAATCAGCTGCCACTGTTGCCGGTGATAACATAAATGTGAGCAATCCCTTTGAAGATCCTATTGCTGGCGGTGTGGCCGCTGGTGGTGTTGCTGTTGCTGCAGTTGGTGGTGCGTCACACGGTGCTCCTCCACCGCCCCCACATTCACCGCACTCAGCGCCACAATCGGGCAACCAACACCACCAACAAGGCATTCCAACGCAATTGCCGTCGCCGTCGCAGCAACCACCGGCGCCACCACCACAGCAACATGGGCCGCCGTCGACGCAGCATGCGCGCCCTGGAACTGGAGTACCTTATCCACAGGGTAGCTCTGGGTATCCAACGCCTGTGTCTAGAACGCCAGGTACATTCATCTTGTTTTCTTTTTTATCTTTTGTTATACAAATTATTTTAATGTGTCATTATTTTAATTTGATTATTTAAACTCTTCATTGGCTTAAGTCTGCATGTGGGTCGTAGAATAATTGCTTGTGCATAGAAATATTTTACATTGCTTATTTCATTGTATGCCTTATCTGTCTTGTTTACCAATTTAAAAGCAACTTTTTGAAGCAACTGTTGTAAACTGTGTTTTGTTAAATTTAATTGATTTATATAATTATTAATATTTATAATTATTAGATCTTTGTCTCTATTGAAAGAAAAAGTGTTTAGTTTTTATGTTTGACTGTGCTGATTCATTTAATTAACACTATAAATCTATGAAATGGCTCAAATTGTTGCATAAGGGTACTTAAAAAGGTAAAAAGAAAATAATGTAATAATATGATTAAACAAACTAAAGAAAAAACAGTGATTTTTGTATTGTGTTTTAAACTGCTTTTTAATTAGTCAAATTTCAATAAATAATTAGTATTTAATTTTTGTCCATTTCTGTACCGCCACTATAACTTGTTTCTTGTAACTGTGTAGGATGACAATAAATTTAAGCACATATTTATAATTATTACAGGTTCTCCTTATCCAACACAACCAGGAGCTTATGGTCAATATGGTTCAAGCGATCAGTATAACTCCGCTGGTCCGCCTGGTCAACCTTTTGGACCAAATCAGGGCCAATATCCACCCCAGAATCGCAACATGTACCCTCCTTATGGACCCGAAGGGGAAGCGTGAGTGAACAATTCCTATACATGCATCTTCATTACACTCAGATACACATACATTTATATTCAGAAATTCAACCGTACTCAGCTTAATTTTATTTACCATTGTTTTAAATACATATGCCATTTTTTTTTTAATGAAATTTGTTATTTTTTTTACACAGCCCGCCAGCTGGCGCTAATCAGTATGGTCCCTATGGAAATCGACCCTACAGTCAGGCACCACCGGGCGGACCACAGCCACCAGCACAAGCCGTAACGGGTGGACCACCAGCTAGTGGAGCACCAGTAGCACCCCCAAATAGTGGCTATGTGCCAAGTACTCCTAATCAGCAGGACTACTATAGACCGCCAGATCAAGTAAATTCAAGCTTGCAGAATATATATTTACAAAAATAACTAAAATTTTACTTTTAAAGAGTCCCCAACCGCGCCGACATCCCGACTTCATAAAAGACTCGCAGCCTTACCCAGGCTATGCTGCGCGGCCTCAAATTTATGGTAAGTGTTTTACTGTTTTTTTTTTTATTTATTACTTTTTATTTATTTATTCGTTTTTTATAGGTGGTTGGCAAGGCAACAACCCACAATATCGTCCCCAGTATCCCACGTCGTCTGCACCACAATCATGGGGAAATGCCCCACCTCGGAGTGCTGCTCCTCCTGGAGGTCCGCATGGTCCGCACGGACAGCAGCAAACGGGTGTAGCTCAGTGGGAACAGCATCGTTACCCACCTCAACAACCCCCACCACCTCCGCAGCAGCAGCAACAACAGTCTTATCAGCAGAGTACTCCGCCTGGACAACAACAACAGCAAACGGCACCACAGTGGGCGCAAATAAATGCGGTTCAAGCGCCACCACAAACAAGTATTTCGCAGCCGGGATCGTCATTGCGTCCACCAGTTGGAGTTGCACAGCAACAACGTATGCCCAGTGGAGTGCCTGTAATGACGCCACAACAACAGCAGGGGCAAACCGTAACACAATCACCACATGGAGGCGTACCAACATCAAGTATGCCGCCGGTGACAGGGGGCATGGTAAAGCCGCCTTTTGCTATGCCACCCCCATCACAATCTGGAGGCGCCTCACCGGGTGTGCCCATAGTTGGTAGCGCACCAGCCACTATGATTGCACAAAAGCAGTCACCAATAGTTGGACAGGGAATGCAGCCTACGCAACAGCAGCCGCCACATCAGTTGTCTAACCAGCAAGCTGCCTATTCCCCACAAGTAACTGGCGTAGGTGCACAGCTGGTGAAAAAGGAGTTAATCTTTCCGCACGATAGTGTAGAGTCAACTACGCCGGTGCTTTATCGCCGAAAACGCCTGACGAAGGTTGACGTGTGCCCTGTCGATCCATGGCGAATTTTTATGGCCATGCGTTCGGGTCTACTTACTGAGTGTACATGGGCGTTAGATGTTCTTAATGTTCTTTTGTTTGACGATTCCACAGTACAATTCTTTGGCATATCAAATTTGCCTGGTCTGTTAACCCTGCTGCTGGAACACTTTCAAAAGAATCTCGCCGAAATGTTTGATGAACGTTGTGAAGAGGCGACAGACGAGGCAGATGATGATGCTGACAGTGGTACTGTTGTATCATTGAAGATTGAAGAAAAGCTGCAACGTAGACAAAGCCGATGTGTGCATAGCATCTCCAGCTACAACCGAAGAAGGCACTACGAAAACATGGATGTAAAGCGTGTTGGCCGCAGTGAAGACTCCGATGATGCTGACGAGGGCATCGACTTGGGTCAGGTACGTGTCCAGCCTAATCCTGAAGAGCGGTCGCTTCTCCTTTCGTTTACTCCAAATTACACTCTGGTCACGCGAAAGGGTGTACCAGTCCGCATTCAAACGGCAGATCATGATATCTTTGTTGACGAGCGTCAAAAAGCTTGGGATATTGACACTAATAAGGTATATGAGCAGCTCGAACCAGTAGGCAGCAATGCTTGGACTTATGGCTTCACGGAACCCGACCCACTTGATGGTATTATCGACGTGTTTAAGTCAGAGATTGTTAACATTCCATTTGCTCGATTCGTACGCTCTAAGTATAAGAGCAAGCAGGATGTCGCACAGAAAAGTGGCAAATCGATGCGACCAGACGACATTTCATCTGTTCTTAAACAGGAGGACACTACAAGTAGTACCGAAGATGGCAGTCTTCTTCAACAGACTTATAATAAGAAAAGGCGGCTTGTAGGCAGTATTTGCACAGCCAATAGTGACAGCAAGAAGTCCAAATCAGGAGAAGAGTTTGCACAACCAACTGTCGACGCTAAAAAAGAGATGAACATCGAAATTATGGGAGCCAGTTTAACAGACAGTGATTGCCGAACCATCGATATGGAAATCGAGTCACCGCAACAGCTACGACTTACAAATGGAGTCACATCGTTACCAAAGGGATTCGACCCGAAGTCAACAGTGCGCGATGATGCGCAAGTTTTAAAACGACGCCGCGACTCTAGCTACGAAGACGAATGCTATACGCGGGACGAAGCCTCTTTGTACTTAGTAAACGACAGCCAGGACTCATTAGCACGTCGCTGCATTGCTCTTTCAAATATCTTTCGAAATTTGACTTTTGTACCCGGGAATGAAACAGTGCTGGCTAAGTCAACGAGATTTTTAGCAGTGCTCGGCCGCTTACTCTTGCTGAACCACGATCACTTGCGGCGGACCCCTAAAACTCGCAACTACGATCGAGAAGAGGATACAGACTTCACCGATTCTTGCAGCTCACTGCAGGGTGAGCGCGAATGGTGGTGGGAATATTTAATAACCATACGAGAAAATATGCTCGTGGCCATGGCTAATATAGCTGGGCATTTGGAACTTTCTCGTTATGATGAATTAATTGCGCGTCCGCTTATTGACGGATTACTACACTGGGCGGTGTGTCCCAGTGCGCATGGCCAAGACCCATTTCCATCTTGTGGCCCGAACTCTGCGCTCTCACCGCAACGCCTTGCCCTAGAAGCGCTATGTAAGTTGTGTGTAACAGATGCGAATGTTGACTTGGTTATCGCGACACCACCATTTTCACGATTGGAGAAACTATGCGCGGTTCTGACGCGTCATTTGTGCAGGAACGAGGATCAAGTGTTGCGCGAGTTTTCTGTAAACTTGCTGCACTATCTGGCTGCAGCAGACAGTGCCATGGCTCGCACCGTAGCACTACAATCGCCTTGCATCTCTTACCTTGTTGCATTTATTGAACAGGCTGAACAAACCGCATTGGGTGTCGCAAATCAGCATGGTATCAACTATCTGCGCGAAAATCCCGATTCAATGGGCACAAGCTTAGATATGTTACGACGAGCAGCAGGCACGTTGCTACATTTGGCCAAGCATCCAGATAATCGATCACTTTTTATGCAGCAGGAGCAGCGGTTGCTTGGATTGGTAATGTCACATATATTGGATCAACAGGTAGCACTGATTATATCGCGAGTGCTTTACCAGGTATCTCGCGGGACCGGTCCATTACATTCAGTTGAGTACAGATTGTTGCAGCAACGTCAACAGCAACAACGGCCCATCCAGACGCCGTCTGAAAAGCTAATTGCGCCAACAGCGACCAATAATGTAAAACAAGAGCCCTCCTTGCAGCCAGATGTGTCTGCAGATGCTAAGCCTTCAACTGCCGTGGTCATGGCAGCTGTTATCAACGATGATAACAGCAACAGCAGTCAACAATTGCCACCAGCGGCAACATTTAATGATGTCAGCAATAGTAGCACCAACAGTAATAGCTGCGGCACCGTCAGCAGCAATCAGACTAATAGCAGCAGCTTGGGTAGCAGTAGTCAGCCTACTCTTAACAACTTGGTGACACCTAGCGAGCAACAAGTGGGTAAAGCTCCATCCGCTTCGTCTTCCGCTATGTCATCTAACAATTTAGGTCACATAAACGACTCCGCTTCATCGTCGAATTCAACTCCCCCATCAACTGTGACCCAACCGACTGCGCCGCCGCCAGCAAATACGAATACAACAGCTGCAGTTGCGTAGTATACAACAATGCTACCGGCAACGTCTTACTATTGGCAAAATGCTAGTGCTGTCGAAGGAATTTGCAAAAGAAACTAAACGTATTGAGCGAACACACACATTATACAATTATATTGATAAAACTTGAGAATGCGATTTGTATTCTCTTAAAAATGTTTAATCAAATAATGTAAATCAACTGAATGGGATATAACACGATGTGCGTAATGAAAAGCGAATTTTCTTTAAACCATAGCGACAGAGACCGTGTAGGTTTAAAGTAAAATAGGGAAAACTTGGAACAGCTTCTAACACAACACCATGACCACTCAACCACTATGGTCACACAATAACTGTATATTTTTTCACTCAAATCTATAGTTAATATAAAGTCAAAAATGGTCTGGCGTTATTATAGCCCCCTTCAAATTTTAGCAATGAATTTTCAACGTCAAACTTAAGGCAGAAGATTTAATTGCATATATATGCATGCGTAAAAGTTAAGCACACAATATACTTATGTATTAAATTTAATAAAAAATAATAATTAAAAACTAATACACACATATGCATACGTTATATATATATATATATATATATATATATATGTGTATGTAAACATATATATATATACATGTATATATATAATAATAATAATAATAATAATAATAGAAACGAATTACGTGTGTTAAAATAAACATATATAGACGTTAGTTTTTAAATTCTTAATTATACTACTTATGTCATACGAAGTCATAAAATGAACATACAACCTTACTATGTATGCATATGCGTATGTAACCCGATAAGAAATATGTAATACAATTAAATGGATATTAACGTGGACAAACTGATATGAAAAAAACAACAACACAGACACATACCTTATAAAAACAAAAAAATGTACATACTTAACTATTTTGTAAATTGTATCTTGTATTTTGTTTTCGCGTTGCTATAATGCAAAGCTCATTTCGTATTATGTATGTATGTGTGAAGTATCGAAGAATGATTCAAACTCATTGGATGCTCGTAAAACTTGTTTTATAATAATTTTGGCAAGCTAACTGCACAAAAGCAGAAATTATAGAACGGGAGCACTTGATGTAATTTTTATGTTGTTTTTTTTTATTATTTACTGAAGTGCTGCTGGAACAAGGTTTAATTTTACATTAAACATAATTTAGGCATAAATGACAAGTTTAATTAATAAGTTTTTATCTTAATCTTAATTTAAAAATATTCAACCTTAATGAAACACAGTTCATAAAAAATTAGAAAGGAATACAAACTAATCGATATAGAATCACGCAAAATTAACTTACATGCTTACTATTATAAAGACGTGAAACCAATAGAAAACATATATTGCAGATTTATTGAGCACCTGAAAATGGACATGTGCGAAATGTTGTAAGCGGTACTTTGATGCATAAACAATAAATGCCCAAAGTACATGGCAATATAACAAAATGGACTGATGTTTAAAAAAAAATTGAAGTCAAGTAGACTGGGCTGTTAGCAAGCCCTGGCATAAGTATAATGTCATGTCGATCAACAGGAACACAAGGATCAGTTGAAGCCCTAAAGATATATAATTTATGTAGTTTTCCAAAACAAAAATATGACTCAACATCTCGATATCGATATAATTACCTGTAGTTATTAGTGTATAATTTTGCTAGGATGTAAATGTATGTCCCTCAAACTTAATTTAATTATTTAATTAATATACATATATAATATAAAATAAAGTGTTTTTTATATGATCGGGGATGTGCACACACTTATATACGTAAGAGCTTACATGACGTAAGTGTAATGCATGTAAGATTTTTCGCATTCAATATTTAAGCGCCCATTCATGCAGACTGGCATATCGGAGTTTTTATGGTAAATGTGGGGACTTTTTAATGCTTATAGCCGAACTGTTCAACTACGTAAAGTCATAGGATCTCAAAGCCAACACTACGCTTTCAAACCAGTTGCTAAGCAAGAAGTTGGTCTTTCCCTCTCGGCTAAGAACAGTAAGTTTTCCTTCGAGAAATGACAAACAGGGACGATAACCCATAATTTAGGTTAAGCATTCTATTTAAAAATACCGATATTTTCAAGACCTAGAGGTCCGTTAGGAGAGAACATTTTGCTGAAAAATGGGAAAAATTGGATGTTAATATTACTTTTGAGTGTAAACTTAAATGTTTTGTACAAATATATTATGATGTACAACAAAGTAAAACCAAAATGTTAAGCAACCGTAAAGCAAATTTCTGAAAAGTGGGCACACTGAACACATCAAAATATCGATAACGTTAAATCGACAACTGCACCAGTATCCGATTTTTCTGCAAAAGTGGGTGTGTGCTATTTGGTTTGCTAAAAAAGATTCCTTGAATTTTCAAAGGTTAAATATAAAAGGTTATTAAGCTGAAACAACACTTAATTTTAAAACCGTCTTTTGAATATGGGCATATCAAGTTAAAACTCGTTTAGAGATCGAATGATCTGCTAAGCTGCATACAGTATGTAAAGAAATTGTTTTCACATTAGAAGAAAAAATGTACATGACATATTCAGTTTTATGTCTTAAGATACATACGTATACACACATGCGCAAGGATATACAAATACGGAAAATTATATTATCCTGTAATTTTGTGCATATATACTTATACACACGCATGTAACATAGGGTTCGTGGTGTACAAGCCTATTTTATCGATTCAACTAAAGCAGAAAGTTGTATTACCGCTAGTATTTTTGCTTCAATGTATGTACATGTATGTACCTTATCGCACTTTTAATGCATACGTATGTACATACATATGTATGTGGGTTGGTAAGTCGAATAAAAAATCAACCCGTTAATTTCAAAAGCCAGCTTAAGCTATGTATTAATAATAAAAACCGATTGAGTTTTTTCTTCCTGCGTTTAAATAGGCATTACGTTTAAGTCATTTGGTACAATTGCTCTTTCCACATAAAAGGCTTAGGCAACTGCTCGCCGCATTGAAGCCTATAAAGGTCACTGCCCGCTTACGTGTTTATCTCATCTGAATAATTTGCGATTATTGATATGTGGAAATTGTTAGTAGCAGCCGCACAATCATTTAATACAATATACTAACTTTTTCAGAACAATGTCTGCTAGCCCAAAGCCTGTTAAGAAAGTGCCCATACACTTACAAAGTGCCCAAAATCGAATATATATTAAAAACGGCGAAGTCGTAAATCATGATAAAAGTTTTAAAGCGGACGTTTACATCGAGGATGGTATCATAAAGTAAAAAATAACCAAATTCCATTAAAAACTATATAACTAACCTTATTGGACTTAATGCAGATTTGTTGGGCCTGCTTTCGAAATAACAATACCTGGAGGCGTGCGTATCATAGATGCAACGGGAAGAATGATTATACCGGGGGGCATTGACCCTCATACCCATCTTCAATGTCCTATAGGAGACAACGTTACCGTTGATGAGTAAGTTTTCATTTAACTGCATTTTCGTATAGTACATTTTTTTTTGTATTTAAAGTTTTTATCGGGGAACAAAAGCGGCAGTGGCTGGTGGCACTACAATGATAAGTAGGAACCTCTTCAATACCACTTTTCAGTTTAGTTACTAGTAATAATAATTTTATCGCAATTAGTTGATTGTGTACTACCCAAGAAACACGAGTCAATGGTGGAGGCTTACGATAAGTGGCGTAGCTGGGCGGACCCTAAAGTATGTTGTGACTATGCTTTACATGTGGGCGTAACTTGGTGGTCCAAGTCGGTTTCCGAGGAGATTGGCATACTATGCAAGGAACTAGGCGTAAATTCGTTCAAAATGTATATGGCCTATAAAGGCCTCTACATGTTAAGCGATTCTGAGCTTTTGGATATTTTCGAGCGAATTAGAAGCCTAAATGCAGTGGCAATGGTAAGTTGAACCTGTACGCATATCATATACGATGAGCTTAATTATTTACTAGGTGCATGCCGAGAATGGTGACATCATAGCGAAGAATACCAAAAATTTGTTAGCCGAGGGAATCTGCGGGCCCGAGGGGCACGAATTGTCACGGCAGGAGGAAGTTGAAGCAGAGGCTGTACACCGCGCTTGCATTTTAGCCCACCAGGTAAGTATTTTATTTAAATAAAATGTACGAATGCACATTTAGTCAAAATTGTATAAAATAAAGCTCGTGGGAACTAGGGAAATGTTACAATAAATGTACATATACATATGTTACTTGTTAATTGTTTATTTTGTTTTTAATTTATTATTATTTCCATTAAGTATGATGCACTCTTGTACATAAATAAGAATGTATGCGGTATGTGGCACTTGATAATACTCCAATAAATATAACCCCCGATGCTGCACTTTTAAAAATATAAATTTTGATTGCCTGATACATGTACTCATATTATGTGCAAATTAAATGGCATCAAAGTAGCGCGGCACCAATAGCCTGTGCCCGTACTTAAATCAAACAGAGCTATAAGCTAAATCAACCTTTGTGGCCAGTAACGATACAATGACGGCCGAGATCCTGATCAAGCTTCTGGCGAAGTAAGTAATATAGATACTGGATTGTCCTATAGCATTATCGCCCAATAATTTTGTTCATATCACTTAAAATCATCAAACATACTGCAAATAAATACTAATGCCTATAAATCTTTAATTTTTCTTATAAAAACTCTGCTTAGATGAAGACACCTCTATACGTTGCCGGTGTAACATCCAAGTCCTCTGCAGAACTCGTAGGTCGTGCCCGTCGTAGCGGCTATTCCGTGTTCGGTGAAACGCTTGCAAGCTCTATTGGCCGCAGTATGAGCAGTGTTAGCAAATCGGAACGAGTTTATTATATTACTAGTCCACCAATTCGTATGTCGGCAGAAACGCCAAGGCAATTAATGAAATCTTTAGCATAGTAAGTATATTGTAGTAACACACATTTGCTAGTAATCTTACAATCTCCCATCGTTTTTGATACGGCAGCGACGATCTACAGGTGACAGGGAGTGATAACTGCACCTACAATAAGAAACAAAAAGAACTGGGTTTATTTGACTTTACTAAAATACCAAATGGTGTTAATGGTGCTGAGGATCGGATGTCGGTGGTGTGGGAGAAGGGAGTACATCAGGGCCTTCTTGATCCATGTAGATTTGTGGCTGTAACTAGCACTAATGCCGCAAAAATTTTTAATATTTACCCACAAAAAGGACGAATTGGTATGTTGAAAATGTGTAAATATTTACATGTGGCAAAAGTCTACGTATTTGGAAAAAAATATATACATATATATCACCTTTTTAAAATTTTTTGTTATCTTAGCTGTTGGCTCGGATGCTGATATTGTTATATGGAATCCACAGGCTACACGTACCATTTCTAAAGAAACCCATCATCATGCTTGTGACATAAATATTTTCGAAGGTATGACTGTTCATGGTGTGGCTGAATATGTATTAGTGCGCGGACGAATTTGTGCCGAGAATGGATCCGTTCGCGTTGCAGAAGGGTTTGGACGTTTCATACCAATGCCACTACGGCCGCCATTTGTTTATGACATTATTGAGGGAAAAGTGCGATCATCTGAAGAGCAGCACGAGGAAAATCAAAACGGCCACTTGGCTAAAAAATTTGCTGAATTAGACATTCTAATACCAGAAGAAAAAAATATTTCTGCAATGCTAGCTGGTAATATGCCATTGGCGGCAGGAGGTTCCCCTTGCAGCACGCCATCTGTGCGTGGCCGTGTTGATGGCCATCGAGACATGCAAGAATCATCTTTTTCGATTAGCGGTGAGTTAGCTAAACTATGTTGTTTTCATTGTTACATATATTCGTTTTTTTTTTTTTTTAGAGGAACTAGACAAATCCAGTGTTCGTTCTTGTATTAAAGTTAAGAATCCGCCAGGCGGGAAATCATCTGGATTTTGGTAAAGCAACTGGCGTTATTTAAGGGTATAATAATCGCACAACGCGGTCATTATAACAAAAATCTGGGCTTATATAAAATTAGATATCCAAACACCAAAAATTCCATTCATATACCCTCAAATTAACTTAAATATAGCCGCGAAAATTGTTTATTCACATCAATTTCTAGGTTAATGAAGTGACATCAATATATTTGAATATAGCTTAATTTTCGTTGAATATACTCAGTGTTTAAATTTTATGAATTTGAAGCTACGTTTAATTTTTGGTATTTTCAAAATAAATTATCAGAATATGTACACAATATAATTGCTATTGATTTTACGTTACTTTGTAGGTATGCACTCTTTATTTAAAAATGATGATTGACAAATTATTTAATTAAAAATTAACTCAAATTACGCATTACAATATACAGTTATTTACGCTTGATACATAATTACATTTGTTTCTTCAACAATATACATAAATACTCATGTTGCAAATAAAATACTCCCCTATCTGCCTTTTGACAAATATGCATTTAAAATCTAACTCTAATATAATTCAGAGGGTAATTAGGAGCCTAAGTAAATGATTCCGAATTTTCAACAAATTTATTGGGTCAATATAATTGAATTAATAATTTATATAAACTGAATCGATTAACTCATGAGGTCCAATAAAAGTTTCTGTTTTGCATGTCTGTTTTCATCAATTTACTTACAGTTTGTTAAAGCAAAGCAGTATTACTCACAAAGTCATATGAATAAAAAAAAAAGTAAAAGTAAAAAACAAAAAATTTGTTTTATTTAACTTTTTGAGTTTGTGGTGCTTTCAATAAAATCAAAAAACGAAAATTAACAGACGAGTTTGCTGCTTAATATATATATTCACTTCTGTATTAGCTTATTCTCTAAAATCATTTGTAGCGTAACCTAAAATTGACTTAACAACTAAATTTCAATAGCAATGACAATATTTGTATTTGCGCTTACGGGCGTCGATTGTGATTTATGGAGGCGTAGGAATGCTTTCGGCCGCTAAACATAATTTTGTTAAGAAAACGCTATAAAGACCATTTTGCTGTCCATTTTGAGATTCAAAACATTTTTGAATATATCTCATAACACGTTCAGATACTCACCGCCCACTATCCCTACGTTCGCTTATAGCTTCTTTAAATATGCGGCACATTTGACGGCACTGCTTACTTGTCCCGTATTTAGCAGACCTAACTTCTTGTGTTTAGCGCGGAATTTCCTTACATAGGCATCAATTAAATTTTTTATTTTGTGGGGATTAATTTCACCAGAGCGACTGTGACAAATCTATAAGTTTGGATATATATATATATATATATTATAACATGTAGTCTTTGTGTGCAACAGTCACATACTTTGGGTACAGCGCGTCGCATAATATCCTTGTAATCGTCCTTCGTTATCACTTTTTTATTGAAATGTGGTTTCAGTACCAGCTTCACTTCCTCGACAACTCGTTCCTGGCGGTTTAGCTTACGTATAAACTGCAACCGATTTTTGGAAAAGTTTCGAAAACATATTGCTTTTGTTATTTACTTACCCTATCCTTGACTTGTAAATCCACTGCTGAATTGGGCACATCATCATAGAGCTTCGCGTGCTCGTCGACCAATTTGCTACCTGAAACCACAAAAGTTTAGGTTATGAAAACATCATTAATTGTTAGTTAAATTTGTTTGAAAATGGCAACAGACCGCAAAATGTTTAATGCTTTCTTTAAATATATAGGATATAATGATCTGGATGACGTTACCCTGAGTTTGGTAATTTTCTTATTTAAGGAACATACCCAAAACATGCCCTATATGATCAAAGCACAACCTACTTTCTAATCTGATTTATACTTATAATACAAGTGCTAAATACACAATGTTGGTAGATGATATATAGAGTAATACATATAGTAAACGTACGTACAATTTTGGAAAATCAAGAAATTAGCGAAATGAGATATTAAACATAACGGACATGATGCCTTAATTCTCTTGTCAAAAATCCTGAGTAAACAAGGATCATTTTCAGGAAAGATACAATGATTTCAAATAATTATTAATATTGCCTTTGCGGCCCCAACAGCCAATATAGTAAGGTTAAAGTTACTGCAAATACAAGTATTAAACCCACCTTTGACTTTCGTTTTGCGTTCGTTTTTGTTATTTGCACGTTGCTGTTTCCTTCCAGTTGAGGCATTGTACCGCGATGACATCCTTTGTTGACCCGCAGGGGAACTGCTTCCAAAGAGATTGTCAAACATCTCTGCTTTACCAGCAGCAGGCACCCCGCTGCTTTTTGAACGTCTAATTGAACCAATTGCGTTACCGCCATCTGGCGGGGGCTCAAACAAATCCTCGTAGTCTGCCGAACCAGGAGAATATGGGCTTTCAATTTCCATATTGAAAGAGTCGTCCAGCACAGTGGCCATACTACTAACACCGGTGTTGCCGTTACGCATTGCTCCACTACCCGAGGGCAGATTAACTATACCACTGCTGCTGCTGGCCACACTGCCGCCAGTCTTGGGCATGGTGCCTAACTTTCTTACCAGCGTAGTCGGCGGACTAGATATAACAGGTATGTGTTGTGGCGCGGACACAACACTACTACTTGTTAGTAGGACGTTCGACAAAACCGTTATTGTTTTATCAGCAAGATTATCCTCAGCACCTGGCACCGCCAACGCTGTGCTCATTGTAGTGCTGTTGAGATACGATGCCGACGAGACTTCGCAGGATTTATTGGCCAGGTCTTGTTGAATGGTGTTACTAGGCTTACTCATGAGTGCCATGACCAGCTCTACTGGATTAATGCTCACACTCGTATTTACTTGGGTCGTTGTGTTGCTAGTGCTTGACAAAGTCGGAGTACCTGTCTTAACGTCGACCAGATCGTCGCTGTGGCTGTTGTGTTTTTGGGTGCACGTAAGTGCATCAATTTTTTCCACACCACCGCAAGCACTACTGCTAACGCCAGTGGAAGTCTGTAAAGTCATTGGTTCTAGATTCTGGGCAGGAGTTGGTGTTGGAGAACGCGGTGATAAAGAGGGTGATTTTGTCGGCTCAAAAGGATCATAAGCATCCGGGGAACAAGGTCCCGATTCCGGTGGTGTGTTTGGTCCTATCTTTTGCGCTGAAATGAGCCCGTCATTAGCATGTGGCTGCTGCGGCTCTCCGTCAATAGCACCCCGCAGAGAACACACTGTTTCTAGATCGTCTGCAGAGTGTATATCGTCTGCATCATCGTGCAGCGGATTATTACGCACTTTGTGTTGTTTTTTGGCGGGTAAATTGAACTTCACAAGATGTGGCTCCGGTGGCGTTTTAGGACCGGTAGTTTGTGTTAGATTTTCATATGAAGCCTCCAAAATCGTTTCCAAACAATTGGTCGGTGGCGTTTTTTCGCGCTGTCCATTCTCTCTCATCATCACATGATCCGTAGCGGATGCGACACTGTTACGTCGCCTTTCGCGTCTCATCAAGAGCTGATTATCATTTGCATCTTCGCTATCGGTCAGCACAATAACATCAGCCGGCTCTTGATGCACTTGAAATGGTGAGCGTTCCAGATCAATAATCGCTACAGGCTTTGCTTCTAGCTTTTTTCGCTTGCGTTTAGCTTTCTTAATTGCTACCCCGCTACTGTTAGTTAGCCGGTCTGTGGAGGTGCGCCGCCCTCCAAGGAACTCATCCCTAGTCGGTGGCAATGTTACTACAGTCTGCTGTTGTCCCGACCCTACTAGTGCATTGTTTACCTCCTTGTTGAAACTGACGCTGACAAGAATATTGTTGCCTGATGCAAAAACCTCCTTTGAGGGCAACGGTTCAGGCGTCATAGTGTGGCGTTTTCGCTTTTTGTCCTTGCGCTGCTTGTCTAATGGCTTTTTCTTCTTCTTGCTTTTGTCTCGCTTGGGTTTTACTTTTTTCCCTATTATTGGCGTCAAGCTGCGATGAGGATTTTCAGTGTAGTGCGTAACGGGCGCTTGAGGAGATGTCAGGGGCGGCGTCCACGACGCAGGCTTTTCGCCACCAGTTCCAGTTGCACTCTCGTGGATAAAATGCGAATGTGAATGTTCCGCAGAAAGACTGGGTGTGGGGGACGGTGACCAATGCATCGCTCCTATGCCCGCTGATGATTTTTTGGACTTTTTACCCAACTGAGGTGCGAGGAAATCATCAGCATCATCAAAAGGGTCACGTTGCCGCGAAATACGTCGCTGCCGAGACACTGGACTGTTACTTGAAGGACGCTTCTTGCCTTTCTTCTTCTTATCACTCTTCTTTTTCTTCTTTTTTCGTGGACTTTTTGAAGCACTACGACTTAGCCGTGGTGTATACCGTGGTGAATAGCCAGGCGAATTCTTTGCTCCCTGCATGTTGCGGCTGCCATTCATTCGCGCTGGCGAATTTGATCGTGATCTTACAGATATTGTGCTGTTACTTCGCTGCAGCGGGCTGTTACGATGTGCTGGTTGAAGTGGTTGTGAATTCGACGGTGAATGCTCGAATCGTCTACCACCCGATGACACTGATCTGCGACGTATTCCTTGTTCATGCTCATGCCTGGTAACACCTGGTGGCGGAGTTGGCGAAATGCTAAAACTGCGAAAGCGTTTCGGGGACGTTGAACGTGTAGGGGTACGCCTGGAGCTACGTGAATAGCTACGCGAACGCTGTCGCCGTTCATAACTAACAGATCGACTCCTAGCAGATCGAGTTGCGTCTCGGCCATAACGATCCTTTTGGTGATGACGCGACGTGCTAACGACGTTGCGGACATCGTAGCGTGGCAGTTCGCGTCTTTTTTGTCGCTGAAAATGTGGCTGCATATGGTATTGACTTTGAGACTGATACTGCTGATGATGTTGGTGGTACTGGTGAGGGTATTGATGTTGATTATGCTGCTGCTGGTAGTGTCTATGCTGGAATTGCTGGTTTCGAAAATTAAACCGCAATCCACCACGTCCCCGACCAAATCCTCGAACACATTCGCGACCCCTGAAAGTAGCTCGTTGACGTCCGCCATGTGGACTATGTGAGTTCGATCTTGATCGGGAATAGGACTTGGAGCGACTATTACGTCTACGACCGCGTGGGGATCTAGTTAGACTACGACTGCGGCTGCGATCGGGACTTCGATTACTGCAGCTGCGTGTGACAGAACGTGGAGTCTTCGAGTGAGAACGATGGGAACGACTTCGGTCCTGTTGCTGCTGTTTATCGCCTCGGTAATTGCGGTCTTTTCGCCGTTTGCCCACTTTTTTAAACGTCTCAGAAGCTTCCTTTCTACGTTTAGAACTGTGCTTAGATTTACCAACTTTGGTCTCCCCTTCATTACGATGGCGACTACTACTGCGACTGCGTCGCTTTGATTCATTTTCATTTGTCAATTCTTCGTCCTCGGATATAAGTTCGGTACTCATACCAGCCACGCGCTCCTCACTGTCATCGGCATCTTTACACTTTTTGAAATCGCTTTTTTTGGCTTCACATGAAGGATCTGATTTATCGTTTTGGTGTCCGACCGTCGCATCCTCCTCCATATTTTTCTCATCCAAACATGGCGTATAGGATCGATCTTGGTCAGATTCGCTGCTTACAGTCTTCGCTGATACATCGCCTTCCGTGGTTTCGTTATTACCAACAGCGGGATTATCCTCGACAGTTTTCTCAATGAGCGCCTTCTCATATTCTTTCGGTTTATCAATCTCTAACTCTTCCCAATCACTGTCATCGTACAGTTCCAAAACACCTTTACCTCTGTCTACAGAACGGCCATCCTTGATTATGGGGCTAGGAGTACTCCGCGCTTTCGTTTCATCATCCTCTTCAGGTTCTTTGCTAGCTGGTGTAGCCGATGCGCTTCGATCACAATTCAATTTGCTACTTTCCACTTTGTCATTGCATTCTTCCACGTTGCTATCACCGCATTGCATAGGCTTTCTAACAATCTCTTTATCGTCCTCATCTTGCTCTTCTGTCGGGTTTTCCGGTTCATAAAGATCGCTACCGGCATTGCGATCATCCTTAACATTGACGACCGTATCGGTTTGAGGCTCTGGCGGCAATGGTATATCATCATCATCATCTAATTGTACTAAATCTTCATTCATTTCGTCGTCATCCTGAGTAAGTAAAATAATTTCAAAATTGAAAGAAAGAAAATAACATATCACGGTTAGTATGCCAAGGAATTTCGAGGTGTGAATGGGAGCTACATACATACAGACTGTAACTTAGCCTTAATAACTGTTAAAAGAAACCTATTTTTATCAGTTATTTATATAATTATACTCTGTAACCATTAAAAATGAGAGTAACAGTATAAAAATATTAGTGCGAATGAACTTAGCAGTCGGTAGGAGACATTCTTATAACCTTCAAGGGTATATGTATATTCTAGGTCAGCATCAAGTCTGCATAGCTATATTCTACCTGACGATGAGAAAGATAATCAGAACTACAGACATCTAATTTGGTACACACTCGCCAATTATACTAATTTTGATTTATTGTATACGTGTATATATTTCAGTGATCCACGCCCAATTTTATAATTTTCGGACAATTTAGACACCAAATGACGAGTTTAAGGTATCAATAAAGACATCATCTGGCTGTCGTTGGCTAAGGCAGTCCTGATATGGGAGCAGATATGTCGGGAGCTCTCATGAAACATTATTGATCTTTTGTGTTGGTTCAAATGACATATAAAGTATGCAAAAAAATGTACAAATATTTGAATATTGCCAACCCTAAAGAAAGTTGCATTCGTCCGACATTTATAGATATGTGCCATTTGTCAAACGTTGATTTCATACAAGTCTTACAAGTAAAGAAATCTTACCTCGTCTGAGTTCTTTGCTGGTTTTTGCGGTTGCGCGAAGAGTTCTGTAGCTACCGCCTGTGATTCCTGTGAGTAAATGGAGAAATTCGGACAATTTTCATCATCGTCGTCACCATCTTTTTTAGTATCAATTTGCTTCCCATAATCTGTGCTAAGTTTGAACAACGAGCTGTTCCACGACAAGCTAGGCGGCGGTGCCGGTGGTGGTGGTACAGTCAAAACCGGTGGCATTGATATGCGTGAGCCGAGAACGGGTGCGGGCAGGCCGCTGAAAAGTGGTCGCTGTTGCTGCTGAGGAGTTATGTGTGCAAAACTGGTGGATGGGGAGACAGATGGCGTTAAGGGCATACGAATGCCGCTGGACGCGTATGACGATTGGCGCGATTGCTGCATATTTTGGTTGCGCTGCTGTTGATTAGGTGAATTATAACGTATGTTGAATGGCGTAAAGTTTGTATTGGGCACAGTATTGTTGTTGCTGTTAGGATTGTTGTTGCTATTAAAAGTTTGATTGCCAAAACTAGATTCTGCCGACAAATTATCACTGCTATTCGCCATACTATCGCCAGTTGAATGTTGTTGGTACTGATTAGCAGCAGCTGCACTGCCTCCTCCGCTGCCGCCACCACCGCCACGAGAGTTGTTACCGCTATAGCGATTGTTATAGTTTCCAGTACCACCTTGACCTAGGTTGGGTCCAGCACCGCCACGTTGATAAAGGGGCATTTTAGTGATATGTTCTGAAGGCTTCTTTAAATCAGTTATTTTCGATGGTTTGTTCATAGCCGTTGCTATCGCTCGCTCAGGTAAATTCAGGCTGCCATCGGCATTAATATGGACTTCGCTCAGATTTCGCGATGCCTTATGCCAACGATCTTGCAGTTCCATTATACTGGATAATATATCACTGGCCGTAGCAGCAGCCAAATTGCGTGTTGAGGTACCTATTCTCGCTTTGCCGAGGAGAAGCGCTTTGCGATTGCGCGGCGCTCCAATGCAAGAAGTGCGAACTGACGTTTGAACTGCAGTTGAAGCTGAGTTCCCAATATTAATATCTCCTCCAACATCGTCGCGTATTTCATCGCTATCCGAAAAATACTCCAAATTGTTAGGATTGCCAAATAATGAGAAACTAGAAGCGCTGCCACCACTTATATGCGACCCACGCACTGCGTCCATTTTGACGCCAAGTTGTTCCGCTAATCGTTTGCTGGCCGACATTCGGGCGCTGTCATCTAAGCTTCGAGCGCATTTGGATCTGATTTTTCGGGTTACTCTCCGTCTTCTTCTACGCCGTATGACCTTCTTGCTAGTTCTTACTGCGAACTTTTCATCAAAATTATTAATATCATACTCTACTACGTATGTGCGATGATGCGTACGCCGGTTACGTCGTCGTCGCGATGTGGCGTTTCGTCTTGTTGTTGTGGTGCGTGTGGTTCGCGTTGTTGCGCCATTCTCATTGCGTCGATTTGTTGCTTGTGTCATTGTTGTGGTTTCCAGCTGCCCTTCCGCTACAGCCTGGCTCAAGGATCTCGTCTGGGTGTGGCGCAAGACTGCGGCCCGTATTCGTTCGTTTTGACGAGTGCGTAAAATACGAGGCTGTTGGATTTGACGTACACGTAAACGCGTTTCTGGCAATCCCATTCCACGAATATCTTCGTACAGAGTGTGTAAGTCCTCAGCAAGTTCTAAATCTTCGTCTTCAGCCTCTTCGCTTGAGTCAATGCAGTTGTCACAGTACCAGGAACCTGCAGGTATTTCATACAGAGGCGGATCTAAGCAGTCCATGTGGTAACCTTGGTTACAGCTATCGCATAGCAGCATTATTTCTTCGCGGTCCGGCCGATTGCATATTTCACAATTGGTAATATCATCATCATCAATGGCCACAATACCAGTCGCGTACTCCTCGTCGTCTAACACTAGTTCTTTTTTTGACTTGGTCAGGTCTACTCGAACATCGCGAACAATGTTGCGTCGCTGACAACTATCAAGTACTATGATTCTGTCGAACGCGAGTCGATCAATGGGACAAGTTTGAACATTTTTAGCCCATGCCTCAATACAGGCTGCACAAAACATGTGCTCGCACGTAATAGGTCTGCCGATCTCCTGTTGGCGGAACGTCAACAGGCAAATTGGGCATTTATCCAGAAGTTCGTTGCTGCTATTACTTCCATCAGAGCTAAAACCGCCATCCAGATCCGCTTGAACATCAGTTCTGATAATGTTATTGGCCGCAGCCGTTTCATTCTCATTCTCATCCTCGGAAATGATTAATTTTTTTCGTTTCTTTCCACGCACCCGCTTTCTTCTAATTTGTTCATCGATCTGAGGAAAATAAAAGATAAAATTTAATAATTTGTTAAGAAACAATTCTAGCTTTTTAGATAATACCTATAGTTTTAAGTAAAAACTATAGGGTAAATCCTTATCCTTCTTGCCCTTTATTTGTAACTCAAATCACTTTCAAATATTCATTATAGTTTAAAAAAAAAACAATACGTAATAGAAAGGCAAGAAAGGATACGTCAATAAATATGAGTAAATCAAACTTTTACCTCACTACCGCTGTCAGGATCATTGGCTGAATAAAGTTGGCTTGCATCACCGCGTCTTTTAAGCTGGAGAACCGACATATTTGCCGCTCCATTTGTGTTAGCGTTGCTAACGGCATGGGGAAGTTGTTTTCGATTAGATCGGTGACTCTGACAGGTTTGTAAACCCGACGAGCCTGGCACCCGCGTACCAAGGTCAATACCCACACTCAACGAAGTAGTGGCAAGGGCAGGGGCAGCATTGTCATTACTTGATACCGAACGCGAATCATCCGCGTCCGTGTCGTCCGAATCGTTAAATTCAATTCGCATGATTATTCGACGATTCCTCTTCTCACGATCATTACTCTGTACAGTCCTCCTGCTGCAAGACGGCTGATTCATCTCTGCATCACTGCAGTCGCCGGAATTAGGCATGCTGATGCAACTTTGAATGTGTGTGTATGTCAGTCTATATAGACGTCCAGTAAGTTCGCAAACCTCGTCTTTATGATATAAACTTGGGAAAAACTTTCTTTGCGAGGCTTTTTATGTATTTATGTTTATTTTCAACTTTTACTCCTTCATATACGATTTTTCTACTTCTTCGCAGCTACATTTTTCTGTTAAGTTGGCTGCGCTTACGCAAACCTATCGATTTATTGTAAATAAGCAATTGATATCGGCAATTCGACGGCGTCTAAAACTGTTGACGCCGCTGCTCTTAAAAACTGCACAAATTCACAGTGCTCGCAAAACTGTTATTTAATCTGGTTGTCTTCGGGCGTCAAGAGCACTTGCATATTTGCCTTATCTTTTTTCCATGGAAGATATGTAGCAACATTAGTTAATATAAGCAATATTAATGGGTTTTTGTATTAAAGCACTTTCAAACAAATTTTCATGTACAATGTTCACATTCACATAAATATACACACACACACACTTAGCGAGACAAGTCAAAAATAATCGATATATTACCTAGTATTACTATCGTAATAAAACAATTCATCGATAGTTGCTAATGGCGCTCTCTTAATAAGTCTGGCATTATTGGCTTTGGCGATGGTCACACTCAAATGTAACTTTATATCTATCAAAAAAATTATATGTACAACTTAACGCACCGAACCGCAAACTATAGTGAACGAAATTTCAAGAATACCTGTTATGGAGAATTTTAATTAAAAATAATGTGGCCAATCATTTTCCATGTACTTCGATAGATTTATTATGGTTCTTATCGATAGACCGATAGACCGTATAAGCATATTCGCTGATTTCGGCGCAGTGTGCGCGCTAAAAAGTGATTCTTTGCTATACATCTCTTTACAATATAACAAATTTAACTTGATAAGAAGCAAGATTTATTAGTCAGTGTAAAAAAAAAAAAACAAATTAATTGAAAGCTAATTGTTTTCTTTCTAAAAATTAAAGATTTGTTTTCACTGTCGAAAAGTGCATGAAGAGTAAGAACGAGGCACATTTTTGCGCAAGAAAACGTGAAAAATATAAGTTATAAAACATTAAGAAAATAAACTATGTTTACAACTCGGAAAGAGGTGGATGAGCATGTCCACAAAATGTTTTCTAAAGTTCCGCCTGGCCCAGAGGTTAGTTACATACAACAGTATTGCGACTGCACTGCAAATTTTTAGCAACGCTTGCGAAATAATGGATGCCCGCCATTCATATGCATACATACATACGCATTTGTGTACGTATATGTATCGGCGTCTCTTAGCATGCAAGATGCCGCTATTGGATATACCTACATACATATATGCATATAAATTACGTTTTTCTCTTTATAATATAATAAATAAATAATGTAATAATTGGAATGTATTTAATGTTTCATCTAATGACATACATGTATACAATGCATATCGCAATACTAATTGAGGTTATGTTTTATGTGTTCTTCATTTACAAACAGCGCGACATGAAGGGCTGGGCGGTGGGCCGCTTGTACAGCAAGATCCAAGAATACGCCAAGGCCATTGAGCATTTAAATGCTTTTTTGAAGGTAAACGATGATGCTGGCGCTCATAAGCTAATTGCCCGCTGTTATAAACAGTTGAAAAATCCGGATTACCAAAAGGCGTTTGAGCACTACGAACGCTCTATTCAGTTAAATCCCAAGCAGCCAGACATTATAAATGAGTGTTGCAGAATGCTTTATGAGCAAAAGACTCTTTGCACCCCAGACAGGGTTAGCTATTGGTTGGAGTTGGCTAGCACGGTTGAAGATCTTCAAGAAAGCGAGTTGCTGCTTGCGCTCCGCATGCGCTCCTCGGCGGGTACAGTAGGTCGGACAGAGTTGGATAATTCAATGGAACTGGTTATAAAAAAAGAGCTGTTGACCCGTCCACATAATACGCTATTGCAGTTACGGCTGCTACAAACTTACTTGGAAAATAAACGGATAGACGAAGCCTTTAATTATGCTTACAAAACAGAGCTCGAATTTCCTGCTCACTCCCAGTCGGCTGAGTGGTACGATGTGATTGCGACGGTGCTTCAGAAATGCGAGTACAAAGAGACATCAAAGGATTGGCCGTACTGGCAGTTGTTGCTTATCACTTTCGAGCGGCTCCTCCAACTTAACCTGCAATCCGATGCCAGCAATAGTTTGGGGGAAAGCATTGCCCAGCTCTTTAAATTGGATCAGTATCTATACAAGTTTAGTCTACTTGCCGATCAGCTTTCGAATCATGGGGGCCGTGAACTGCATCAATGTTGTCTAGAACACTACGCTGGACAATTGTTCCTACACGCAGTAACGATGCTCTTTAAGCGTGAAATTCTCGGCAACAAAAACAAATGGTCCAGTACGGTGCGTGCAGCTCTGCCGCTAATGTTACTTGGCTATCAACAGAATTTGCATGAGGCGAAATCATCTTATTGGCAACGCCATTGCAACAGCGTGCAGCAGAAGCTGCTTAACCTTTGGCGGCATCAAGCCGCCTTTCGGTGTGCCCAGCTAGGACGAACCCTACGCGGCTGTGTGCAAATAACTATAGATGATGCCGGACAAAATGATTTGCGGGAAACCCAATTGCAAGGCCTTTGGTCGAATAGCGATGAATTACTGGCGGCAGCACGCCAACACTGTGTAGACAGCCAGTGGCGATCACAGCTTTATCAACAGTTATACACGCACCCCGAAAACAAATTGAAGGAGCAGTCGTCGTATTTGGTACGTGATCAGCGCCTCCAACAGCCGCTATACGAATGGCCATCGCTTGCCCAGGTTGAAGAGCATGAGCAGCTGGCGCTTCAGCTAGCTCCATCAACTCTAGACCACCATGTTTACCTAGCGCTTAGCACTGACAATTTGGCAGAGGCGCCGCGCGTGCACTTCTATAAAGCCTTGCGTCGCGATTGTAAGCAGCCTTTGAGCAATTGCAGTGTTGACACTCTAAGTCAGGTGGATGTAGATATTTTTCTGTATGCTGTTGTACTACAGGCACAGCGTAAGATGAATGTGCAACGCGAGAGTTACAATAGCTACCATGTGGGTAATCGCAACGCGGCCGCACGGCCCTATATGCTGCCTTTTGCAAACATAATGGGACACAATGAGTTGATAACACCGGAGCAGAACAGATGGTGGACTGTTATGCAGCGCATACATGACAATATAGACATCGGTGAAAACCATCGCATTGAGCACCGAGACCACCTCCAGTTCGGACTTGAGGTAGTGCGCTGCCAGAATGAGCCGCATATTGAGATAATAATGCTACTCCAACTTGGTAAGCTGCTAGCCAGCCGAGAGGATTGTGCTAATTTGGAAGCGCGGATCGAGGCATTTTACAAACTGGGTATTAGCATGATGATACGTCATCAGGAGCATAAGCTAGAACCATTTTATAGGTACTTTAAATATATGAATGTCAATGCAAGCAGTGTCTGGATACAGGTAAAACAGTTGGCTGAAGAAGCTCTCGCATATTTAAGTAAGCGGTCAATAAAGCTAGGAAATCACCAAGAGTTCGTAAAAGATATACATGGCCTTAAGTTGCCAATGGCCACTTATCTGCAGGCGGAGTCCTATCGTCAGCTGGCAGATTCAAGCCACACGTCTCGAGTAGCGCGTCAAAACTTTCAGGAACGACGAATAGAGTGCCTGAGGGAAACTAAGGCTTTACTTGGAAATAATCATGAGCATCCACTCAGCTCTGTGGTGCAGCGCGAACTAAAGAATTCTTTAGCTGACGAGCGCTATGGTTCACCAGAACTTCATAACAATTCCAGTACCTACGAGGATGCTGAGGATGATTATTATACTGGTGCTGCACAGTCGCTTAATCGCTCAAGGCGCCAGCTGGAGTCGCAATCGCCAGCTACCTTACACCTGGAGCAAACAATAAAACAGCAGACACAAGTAGTTAGCAAACAATTGTGCGTTCTCAAGGATAATGTAGGCAGCAACTTTGAGGCTATTCGCCAGGACATTAAAGCGATATCTGAAAAATTTGATATGATTGAAGAGTTACTTAAGAAATTGAAGACTAATGGTGGCTGCAGTCACGAAATCCAATCCCGTGAAGTAGACGCCGCTGCTGCAGCGGCTGCCCTTGGTCTTGATGAGTTTTTAAACATGGATGATGCAATACAGACAAATTACTTAAATTCCGCGCCGCCAACTCATAATGCCCAAGAACGTTTATATCCGTCAACTGGAAGTGCTACACAGCCTAATGCAGCATATGGAAGCCCTATGTTTAATCAGAATCAAATGTACAATTACTTCGCTAGCCAAGCCCAGTTTATGAGAACTCCGCCAACGGCCAGTAACATGCCATCCAATCTCTATGGTAAGTTAGCCCATACATTACGAAATGCTTTTTGAATTAGGGAAGCCCGAAAATGAAACCATACATATAAAATAGTTTTTATCTATTGATAATATATTAAAAATTCCAGTAGACATCAAACAAATTAAATTTTACGAAACTTTTTTGCTTTCCATCCGATCGGCCTCAAACTCATTGAGTTGAGTTTTTTTTTTAAAGTTATTCTCAAAGCACTACATAAAAACTAAATGAATACGTGTTTCGTTGATTTTGAAAACTGTTAAATATGTTTGTTTACCATCGGCTTCAAACTCACTTTCAGATAACTTTGTTAAAAATTCATTTAATACGCTTTTTGTGACATGCACTGTTCTTGGAAAGAAAATCCGGGTCAAACATATAATGAACGAAAGTTTACTTTTCTTCATCAAGATTCACATTACAAGATTAGAGAAAATCGTTGATTCGAAGGATGGACTTTAAACATCCTTCAACATAGTTGCAGTTCAAGACATTGCGGCCAGAATTAAATTTAACATATAATCATATAAGAGCTAACGGGTTTTTTATTTACTAAATAACAATATAAAAAATAATAAAAAATTTTTTTTAACAGGACCACGTCCACCACCGAGCTTTGGTGTGCCGCCCAACATGTATCCGAATCCAACAGGAGCTCCATTTATAGAAAGTTTGAATTATGGAATTTCTGCGCCGCCACCCAGCTTAGTACTACCGCAAGTTTCACAGGCGCAGCCGTTTAACCACCCTCCAGTTCCACATAACGTTAATATGGCTTCTAGTGCAAACTTCTTCAACACAGCACAATTTCTGCCATCGACCGTTCCAGTTCCACAACAGGTACCGCAACCGGCTCAACAACTACAGCCGCCTGTGCAGGCACCTCTGGTGCAGCACAAGCCCACAATAGCCACTACCACATCGATTACACTGGCTTCTGCTACAGGAACTGCTGCAGTAACTGCACCTGTCGACGCATCTCCTGCTGCGGCTGCTCCAGCCGTAGCTACTTCGGCCGCTGCCGCTTCTTCAGCTATTTTTAATCGTGCCCTCAATAATCAGCCAGTGGAAAAGGAGCCTCCAGCCAATGTGGTTATCACCAGCTCAGATCCTCTTCCCAAAACAGCAGTCGCTAGTGCCCAACCGACTCTCAGTGTCACCATACCGCCTCAGCATATAAAACCCAGTTTGGTACAGTCCACAGAGCCAGCCGCCGTTGGAGGAAGTGATTTTAATTTCAGTCTAGGCAATAACAATGCAGGCAACATCTTCAGCGGACTGCCCACATCCACATTTTCATTCAAGACGCAGGTTGCGCAAGCAGCAGCCGAGAAGCAAAAAGAATTGGCTGCAGATGCAGCCAACAACGATAGCGTCGTGAGTGAGCCCAACAATGGTTTTGGTGGTGATGCGTCTGCTGAGCTTGACTATGATCCACGGCCAGATTTTCAAGGCATCATACCGCTACCAGCTGAAGTAGAAGTGCGTACCGGGGAGGAGGATGAGAAAGTCAATTTCAGTCATCGAGCCAAGCTTTTTAGGCATGTTGATAAAGAGTGGAAGGAGCGCGGAATCGGTATCATTAAAATATTGACGAATCAAACCAGCGGCTGCACCCGAATTTTAATGCGACGTGAGCAGACCCATAAGATTTGTGCAAATCACAAAATCACATCGGGTATGACCCTTACCACGCCAGAGCAGGATAAAGAGGAAAAGTCTTTTCTATGGGCAGCCAATGATTTTGCGGATGAGAAGTTAAAACTGGAAAAGTTTCTTGTCCGCTTTAAGTTGGCCGAGACAGCCAAAGATTTTAAGTTGGCTTTTGAACAAGCGGTAAGAGAAGCAAAAACAAATGAAACAAAGCCGCCTGTATTTGGTCTTGCTAAGAGTAGCGCCATCAACAGCTTTGTGACCAGCACGCCTGCTGCGAGTGCGTTACCCAAACAAATAGAGCCAGTTAAGGTGGGTGAAGTTGAACCTAAAGTTGACGCTGTAGTTCCCAAGACACTTTTTGGTAATTTACCCGCTACAACAACAAACGCTGCGACATCCTCGCCCTTCGCCAATTTTAACTTTGGCACTACCTCAAAGGGCACTAAGCCTTCGGTTAATCTCTCTTTTGGTAGTGTATCAGCTGCAACAGACACAAGTAGTAGCAACACAGCCTTCACAACTGCTTTTAACTTTGGCAGCAACCTTTTCAATAAACCTGCAGTGCAAAGTGAGCAACATGCGGGACCTCAGCTACAGACCCAAAATCAATCGGCTGCTTCGGACGTAGAACCTGAGGAGGAATATGTGCCTACAGCGCAATTTGCACCTGTGATTCCGTTGCCAGAGCTGGTCGAAGTCGTAACTGGCGAGGAGGATGAACTGGTACTTTTCGAGCATCGCGCCAAATTGTTGCGCTTCGACAAAAAAACAAACGAATGGAAGGAGCGTGGCCTGGGCAATATTAAGCTACTTCAGAAGAAAACGGATCCCAGTCTAGTACGACTGCTCATGCGCCGGGAACAGGTGCTCAAAGTGTGCTGCAATCAGCGTCTTCAACCAGACGCTAAGTTCAGCTATTTAAATAATACACAGAATGCGCTAACCTGGGCAGCTCCAGATTATGCCGAGCAGGAGATGACCACCGAGTTACTATGTGTGCGATTTAAGACCGCCGAAATATGTAAAGAGTTTTATGATTCGGTACTCAAGGCACAGGCGGTCATGTCCCAAGAGAAACCTAATCCTGAACCGCAAAAGAAACAGATTGACAAAAACGACAATAAGGATACCGAAAACAAAACTTTCGGATTTGGAGATGCTTTTAAGCCAAAAGCCGGAAGCTGGAACTGCAAAGGCTGTTATACCAGCAACGATGCTGCACAGCTTTATTGTGTGGCTTGCGAAACTCCCAAAGATGACACAGTTCCACCAAAGTCATCAACGCTCGACCAGAGTGGGGCACTAAATCTTAGCAGCAGTGCTGGCAAATTTACTTTTGGTTTTGGACAGTCCACAGCAACGAAAAGTTTAAGTGTTGATAACAAAACGGCGTTAGATAAGTTACCAACTGCAGCCGATCCACTTGCTGCTAAAACTAATGTATCCTCCGTTGAGAACTTTGGCGATGCAGTTACTACTAAGCTGTCTGCCTCACAGTCAGACAAACCCAAAGCTGTTGGCTTTGGAGATGCCTTCAAACCAAAGATAGGTAGCTGGAACTGTAAAGACTGTTATACCCTAAACGATGTCGCGCAACTGTACTGTCTAGCCTGTCAGGCACCGATGGATGACAACGTACCTAAAAAGGACAACAAACTGGACATTAGTGGCGGGATAAACTTTCCAACTTCCTCGAGCACGTATACGTTTGGTTTTGGTGCAGTTCCAGTTGGGACAACTAAATCAATCGGCGGCTCCAGTAGTGACAGCATTACCAATGTTATGCCCAATAAAACCATCGAGGGCAGCATCTTTAATTCTGCCAGTTTTAACTTTAAGCCAACAACGGTTACAGGCAGCAGCAATTTGGTTTCCAACACATTTAGTTTCTCAATGCCCAAGATACATCAGCAACCCAAAAGCCCAACTGGAGTTAGTGGAGGAGCCGATGTGAGTAATGATGATGAAAGTCACGTCGATGAGGAGGAGAATAATGCATATTTTGCACCCGTAATTCCGTTGCCGGATAAGGTAAGTAACGTTTGATTCAAATAGTATTAAAAAAATAGTTTATCTTTTAGGGATTATATAACATCAACAAAAAATAAACCCCATTAAATAAAAACTTTGCCCTTACAGATTGATGTTAGGACAGGCGAAGAGGATGAATTTCTGCTCTATGTGCAGCGTGCGAAGCTGTATCGCCTGACTGAGGCTGGGGAGTGGAAAGAACGCGGCTTAGGTGACCTAAAGATTCTCCGTCATAAGGAGACTAAAAATCTACGTGTTGTCATGCGGCGGGAAAAAGTATTAAAAATTTGCCTCAATCATGTGCTAAACTCAAGCGTGGTCTATAAGCCGAAAGATGAAAAAACATGGTTGTTTGCCGTGCACGATTTTAGCGAAGGTGAGTCTGTATTGGAGCGGTTTGCATTGCGCTTCAAAAATGCGGACATTGCGCAGGTATTTTATAATACGGTGAAGTGCGCTCTTAATGGTACCGCTGAGCCCATTTGCGAGGAGGAGAACCAACAGCAAGACCAGTTGAATGCAACACCCAGTAAACCTGATAATGGACCAGATATTTCCAATGAAATTCAGACGCTGGCGAACAAGCTTACGCTCAGTTGCGAGTTTCTGACAGCCCAGTCGAGCTGCAGCGGCTGTCGTGGCTGTGAGCCAGAAAACTTTGATTACGGACAGCCAGCGAAAGATGAAGTAGCGATTAAGCCACTTCCCTTAACATTGCCTGCATTGACGTTACCTAAACCCAAGGAACAGGAGCAGTTTCAGGCGCAGGAAGCTGCGGCATTGTCCAATCGGGGCTTGCTTAAGGCAAGTACTCTGGCAGCCAACACCACCAATAATAAATTTGGTAGCTTCGGTGGTTTTAGCAGCGCTGTCTCCGCCAACTCTACAGCCACCTCTGCCGCGTCACCGAAGCAAACGGAGACAAAATCTGTTGGTCTGGAAGGTGGCTTCCTCTTTGGCAACACAGGTAAGCATTGGTCCTGCGCCTTTAAGGAGGAAAACCTGTCGAATTATGAAGTATAACGACACTTCGTACTATCTTATTAAAAATTGATTTTAACTTTGCTTTTTCAGAAAAACCTGTTTTTGGGCTGAGTGCATCGCTGTTTGGAGGAAACAACGCCGCCAAGCCGCAACAGTCCGTTTTTGGAGGTCTTAGTGGCGGGGAAAACAAGTATAGTAGTCAGTCAAATTCGATATTTGGTAGTACGGGGACTTCACAAATCAGCAATCAAGAGGAGGCGCCCAAGTCAATTTTTTCCCCGTTCGGTGACAGTAGCTTCAAAAACAGCAATAGCTCAACCAGTTTTACGTTCGGTACCATCTCTGGATCAAGTGCGGCTCCCTCGTTTGACAGTCAGGTAAAGGATAAAACCATCTCAGTTGCGGAAACGGCGAACATCAAGGAACAGACGAAAGACAACAAAGAAAATATTGAGGAGACCTCTGGAACGAAGCCAGGTATCTCCCCTTCGTCTCTTGATCAAAATACTGTCAGTTGTTTCTCAGACTTGGCAGCAAAGGCTGGCGATGATTTTGCAAGCTTGGCAGCCAAGGGAACGAGTAACCCGATTGGTTTTCAAAAGTCAGACACTGGTGGCTATTTTGGCTTAACGCATCAGGATGATTTCAAGAACTTTAAGTCATCGACAGCAAAAGCACACAACACTACGGAAAGCGTCAACGATGATGATAACTACGATCCACATTATGAGCCCATAATTGCTTTGCCCAATGAGATTGTTGTCAGTACCGGCGAGGAAAACGAGGTGAAACTTTTTGGTGAACGCGCGACGTTGTTTCGCTTCAATTCGGATTCCAAAGAGTGGAAGGAGCGTGGTAATTTTCTACAATTGTTTGCTTAAATGAGTCTGGTTAATGTCATCTCGTTCATTATAGGAGTAGGCGAGTTGAAGATTTTAAAGCATACGACTTTAAACACCTATCGCATGGTCATGCGTCGTGAGCAAATTCATAAACTGGTAGTCAACATGAAGATAAGTAAGTCGTTTACGATGGAGTACATGAACGGGCAAAAAAAAAGTTTTATCTGGGCGAACTTCAATTATGCCGAGTCGCCTGATGGTGTGGTAGAACGTCTTGCCTGCCGGTTTAAGAAGCAAGAACTGGCTGATAAATTCCATGAGACTATAGAACAGTGCGTTGCTGACGCAAAAGCGTCGTCTTCGGGTGAAGAGCCAAACCAGAAGGATGCATTCGTCGAAACTTGAGTTTATAATAAGCCCTACTAAGTTTAAACTTATTCATTGTTGTATAAGATTCAAAAGTAATAAAATGAAAATAATTTGATGGGCTTGTTTTTATGGTTTTGCGGTCTGGCAGCGTAGAAATATGTTTGTGATTTGCGACACTGCTCACTTTGTGTTTTACATCACTGTTCACTTCAACCTTTTACAACACTTGTACTTTTGACAGATACTGCTGCGAGAGAGTGCACTATATTTGACATAATGACGTGGTGAACAGTGTGTGAAAAAAGAACAATAAATGACTGATGCCGACACAATTATTAATTTAATTAATTAATTTGTAAACAACCGTGCTATATTTATATATCGTCAACAGCAGGCATTGATACCTGAGATAAACATTGACAGCTAAATCGACACTAAAACAAGCAGTTTGTATAAGCAAGAGGAAGGAGGTCGACCAGGCGTAGATGTCTCACCAAGGCAATGAAATAATTTAAACTTTGAAAGTGTTTTTGTCCACTTTTTGCTTGACAACGCGATTGCGTCTCAAGCAGCACCAACCAATTTACATCACAAACACAAATACAACGTCGTCCACAATTGTGAGAAGAGAGGAAGACGGTGTAGCTGTTTCTGCTGAGGTAGCTAAAGAACGCTGCAGGGACTATGATGAACGAAGACAATAGCAGTGCCTCGACGGCGACCAGTAGCGCCGGTGGCGTTAAAAAGTTCTTTCAGCGTTTATCACAGGTAAGTGAAAGTAATTTAGAGTATGTGGACGCAATTTGATTATATCTTCGTTTGCAGACCTACCAATCGTCACTTGATCGTTCCACACCGCACACACGTATGCGCTGGGTTTTTGCTGGATTCGTGTTGCTTTTGTTTGTGCTGCGCATATTCATTTATCAGGGCTGGTATATTGTGTGTTATGCCCTAGGCATCTATCACTTGAATTTGTTTATTGCATTTTTGACGCCAAAAATTGACCCTGAGTTTGATCCGTATGCGCAAGATGAAGAAGACGATGGACCTAATTTGCCAACGCATAGTAATGAGGAATTCCGGCCTTTTATACGCCGACTGCCTGAGTTTAAGTTCTGGTTGTCGGTGACAAAAAGTACTGCAATCGGTCTATTCTGCACGTTCTTTGACTTTTTTAACGTGCCTGTGTTTTGGCCCATATTGGTCATGTATTTTATTACGCTTTTCTGCATAACAATGAAGCGGCAAATCAAGCATATGATTAAGTACAAGTACTTGCCATTTACCCGCAATAAACCACGATATCAGCGTGTCAACGAGGCCGCGGGTGGCGCCAACTTTGGAGGTAACTCAAAGTGACAATTAGCCGCACAGACGCCTGACACACAAACGACAACATCGGTAGCAGCAGGTGCAGCAACAACTTGCGACAGCTCGGCTTCAATGGTAGCAGCGGGTTCAACGGCTGCGGCGGCGTCAACGGCTACTGCTAAACCACCGCAAATCATAGCAATTGAAGAATATTAGGAAGTTATATCAAAAACTAACTAACAGTGTCCAACAAATTCATGTAAAATAGCATTTGCAATCAATTCAGGTTCGGCCATTGTATCCAATAGCATGCAAGTTTGTTTGTGTAACATTGATTTAGTTTTTGATTTATTACGTTGTCGTGCGGCGTTTTGTGCAAAGCATTGTTTTTGTTTTTAATTTCTTTATTAATTTTATATTTATTTACATGCAATTTTTTTCGCTCCAACAACAAAAGTTCAATATTCTAGCTAACAATTATATTTTAATTTCCGTATTGTAATACCTTAAACTATGTAAAATCCAAAAAGTAGATTTACTGAATCTAAAAATTATTTTTATTTACATACCTTGGCTAGATATGTATTTTTCTTTATATATTTTGTTAGTGTTAACTATACAAATATTAGAATATAAAAGACCTAAAGAAGGTTTGAGCTGGGTGCATCGTATGAATTAAATAAAAAAAAATGAAACTAAAAACCATTGGGCTTATGAAATTGAACCATGCCGCTTAGACTGTCATAGCTTGGCGTTGCCACCTAAACGCTTTATTAAGTTGGTGGCCCTCTTACATACAATTCAATAGATATGGTCACACTTTTTAGGCAGCCCTAGCACGGACACAGTTCTTGCGAAACCGCACCACGCATTGCGTTGGGATTGTTAGAAAAAATAATTTTTGTCTTTTTAAACTGTTGTTTTTGTTGTTCTGCGTCCAAGTAATGCGGCTATGTCCCTTAGCTTTGATGGGCGCTCCTGCTGCTGCTGTAACCAAAGTAAAATCTCCAGCGCCGTTGATGAGGCTGTTGCCGACGTCGTCAAAAAAACCAATTAACAGCTAATTCACCGTTCCGCTGCCCTTCTAAGAGAAAATAAACGGCACACACGTATAATGGGCATACAAAATGATCTAATAGGCATCACGGTACGTCGCCGTCGTCTAATCCTGTGTACCATGATCACGAGCATTGTGACAGCAGCTTTAATAATACCATCAGTAAATGCATTAACATCAACCCAGACGAAAGATCCAACCGAATCAGATTTATTGGTGGCGATGCCAGCACCACCAGCAATTCCTCACTGCGTAGAGCAGCAGGAGCGTAGCATTGGACGAAGGTAAGAAGAAGCACAGGCATGTTAGCTGCGAGGAATACATACAGTATGTCAATAAAGTGTTTTTACTAACAAAAAAAAACTAATTTTTTGGGTTTAGTTGAAAATAAATGTACCTAAAAGTGAGAATTTTTTTTCAATTATAATTTATTTCGATTCTATATTTCTCCTAGAACTTAATGGCAAAAAGAATTGTTAAATAACATTACCCAAACATTTTATAAAATTAAAAAACTAAAAACATTCACATTTTATGCTGTCAATAAAGTGTTTTTACAGCTACGGTAAATTGTTTTGCCGTTCTCTTTTGGGTGATCCCGTTAGATTTGGGCCCATGCGTTTTGGCTTCTCTTGTGTCTTCGACTTTTCTTGTCATTTTCTATTGCAATTTATAACGTTTTGCTTTAATTTTATGAAAAATAAAATGCCAGGAAAAAGAACAACTTTTGAAGTCGCTCAGCTGGTGTATTATAACCATCAGATGGGACGTCAAGTCTCGGAACTGGCTGATATGTTTAATTTATCAAAAGCAACGATATACAACATATTAAACAGAGCCAATAAGGAAGATAGGCTAGAGGCAAAGCCAGTATGTGGTCGACCCTGCAAAATTTCTGACAGAGATAAGCGAAAAATTCTGAGAAAAATTGAGAAAAATCCACAAATTTCGCTTAGGGATATTGCTCAGGAGTTCAAGGAAGAAAGTGGTGTTGATGTGTCACATGAAACTGTCCGAAAATTACTGAATTCCAATGACTACACATCACGAGTTGCCAGGAAAAAACCTCTACTATCGGCGGCGAATATTTTGAAGCGGCTATCGTTCGCTCAAGTCCATGTAAATAGTTCGAACGATTTTTGGAGTAACGTCATATTCTGTGACGAAAGCAAGATGATGCTATTCTACAACGATGGGCCATCCAGAGTCTGGAGAAAGCCACTAACAGCGTTGGAAAACCGCAATATTATTCCAACCGTTAAATTCGGAAAACTATCAGTGATGGTGTGGGGGTGTATTTCGAGCAAGGGTGTAGGAGATTTGACCTTCATTGAGAATACCATGGATGCTAGACAATATCTGAGCATTTTACAGACACATCTCGTCAGTAGTGCACAGAAATTTGGATTCTATGAGGACAATAAGCCAATTTTTAAATTTTACCAGGACAATGACCCGAAGCATAAAGCTCATATGGTAAGAGTTTGGCTGTTGTACAACTGTGGAAAGGTGTTAGACACTCCACCACAAAGTCCAGATATGAATCCAATAGAAAATGTGTGGTCATATTTGAAAAAAAAAGTCGCAAAGCGGAGTCCAAAATCAAAAACTGATTTAAAAGCTGCTGTACTGGAAGAATGGCAGAAGATTCCAGAAACATACATACAAAACCTTATTGTTTCAATGAAACGGCGATTGCAGGCTGTATGTGACGCTAATGGCAGCCACACAAAGTATTAAAAAAAAATATTCCTGTTTTTTTAACATTGTTATTTAGTAATAAAGTTTCGTGTAAAAACACTTTATTGACAGCATAAAATTTGAATGTTTTTAGTTTTTTAATTTTATAAAATGTTTGGGTAATGTTATTTAACAATTCTTTTTGCCATTAAGTTCTAGGAAAAATATAGAATCGAAATAAATTAGAATTGAAAAAAAATTCTCACTTTTAGGTACATTTATTTTCAACTAAACCCAAAAAATTAGTTTTTTTTCGTTAGTCAAAACACTTTATTGACATACTGTATGTATGTGCGTTCTGGAAAGTTCTCATCAAAAAGTGCAAGTGAAAAGAAATGCAGTGCAGCAACTATGTATTGTCATAACTATATAACCAATGGGGTTGGACAGTATTTCTCGACGTAACAACTGACAAGCGATTATAAGCACAACAATGTAGATTGACGAATAATTTAAATTAATTAGTGTAGCTCATAAATGTAAATTAATCCTGGCACAAAAACAAATGATGTCGAACAAATTAGACGCATGTTCTAGCTTATCAAAGCGACGGTGAGTCATGTTTCAAACGTACAACTATAATTGTCTGTTTACCTTCACACAATTATAAAAACGATATAAAGAAAAGAAACAAACGAAAACTCAATCTGCTTAGAAAAATATACGTGATTGTACCGCGATTGGCTTCAATATTTGATTTTTAACAAGCTTAAACTAATTTTGAATTTCACCATTCTTGGCCTTTGCTTTGCTGTCTTGTAAGGCGTTGGGCCTGCTCGCGTCGTTGCGATTTTGCTAGTGTATGTGGCAATATTAGTGTGAGCGTGTACCTGTTTGCGGCGAAGGCCTAATCATGTTTTGATTGATTGTCTCAACTAAAAAGGTTTCCTTCTCAAACCCTCTCTCTATGGTTGCAACATTGATGTGCTCTTTAATTGTTGGTGTAACCGCGACACTGTTCACTTGAAGCGTATATGTGTATATGTAAATATTGTAAACATTCACGCTTCATTAGGAGTTTCTTTCTAGACTAATGTTTCTAAAGATCTCGTGACAATGCACGGTGAATATACATTTACATACATAAATACATCGTTAAGTACCCTATTAATAAAATGGTGTCGCCCATAAGCTAACTAGTGTATTTCTCACCTTTTTCTCTTTCAGATTACTCTATATAACTACACTTGATGGCCGTCTCAGCGCCTTGGACATTGCCAAGTCAGGCAAGATGCGCTGGAGCATAGAAACGGGACCAGGTCCACTGATCTCATCGAGCATACATCGCCTAGAGCTAACCAATAATGGTCAGTTTGTGCGCATGATACCATCGCTTAGTGGCGGTATTTACAAATTCGATGGCGACTCCATAGATCCCATACCTATTACTGCAGAACATTTGCTTAGCTCCAGCGCTAAATTCAGTGATGATCTTGTTATCTCCGGCGGCAAGGAGACGCGTAATTATGGCGTATCGATCAGGACTGGGCAGCTGCTTTACGAGTGCTCCATCAATGGCTGCGTAAATTCCACAAATGAGGGGCGTGCCATTGACGATACATATGAAGAAAAAGACAAGGAAGAGAATAACCAAAAGCAGCACGATGACCAATTACGGGATGAGGATGGCTACATTATCCCACACAATTCGCTCTTGGATGATGTTATTGTAGTCCGTCGCCAGACTCAAACAGTTCGTGCAGTGGAGTCCCGCACTGGCATAGAGCGTTGGAATTTTAGCGTTGGACAACACGAGTTAAATTTGATGCGCGCTGATGATTGCCATGAGCAGCCGCGTAGTGACCTGGAATTGGCTGTACTGGATGTGGATATTAGAGTTGTAGTGCCAGAGGGCATTATATGTGCATTCAGCAAGAGTGATCCGGAGCTGATGCTCTGGAAGCATCAGGTGAGTAAAAAAAAAACATTATTTTTGCAATTCCCTCTTTTATGAGCATTTAAATTGTAATAATTAGTTGTTTAAAAAAATTATCTAAGGGTATTAATCAAATTTTTGCAGTTTAACAATCCCATTGTAAGTGTCTGGAAAATAAATGCTGTCGATGAGCTAGAGTCCATCGATCTATTCGCTTCGGCGCATTGGCAGGCCGAACAACAAGACAAGCCTAGCCATGCGCCTTCCATCTATCTGGGCATGTACGAAAAGCAGTTGTACATACAAGAGTCCGTACATCTGCGCGAGGAAATAATGCAGCAGTCAGAGCATTACCAACAGCTGTCGCGAGATACTAGGCTTATGCCTAAAATACCTTGGCGGCCAATTGCTGCCAGCGGCAACTCACTTGTGCTATTCCGAAACGAACACGACCAAGTGGTAATTGAAGACGGATATGGAAAAAACGAATTAATTCCATATGACGAGCAAAACATAGCAGTTGCAGCGCAGTCAGTGCTAAATGCCTCGGAGTTTGTCAATGGTAATGGCTTCTACTTTTTCGCTGACACACAAGGTAAGGATAGTAGTGCGCTGGAGTGCGGCACTAATGATACGCCTAGCGGATTTCCCGCCATAGAAACGCCGCCTGCCAGTAACGAGACAGCTAGTAACTCGAAAGCGGGTGGTGGAAATCATAGCATCAATGATGATCTAGGCTTCAGTTTGGATGATATTGATGCCCCCGTTAAAGTAATCATACTCTCGCTGTGGTTCTGGTGGAAGGAGATAGTGGTCATTGCGTTTACCTCAGCAGTGCTGCTCAACATGTTTATGGGTCATCGCAATCAGCGTGTGGAACGTGAATACCTCGTCATTGAGCGCCATGTGCCAGTTCAGACGGCTGTTGAGGCAACGGAAGCATCTACACAGGCACTCTTAGGGCCAGTAATGCCTTTGACGGGAACACACCACCAACAGCGTGGTAATCGCATCAGCTTTACAGGTGGCGTCAGTCGTACGCAGCGCTCAATTTCGGAGTCAACGACGAATTCCGGTGAACATTTTACCTCCCGCTTTCAAACTGACTTCGATCTAATGCAATGTCTTGGCCGAGGGGGCTTTGGTGTCGTTTTTGAAGCAAAAAACAAGTTGGATGAGAACCATTATGCGATTAAACGTATAACGTTGCCCAATAAGGAGTCATCGCGGCAGCGAGTTCTGCGTGAGGCTCGGACTCTAGCCAGCTGTGAGCACCACAACATTGTTCGATATTTTCACGTAAGCCAGTTTCGTTACATTATCTAAATAACGTATTTAATAAAAGTTTTTGTTTATATTTTTGAATAATATATAGTCATGGGTAGAAACTCCGCCTGTAGGCTGGCAGGAAGAGGAGGATCGTAAGCTGTTAGCACATGAACTGTCTACATCTATACAAATCGAGACACCCGATGGCAGTACCTTGCCATCATTTATAAATCACACGGAAGATAAACATCGCCAGCTGATTTCGTGGGTATCAGACCCCGCTAATAGCACTGCTTGTAGCTATGAGTTGGGACATACCGAGAAACATTTCAAACAGATAAAGGAATACAACGATGATGAGGAAGATGATTCCCTCATTGAGTTTCGCAGTGAATCACAGTCGGCTGCCCTGCTTGCAGACGTGGAAGACGTTGAGGAACAGCACCAAGGGCAAATAAAATATGACACCCAGTGTCCTGCGCAACGGAGCTCTGTTTCTATTGATGTACACTCTGCATCTTTTGATTTAAAGAATATCAATTACACTCAACATCAGCTATCAAATTCATTTCAAATCGAATCAATTCGCTCCAAGGGCAATATCAGCGACACAGACGAGGAAACTGAAGTATCACCCAGGCACAAACCGCTGACTTTGGCACTGTCCCAGAATCACAATCAGCAGCTACAACCAAAGTCACCCAATAGCAGCCAGGTGGCGTTGCCGAATGCTACTGTACAGAACGGACTCATAGTGAAGCCCAACAAGGTTTACCTATACATTCAAATGCAACTGTGCCGCAAGGAGAGTTTGCGTGATTGGCTGCGAGACAATCGGACCGAAGCGCGTGCCTCGCACATCGCCCATATTTTTCACCAGATTGTAGACGCGGTAGACTACGTCCATCTTAAGGGTCTCATTCATCGGGATCTGAAGCCCAGTAACATATTCTTTTCGCAGGATGGACAGATCAAAATTGGTGACTTTGGGCTTGTTACCGATATGGCGGATATACCCAACATATTAAACGATTGTGGTGACCAATCTGGTTTACCCTCGTGCGCCCGCCATACACAATTGGTGGGTACACACCTATACATGTCACCAGAGCAGCTGCGAGGCCAAAACTATGACTACAAGGTGGACATATATTCGCTAGGCCTAATATTTTTCGAGCTACATGTTTATTTTTCCACTGAAATGGAGCGCATAAAGACACTTCGTGGTTTGAGAGATGGCCAGTATCCAGAGGCTTTTGTCAAACAAAATCCGGAGCAGTATGAGCTGTTGCAAAGGATGCTCTCCTCGCAGCCAGCGCAGCGACCGCAAACAAAGCAGTTGAAACAGCAGCTGCATGAAATTCTGAAACTCCCTGAACAACTGGTGAATGGGCAGAACGACCAGGCAGCAATTGCGGCGGCCACGCATCGGTTGAGTCGTAGTCGCACTTTCAGTAGCACCAGCGAACAGCATCAGTGATAGAGAATAGAGCCAGAGGAAGTTGGTGCACGTAGACCTAAAGTTAAAATAAGTCACATTTGTTTTAAGTTATGATTCTGTTGGACTAAAGTAACAGCAATTGTTAATCAGGGCACGTAGCCTACTATTTTTTGTGGTCTAACCCTGATAAGCCATCTTAATAGACAGCTAATTTTAAGTTATTCATTTTCTTCATGTATATTATAAGAGATATTTAAAATTAAATTTTAAATAAGGCAACTGCAAGGAGTCCGTTTTGATTAAAAGACTTAAAGTAAAAGAGATACATTTGTATGTAATGATATGTAACTGGGATATAAACTCTTAATAATTTGTAAACTTTTCCCAAAACTAATTTATTGGTTTATATCAAATGATTATTTGTACTTTTCACAAAATAGGATCTACTTATTGTTTGTTTAATAACAACTAAGTTAAATAAAAAAAACTATATATATACTTTGTGTTCGCTTCAGCTTTAATAATGTTATTTATTTATTGTCTTTAATGCAACCGACCTTGTCACACACTATAATTTTGAGTAAAAATATCCAAGTTTAATATTTCGGTTACGGTTGTTGTAATCCCTTTCCGAATGTTTAACGATTTTTAGATAATACTGAGGATCTAAAATTGTATAAGATGTTTCCATTTGCGATTGTAGTTTAAAAGTTATTTACACTTAAGTTTTTGTGTACTTGAAAGAAGTATATTTATATAACTTCCCATCACAAAATACCCAAAAAATTTTCAAAATACTTATATAACTTTATTCTATTATTATTATTTTATTTTAGTTTGCAGCTTTCCAAAAACGTTTTCTACATTTCTAACGGATTAGTCGTTATATACTTGCGGGTTAACGCATATTGCAAAAACACAATACATACACATGGCATAATATAAGCACATATATAAGTACTAGTACTATAATAATTATTAGTTTGAGGCTTCTTCTTCATTGCTTAATAGTTATTTGCGGTGTTTTTTTCTGTTTGTGTGGTTAGCTCTTTTGAATTAACAGTGTTATATATTAATTTTAACTATATTATTTATGCGATTTTCATTGCATTAAAATAAGAGATCATTAGTGTCCTACTTGTGGACATGTGTACTCGTATATAAGTGCCTTAACACTAATTGCTACCACTTCACTTAAACTTTTTTTGAACGCACTAAACAAACAAAACGCGATTGAATCATATTGCATTTGAGTCATTGATGTTTTATTTATATGTTAATTTGTAAGTACATAACTACAAGTATTTACGTTTTACTGTAGCAGGCAACGCGTTGCTTAAATTTAGTTCAACCGCAATTTTGTATTTTTGTATATATTAGTTGGTTTTTCATTGTGAATCGGTTTTAGCATATTTTATATTCAAAAATTAACAGCCATTTTGACGAATCCGTAATCTTTCGAAATTATGAAAGAAAACTAACTAAATACATGTACATTATTTATTATAAAGTACAGTACGTATATTTTATACAAATAGTTTGATGTCCGCGTAAACCATTTTTGTGTACATTAATGAGCAATTTATATAGATTTTCAGTTTGGCCGAAGGTAATTTTATGAATTTTGATATTTAATGAACACATTTCAACAAGTCAATGTATTTGGCTGCACATTTGTATAACTATTATACAATTTTCGGGTAATTTTACATATATATTTTTTATCAAAGCATCAATGCTACAGTTTAAGGTTTAAATATAATTTCAACTACTTTTTATTTTTAAACATTTGTGTCGCTTTAATTTAAACATTATTATTGCCTATGAATTTTACCCTTCGCTAAATTCAAAAATGTACGTGGCCACATCAATTGTGATGCAAATTCACATTATTGATAGGCTTCTTAATCTCGATTTTAATTGAGCACTGAACTTGAGGTGATTTCATTGACCGACCCGATTGGCAGTGCGCTCAATTGTCTTCAGCATAAATCACTATAAAGACTCACTAGTTTTGGTGTTTGTTCACAGTTCAAGTATATTGCTGTAAACATTGATTAAATTTAGTTATGTAATGTGTTTGCCTTTTATATATTGCAGTTACGAAAGTTTTGAAAGTTCTATGTACAAAGTCAGACTTGATTGCTTATCTTTCGAGTTTTGTTGAGGTAAAGAAAGAGTTCGGTATAGATCTACGTAGATTTGTTGTGAAAATAGTAATTGTTATTTTTAGGTCAGCAATTTTATTGTGGAAACTTAACAGTTACCTACCTAGTGAGCTAGGCAATATTTTTCTAGCCCGAAAAAATATACATATATTTGAAAATAAATATGAGTTCATCAAATGTGTATTTGCTCTTAAATTAACAATAAAGCAATTGTTTTCTTGTGCGCTTTATAAAATTGCAACGCTAATTTTAGAACTAATCGGTCTATTAAGAAATACTTTTTTTTTCGGGTTGCATTGGTTAAGGCTTGATGCTTTAATTATTTGTAGTATTTTGGCGCCAGTTGGCGTTAAATACAATGTAGCGCTAAAAATTAAAGATTAATTAAAAGAAATTGTTTTAAGGCAACAATTCTTGTTTTTTTTTCCTTTTCATTTAATTTAATAATACTTAATTTTATTGTGTCATTTTTTTAAATGAATACAATAAATATAAGGGCTGAGAAACTATTAAACTGTTTGCTATCGTGTTGAGGCTTTCGGCAGTATTTAATAAATTGCTGCAATAAAACAATTTCAATTGCATTAGCATTTCTTATAAATATTTAAATACGTATTTTTCTAAATTTAAAAGGGTGTATTATTTATTTATTTGGTAACCTTTAAAGGGATTCTTTTTACTTGACTTTAACAGACATATTTATCGTCTTGTGCCTAATAACTAATTCTTGAAATGATCACAACGTTAATGAAGTTTTATATATATATATATATGTGTGTATACACTATTTTGCCTATATATATCTAATGTATAAGTATACAATTTATATTGATGGATTTTTATTTTATCGCTCCTGTTGTGTTAACAATATTTATTCGTAAAATGTATTGTAAATTATGGTGGGATTAATTGCCTATTACGTACAAAAAATAATATAATATAATTCAAGCTTTCCATTAGCAGATTTTTAACAATTGTAACGTTTAGAATTTCTTGTTTTTGTAAATGTTCCTATAGTTTCCGACATACAACTTTGAGACTTAACATTGCAATTGTGAATGTATCAAAGGTTGCTAGCGATGCAGCTCAGAGTCACAATAAGCAAGGATGGAATAAATGTTGGATCAAATAAAGGAGCGAGCATAATGTTCAAATTATGGAAAAACAAAAGCAAGGACACAATGGCCAACAAGAATAAGGTGAGGCAAAGATAGAGGGCATGAGCTAACCTGCAAAGTGTGTCGGCAACAAAATATATTGTATATATAAATAAATACATATATAAGCGTATGCTAAAAGATGCATCAGTAAGCGCTTGAAAGGGGCCATTATTGTTGACGTAGTTAGCTCTCAGTTACTATGCTAAAGAGAATGCGGAATCATCGGCACGTCCCAGCTCAGCTGAAACACTCGCTTGGGTATTATTCTCTAGAATAAAATGCTTGTTTAAATAACTTATTCAGCATTTGCTAGAGTATTGTGCAGCGTCCTTTATTTCTAGTCGATTGTGAGTACTCAGTGCCAACAAGAACGCCGACAGTTGTGCCGCTGACGCCACCGCTTCTGCAGCCCATTAGCTCGCGAAAAACGTCGCCGATTTTATAGTTGTATCTGGAATCAGCAAATATGTACTTCATGGGCAATTCCTGAATTTACAAAGGTTCTTTTAAGAGCTACTCACTGTGCCGAACACTCTACATATCCACAACGCCAATGCTTACGCACCAGCGTAGAAATGTCCTTGAGCTCCTAAAAGGCATAACATTAAAGAGTTTTGAACGGCTAAAAGTATTTATATACTATTTAACAAAAGTATTTAAAAATTGATGAAAGCATTAAACAATACCAAGAGTTCGCACTTATTTTGAACTTCATCTATTTATAAACACAAATTAAAGATTAATTATATGTTTGATGGGCCTTCACATACCTGCGAGTTAGCCTGGGCTTCAGAAACATTGTCATATTTATTGCCCACCACAATTATGCTAAAATCACGATGACTGAAACTATCCAAGATTTGATCTCTAATGGAGCGGCAATACTGCGAACAATTCCCACAAATCTCTTAACTAGGCAGGAGTCAAAATTACTTGGTTGGCCTACCTGAAACGTTTCCAAATTGCCCATATCATAAACTAGAACATAGGCGTGCACCGTTCGCAGCCCCAGCGGATGTCCATTATTCCATTCAGCAAAGTTATCAGCCGGAAATCTCTTCTGGGAAGGTCACAAAACATGAAGAAACATTTGTATGTATTTTATTTGTCAGAGTTCATAACAAAAGTATTACAATACGTAGATAGTGACCTCTTATGTATACCATAAAAATAACAGTATAAACGTATAATAGTAAGTTGTGAAGTTCTTACTAATCCAGGTCAATTATCATGTGGAAGAATCGCGAAACACATTTGTATAAAACTTTTGGGTCTACCATCCGATCGATCCCAAACTCATTTTCACACTTCACGAAAAATATGCATACCCACAAACACATTTACATATATGCATACTACTATGCCTGCACATGAAATGCATATATATATATATATATATATATTTATATATATACATACATACAGTCATGCATACACATACAAATATTTATTCATTCATACAAAAATAAAGCCTTTTCGATTTTCGTTACAATTTCTTAATAAAACTTGAAATTGTGTCTATTTATTTTATGATACTTATTACTTCATTTGAATACTCAGCCAATGTCATTGATATTTTAGCTTTTTCTTCTTCTTCTGCCTGTTGAGTAATGTTCCTGTCGGTGTTTAGGCTAATATTGGCTCAACTAACGATTTGTGTCGGCAGCTTGTCTAACATATAAAAGAAAAGGGCACAAAAGCTACGAGCGACGTGTGCTTTCTATAAATATTTCTTGTGGAGTATACAATTGTCAATTTAGTGTGTGGTGGTATAAGGATGTGAAAAGAAAAATCTGTTGGAGAACAAAACGCTGTCTACACAGTTGGAAGCCATTAGAGTGGACTTTGAGTAATAACTGACCAGCATTGTAGTTGACAATGAAAAATGTACAATATTCCTAACGTTTATTCACGGGCCACCAGGTCTTTAGCTAGGGTACCTGACAGGAAACTATTTGGCCAACACAATGTGATAAGAAACAAAAAAAAAACAAAAAAAAAAAAAAAATTAAACAATCAACTAAAGAGAGAGGCTATCTTTGGTGGATTGAATATTTTTTACCCTTGCTGGCTCTGACATTCGCGCGGTCTGAAACATTAATACGGATCTAAAAATGCAGCATTAACCCAAGGGACTAGTTTGCATATAAAAAGGCATAGGGATATGGCAACACCGATTTTGCTGTTGACATTTATAAAGAATAATAATAATAAGAACGCTTATTATATACATTCTGTAACAGTCTGTTGGTATACGGTACACAAATAAGTTCACGCCAAGGTGGACATAATTGAATTGAAAGCCAAGGAAACTAGTGGTATGTTTCAGGCGTAAGTGGGGGTATGGTAGGAGGGATATGACCAATGTTCAATGTTTTTCATATTTTTTGGTAAGCTTCATTGAGAAATCGAGATGCTTGTTCTTTGGCATTTCTTGTATTTAATTGTAGTATATACTGGCGATATTAATTAGCATATTATACCCGTTACAAACATATACGTTTATCCATCATTATAAGTAAGTTATATTTTCTATATATAACACTGTTTGTCCTGATTGACTGACTGACTGATTGCACGATAAGACGTGTGGAAAAATCGCGAACAGCAGTTGTATGCAAGTTTTTTGCTTACCAACCGATCGGCTTCAAAATTCTGTTTCAAAGATCTTTGTGAGAATGTATTTGATAGGTTTTTAGGTGGCAAATGCGGGTCATAGGTTTAATAAAGGAAAGTTTGTTTCTCAGCTTCAAGATTCTCAACGCAAGGCTAACATGGGCGAAAACTGTTGGTTCTAACACTTGGTTCTTTATTCGATGCACTTTAAACATATTTTTAAATATACTTCGTGGAAAGGAAACATTTTTAGCATAAAACTTTGCACGGGCAAGGCCGGGCAATACCCGCTAGTTATTTATAAGGTAAGTGTACAGGTTGATATGTTGTTAAGCTTTGAATTTGCACTCACCTGGGGAGGAACATCCAGTACCATCAGCTCCCGTATGCAGGTATCGCACACCAGACAGTTTTTATAAATTTTGCGATGAGTTGTCGTCTGATGAGTCTTTGGGAAGTCATGGTAAAAAAATTGCTGTAAAGAAGTTGCATTCAGTAAATAAATGGGAAATAGTTAATATACGTGATTTGATACTCCGCTAATAATAGTATATGTACTCCGTGCTAGCTTCAAGTATATACAAAAATAACTTTAAAAATGCTTTAAACGCATATAAAAGCGTTCTAATGATTCTAATGCATTCTCATGTAAACATCTCATATGGAAGTAATTGAAGCTTTTAAAATACATTTAAGTATGTTCAGAAAAAGGTCATTCTGCAAGCGCGAGAACACTTTTTTGCGGTTCACCCTTGTCTAATTACAACTTTTAATTCACAAAGACATAAAATGCAGCGTAAATGCAGTGATGCATCGGTGAAGCGAAAATCAAATTAGCGCTGCTTCCACATGCATTCAAATGCCATTAGTAGAAAATGAGGCCGAATGGAGGACAATTCTATTAAGCGTTTAACCTCATGTTAAAACTTTAAAGTTTCATCGGTCGTCATTTTTCACATTACCCAAGCAAAGTAAATGTTGAATATTTATTTGTATACAAAATAAAATTATAAAAAATATATTTTATGAATTAACCAGGTTTCAACTAGCCTTAAATTTAACTTTAGTTTTAGTCACTACATATATGCATAACATTACAACAATATTATATGTGAAGATAACACTTACCTGTAATATGCTTGTTTTGCCGACGCCAGTAGCCCCCAAAAATGCTGCTTTAAGGGGGCCCTGCAGCCATGGCGGCTCTCCACCACCCTCCAGAGTGATACGCTATGCCGAAATGCACTTATTTTGTATATGTATCTCCATTTCAATTGAGATTTTTGTTGTATTCGCTGGAATGGTGGTTGCTGTTGTTGGTTTTTGTTGTGATTTTGTCGCTGATCCTTTTGTAGCTGCTCCTGTTGCTGCTGTCTTATTATTGGCTGCTGCTGTTTTCGCACTATCACCGACATAATCAACGCTTCGTATACTACCGATCAATAGCTTCTTAGAATTTGTTGGTGATATTGTACTACTCCACATTATATAATTATTGTAATTGCAAGTATGGTCGTTATTTCCCTTTAACGACGCCAGTTTGATTGATGCCTTATTTATTGTAAAGTTTAATTACCGATTCTATAGTTCGACGGATAGAGAATGCATAGCTTGAGTTGTTTTCCAAAACCTTTCCGAAAAATATATGTATTTATCGTTTATTAATTTAAATAAAAAAATTACAATTATAATTTTGTTCTATATGCGATAGTTTTGAGAAGTGAATAAATATACTTTAAATAAAAAATAAACAGTTTTAACATTTATTGTGATGATAAGAAAAACAAAAATATATATACATATATATATCATGATTTGGAACAGAGTGCAAGCTGTTTATACATAGAGAAGTGAATAATGCTATTAAATATAATTTTTGTTGTTTATGATTGTTTATAAAAAACTGAAACCTGCCTAGGTCAATTGGCAAAATATCCCCGCGCCGCAAAACTTCAAACTTTTTCAACTCTATAAGTTTTAATTGGTAGGAAAAAAATGACGTCTATTAAAATAGTTTATGAAAGTATACAAGGGCAAGCGCTTGTCCAATCAGCCACATATGAATATATAAGCAAAGCTGAAGTTTATGTAGATGCGGCTTATGTAGTTTTTATATTTTCTTGTTTGTAAATGTGCACATCTATGCATCATAGATACATATCTACATCTATAAGTTTAGCCGTGTTAGCGTGGACTACGTGTAGGTTAGAAATTAAAGGTGTTTTTTTCTTATTCTTACTGACATTTTGATTATTTTATCTTCGCACAACATGTACACACAGTATATCCTTGACTTTATGGTTTTATTGCATTGTATTACTTTTTTGTAATATTGACAGAATATATTCCCACACAAGTCATGCTAGTCATGCCTAGCGACACTTTAAATACATTTCTTTAACCTTCAGCGAACACCGATCCGAGCACGAGAGGATGGCACAAGTAAGATATCCAAATGAAAATCAATGTTGGCAACTTGGACATCAAAATCGATACCTACACGTTCAATGTCAGCAGCTACAGCCGCAGGTGAAACCCCATAAGCCATTGGGGTCCACTAAACGAAGTGGTCTACGGGACATTATTGTTGGTGGCAAGTATCGTCTGTTGAGTCCAATAGGCAGTGGATCCTTTGGGGAGCTATACCGTGCCTCTGGTCTTCAGTGCGGAGAGGAGGTGGCTGTAAAACTAGAAAGCAGTTCCGTCAAGTACCCACAGCTGCCGCGCGAAGCAAAAATATACAATATACTTCGAGGTGGCGTTGGCTTTCCGCATATTCGTTATTTCGGCACCGAGGGCATATATAATGTGCTGGTTCTAGATTTATTAGGTCCTACCTTAGAGGATCTGCTAAACTTTTGTGCGCGAAACTTTAGCTTAAAGACGACACTGATGCTGGCGGATCAAATACTGGCTCGTGTGGAGTACCTGCATATGAACTGTCTGTTGCATCGAGATATCAAGCCAGAAAACTTTCTAATGGGTTTAGGCAGTCAGCGAACTCGTGTTTTCATGATTGACTTTGGTTTGGCCAAAAAATACTATCGTCCCAGCACCCGTACACATATCAACTACTATGAGCGTCATGAGCTCATAGGTACAGCTCGATACGCCTCGGTACATGCCCATTATGCAGAGCAGGGACGTCGTGATGACTTGGAGTCCGTGGGCTATCTGCTGCTCTACTTTTTGCGTGGTCGCCTTCCTTGGCAGGGCATCAATGCCGCGACACGAATACAAAAGTACGAGAGAATTGCCGAGAGCAAGTCAACGCTGCCATTAAATATATTATGTTCGGGAGTACCCACCGAATTCTACTTGTATATGAAGTACTGTCGCAGCCTACACTTTACCGAGCAGCCGGACTACGTTTATTTGCGACAGTTATTTAAGGTGTTGTTCCGAAATCATTTTCTGCTCTATGACTATCTCTACGATTGGGTGGACATTAATTTGGAGATGGCGCATAATAAACGCATAATGCCACAGCAGCGTGGTAAAGATCGAAATCAAGAGGAGGATGTGGAAGAGGTGCAGAAATCGGATTCGCGTCGTCTTGTCAAAAAAAAACGCCACCACGAGCAAAAGCGACAGAAACAGTAATCGGAGCACCTGGTAGAACGATGCGTTATCCGTTAATTGACTGCACCATAACTATATTTGGCATGCATTTATCATTTTTATGTGTTTGTAAGAATGTTTATAGAGGTGTAAGTGTGGGAGTGTATATCCTTTGTTCTTCAAATCAATTCCCTATGGCATAATTGTTCCAACCACACTAAACCGTGAACCTTTTAGCTTATTAACGAGAGAGGGGCTAAGCCTTATCAAACAAAAAATCAATAGCTTTTGTATTCAAAACTAATTTAAACTGGTTCACTTTGATAAGGAATGGGCTATCTCTGGATTACAACTTGGTTTAATATAAGTTCAGTTTTAATATGCTATATATTTCGCTATGTTATAAAATATTAATAAAACAACTTCGATTTGACAGGGCCAATTTCATTCGATTGAAACGAATGAACAATCAGAAAAGTGACAAATAGCACAATGAAGAGTTCAGTATAGATAATCCGTATGCAAACGGGGGAACCATGAAGCACAATTATAATTGGCAAAGCATGTTGGCTAAAGGGTTAATTACAAGCGTTGACATATATGAGGAATGGAGGTCAGCCAAGGCAAGGCAATGGCAAAGTAGCATGCTTAGTCACGCTGCAATAATATGGAATGGAGCATACACTCTCCACACACAAATCCACATATGTACGTATGCAAGATACACTCATACACACAAATGGCGACTTAACTATTTTCAGCCCCGAAGCGATTTTACCGACCTCTCTTCATGTGGGTGAGTGCGTATTTATCTAAAAATAGCATCCTGGTAACACGACTGCCGCCCACACGCTTCGTTCCTATGTCTTTGTGCTTGCGCCTGGCTGAGCAGAGTCTTGGGAACCGAAACCAAATCCCTCAAATAGCACATATAAGATCCGCAAAATTGCCGCGTGCTGATGCATGCCTAATGGCAGCAGCTGAGCACATTCACTCACTACAGTGCGTTGGAGAATAACAATTTTGGGTCTCCATTTAATTTTGGTTTTCGATAAAGCATTTGAAATTAATTTTAAAAATGTATAATTTGTTAATAATTAAAGTAAGGGGACATGCTCAGGTCCATATTTTAAGAGCCAGTACAGCTAATAAGCTGGATGCAATTTATTTTTATATTGGTTAATTATATAAATATATGTATAAGTAAAATAGTATTTAAGTTTACTGGTAAACAACTGGTTGGCTGGTTGGTCAAGCAGCATCTAACTTTATTTTTAGTCAACCATTATAAGTCATCGAAGTCAGCCATTTATGAAGCTAACATATTTTGCATTGCATACTTTTCTGGGCATCTTTTACACAACGACAACAAGCACTACTGAGAGGGATGATCTGTGTTCATGGTTTTTGATTGGCTTGGCAATTGGCTTTCCAGCAGGTAATGCAAATAAGAAAAGCAGCGATAAGATTGAAATACCTATAAACGAGAGTCAATAGCCAGCAGCGGTCGCGCTGTACGTTATATGGGGCGTATAATTAATGTGTCAGAACAAAGCTTAAGGCTTTTAAATTCGCATAAATTGGGTATACGCCATGCTGCTAATGTCGCTAATGTTGACTTGGGCTTGAGTGTGAGCGTGGCTGCAGTGGGAATTGAGTTGCCAGCCTTTTTTTTTTTAGTTTGTCCCAAGAGATGACATTGTGCCGGTATGTTTACTCGCCGCTTTATATACCAGAAAAACCAAATGTATATATAAAGCAGCATCAGGCAGTGTGTAAGAAGCTTGGATTGTAACAGTCTAATAATATAATGATAGATAGAATCATTGGGAAAGAGAACTAATAATATTGATTAATTAATGAAAGTTTTAATAAGATATATATTTCAGATTCATACTTTCGCCACTCTATTCAATTATGTATTATTGGGTATATGCTAATTAAACAAATATTTGCCAGTCCTGTTAATACTTACATTTCAAGGGGCTTAAAATTCAAACTATTCAATGCCCTGCCAGTCAACACAATAAGCGTAAGGACGAGACAATGCTTGACTAACTTATTGAACGTTTTATCATAATTGCAAACCAAATACTGATATAAATATTATAATCCAGGAACAGAAGAAGGTAGTGTGGCATCTACTTCTGAAAGCTTCTTCTTTTCTTATTGTTGATTGCTTACACTGTCATGACGGAAGGGTTACTTGGGTTTCTGCTTAGCGATATGCCGATTGTTACCGATTTTTTAAATTAACATTTATTCTTGTCAGTTGTAAGTTTGTACAGGTTGTATTATTAATGTATTTCAAAGTCGATTGAATGAAATATTCAGATTGTTTAATTGATAAGTATTTCTAGGTATTGACGTGTCTCTAATTATATATGAGAATAAATTAAACATTTAAGAGTCTTGGTAAGTAGTTGCAATGAACAAGTATAAACGAGGCCTCAGATTTTTCTAAAGAAAAATAACGATGTAGAAAATGTCACAACTAAAAGTCAATAATTTCCAAGCAACTAGTGCGACGTCAGCCATAATAAAAGCAAAATTTGTAAAAATTGAATTATATACAAGGGATAATGGTAAGGGTGGACTATTGTTAAGCTATTCTTAATGGGAAATTCCAGCTACAAACATGTCGTCAGTGTTGGACGCTTAGAGGTCAGTGTATCATTTAGTTGTGTAAGAGCTGATAAAACTAAGTAAATGCATGGCCAAAATTGTGCATACGCACCGTATACAAAGTATTTCAGTGAAGTAAGACAGTAACAAGATGAATCTAATATGTTTCATCTTCTTACTGTCTTACTTCATTTTGATACTTTGTTTACGGGGCGTATGCACAATTTTGGCCATGCAAGTGCATATGCGGTTATAAATATTTTGAAAGTTTTGAACAACTACTTATAATCCTCACTTGTAAATTGCGTTGTCCTGATTTCGACATTTTCTTAATTATTTTTTGTGATTTTTTAAGATAAAAAAATATCAAATATCTGTTTAGTTCAATAACAGTTATATGGGAAAGTATCAATACTTTGCGTTGCATTCAGTAATTAATAAAAAACATAACCAACTTAGTCTACACAATAGGTATAAGTATGAATAGAAAAACAATTTTAAAAATTTGATCGACATTAACCAACCTTTTATGTTAATGCAATTGTAACTTGCATTTAAAGTTCCGCACATATGCAGATGCTCCTTTGGAACAAAACAGGTAATCCATCATAATTATGCATTTGATTGTTGTTGTTTTGTTGTCGTTTATTTAACGGAAATATTTTTGTGTTGTGTTCTTGTCTTGTCGGTATGTTGCTTATTGGGGATTATTGCTTCTTCTTCTGGTGGCGCTCTTTTTATTTTGACAACAGCAAAATATCCATGTTTGAATAACTGAAAACGTGACAACAACGCTGTTGTCACCTGGTAGGAAAGGTACGGTAATTGGCTAAAGGGTCAAAGCTATCATGCCTTGGTTTTGTTATTGTTGCTGTCACACGAGTATCTTTCAAAGGCGACCTTTTTGTTTGCGTTCTATAGGATTATACAATGTGCCGACATCCAAAAACCGCCGCGAATACGGGTGTGACAACAAGATGGTGTGTCTAAGCACCCATTTTGCTGTCGCCCAAAACAAAAAAAAAAAAAAAAATTTGGTAATAAATACATGTTTACTTCAAATAAAATTTCTATTTGTTTTTCTCTTCCGGCTTGGATTTCGATTTCTTTGCTGCGCATGCCGTGTCTGAGCAATCTTTAAGATGGCATACTGATTAGGGTAGTTTTTTCTGGTATTTAAACTCTTCACAGGGCCCAATCTATCTATTCTATATTGTAGTCCCAACATTAATTTAATGTGCTTTATGTATCGCAATAAAATCAAAAGCTATACATCAAGCATCAGGGACATTTGGGGGCATATCTTCAGTGCATATGCATTATATCGAAAGATTTTAGCCTGGGGTAACGTTTGCTATTATCATTGTTGTTGGTGTGTTTCACTAATGCTATTTTAATTGCTGCCGATGCGGGTGTTACGTCCCCGCTGTTACATGCACAGTCAAAGGGCACATAATCGTAATTTACGCGCGACCATAGGCGTCATTGAAACGAAGGAAGTTGATTTTGTAGCTGCTGATAATGATGATACCTTATGTAACTAACGCTGCATAAATCCGTGCACAAACACACCTATACAGGCTTCATTTCCACACATACACATACAGGCACACAAACACATACAGAAACAAATGCCTCTACTAGGCTTTCTGGGCTAATTTTATATTTATTTCTTTGATATGATATTGTGCGAGTATATTCATAATGGGAAATGATTTTTTGTATCAATATTTTTAGTAGCAAAACTTTTTATTTGTACTACAACTTTTTTCTTGCGCGCTTTCAACACTAGCCATGGGCAGCACCAGCGACAAGAACATGTTGGGGCCCTTACTTTGCCGTAGGACATTTGGTCTGATTTTGCTGGCAACGTATATATATATATATATATATATATATATACAGACATAGACATGAACAGAACACACTTACACATACGCACACGTTTTGCGAGTTCGGTTACTGAGGATAACAGGGCTGCGGCTGCGGATGCTGCTGACGGTTCATGTCGCGCCGATGGACCATTTTTGACTGGCTTCGAATCGAAGTGATTTTAAACACAGAGATCTTATAACAGTCACTGCTGCTCGTTCTTGTTGTTTTTGCTGCACCTCACTTCTCTTTGGGCAAATCAAGAAGAAGACATTGAGAGATTCTGATAAAGAGAGCAGGAATGCGAGAGTCTGACCCTTGTTGCATATGTTGTGTTTTATTTTGAGTTTTGCGTTACCCAGTTTAGTGTCTACGGAAGTTGCCAGATAGTTCACTATAGAGTTAGATTTTTATCATAGTTCATTGAATCAAATTTCGTAGCAAAATAGTTGCTTCTTAAGTAATTTGATAGTTTGCCTGTAACACCAGATTAAAAACGTTTTAAAAGAAGACTGAGGAAATTTGGAAACGCAATAGGCGCCTATTTAAAAAAAAAATAATAATTAAAATAATATCTATTTTAAATATAAGTCTATTTTACTAAGTTGTAAGTGGTTGTTGTACTGCGATTGCGCTAGACTTATATAACGTACAACCATCTGGCACCATTCATGTCTTCTAAATGTTCCCTTGTGCACTACTCTTATATCTTTCGCTCTGTCAATTCCTCACACACACGCACACACACACACTCTCTCTCTCTCTCTCTTTCTCTCTGCCTTCTCTACGGTGTTCCTATCTCTCCTCGTCAACATTGTCTCATTTTGCCGTTTGTTGACATGCGCACTAATCATCAGAACAACTTCGAAACTGAAACTGGCAACAGCAACCGTAACTATTCCCTACAATAGCCATAATCTACTTATTTAGGCAACCGCAGGCAAAACTCGTTTAGTTTGCGCGTTGACAATTTTGTGGCAGGCAAGAAACATACAATCACACACTTGTACCCATGTAAGCAGACGACAGACACAGAGACAATATGTATGCTACATATGCTGGGATACCAGACCAGGAGCATTTCTTCTTTAATATGGACAAGTGTTTGGTAAAAGCATTGACCTGCTTACACACCCACATAGCACACACACACACACATATACACAGCGTCGATTTATGCTGGGCAGAGCAGCAGCAACAACAACATCAATAACAAATGGCATATAAATCTAATGCTAAACTTTTGACACAGTCTCGGCGTGGAGCCATGAAGGTATTTCCTCCACATCCGTTCAGACTGTCAGACAGACAACAAAGTAAATGACAGGCACAAGTGTGCACACGCAACAACACAGCAAAAATGTATTATTATTTATTATTTTATTTTTTTCGTGTTGTGTTTTTAGAAATCTTTTTCAGCGCTGCGAAATAAGTAATGATAAGTTTACATTTTTTCAGCCATTTCTGTTGTTCGCATTGTTTTTTATCTCAAACCTACATTTCTTATAACAATGTCAACATTTTTTCGGAATCTCTAAAATATATGTATTTGCAATAGGTTGGTTATTGTTGTTGGTTTTCGTAAGACATTTGCTTGGGCCTTATCAATTTTTATCGTTACGCCAGCAGACAAATTAATGTGCTAGCATATAGTGCGCGTGTGGCGCCATAAATTGGCCGAATTGCTCTAGTAGATTCTGATATTGAATGCTAATTTTTCAAATGATATAAATAGTAAGGAAGAATACCTACAATTGTAACAGTTGTTGGTTTTATTTTATATATTATAATAAAAACAGTTATGTTGGTGGTAGACATACCAGTTTGATGCCGCCTCCTCCGCCAAAGCTATATCCACCGATTCCACCATAGTGGAATCTGTCTCCCACAATATTAAAGACACCTTCTCTTAAAGTTGCGGCCGTTTCCGACATCGCCTCCATCCGCCTATTCCAATATGAATAAATTATTAGGCGGAATTCATTTTTCGACACCTCTCAAATAAATTTGATTTTAGTCACGCCGAAGATCTAATACCCTTGCAGACCCAACCTTTTCATAGTTCATGCCGAGCTTGGACAAGATATCTTGATAAACAAAAAACGTTTTTAATCAAAAACCTAGTTTTCGACCGATCGTTTCTATGGCAGATATATGATATAGTAGTCTGATGTAAATAAGATTTTGCAAAAATTAAGGGAGCATAGTGAAATCTTTAAATGCCGTGCTTAATCAAAATATCTCGAATGACAAAAAAGTTTTCCATACAACAACTTAATTTTCCACCGGTCGATCCTATGACAGCTTTATGATATAGTGTACCGATCTTAATAGGATTTTGCCTATATATGGGGAGTATAGTAAAACTAATAAATGCCGAGTTTGGTCAAGATATCTTGAAAAACAAAATGTTTTTTCATACAACAACTTAATTTTCCACCGATCGTTCCTATGGCAGCTATATGATATAGTGGTCCGATCGAGCTGATTTGGACTTATGTGCTGCGTGCAGACAGAGGGACTTCTGCAAAGTTTCATTAAGATAGCTTTAAAACTGAGAGACTAGTTCGCATAGAAACAGTCAGACGGACAGACGAACCTGGCTATATCGACTCGGCTGTTGATGCTAATCAAGAATATATATACTTTATGGGGTCGGAGATGACTTCTTCCATGTGTTACACATTTCACGACAAAATTATAATACCCTCTGCAACGGTGTAATAAGTTTGAGGCCAATCGGATATTAAAAAATAAGTTCCATAAAGACGCCTTTATCAATTTTTCCATAATTTACGGTGGAATTTGCAAAAACCTCGTCTAAGTACTTAATATTTTAGCTTCGTTGCTGCAATAATTTTATAAGTGGAGATTAAATATAATACGAATAATAATAATATGAATAAATATTGCGTTCAAGTGCTGTCCCTAGGTACTGAAATATTTTAAATCAAATCGAACCAATATTTGTATAAATTCAGTCAGCGGAAGCAGGTTGTTGCATAAGGTAGCAATGTGTTTGTAAACAATCGATAGTCTTAAAATATGGATATCACAGATGGTCGGGCTAACAACAAATTAAGCCAATACCACGGTTTACAGTTGCACATTGGGAGGGGGGAGGGTTAAACTTTATAGTGTTCGATTTAATTGTGGGAATTCTACAGCCGGCGCACTATAAGTACATAATGTAGATAGGCCGTATATATTTTCATTAACATGCACGGACGGTCAAGCTGCCAGGGACGAAACAGAACGGGCCAATGATTTCAATTTACCTGAATAGCGTAGAGCAGACGTGTCCTTGCTTTATGTACTTGGCCCATGAAAAGGATCTTTTTAGTGGGCGTAGCGTGTGAATTTTGTTTTCAAAGTACACGTCCGTCTATGTAAAGAAATTAAATGTAATCGAGCTTTCATATAGGTTTTACCAATAAGTGGATGACAGCCGTGCTAATACGGTTATCCAGCAGAACTTTCAACGCTGTAAGATTTCTGTTTTCATTACCATCGAAGACTCCAAGGAGGCAAGTTGCGAGTCCATAAAAAAAATAATTGCAATTTTTCACATTAATTGGTAATTATTGAACGCGCCTTTAAGGAATTTTATTTTTTTTTTTTCAACAATTTATTTAAAATGCTTAAAATCAATTTTTCAATTTTAGTGCAAAATATTTCTTATAATATTAATTTAAATATTAATTTAAAATTTAAATCAGTCAAAAATTGGCATGTTGTTAAAAACAGCCCTTTTTACATTTGTTCAGTTTTAATATAACTTCTTTTCATTAAATGGATATAGGACATAAGACGAAATCTATTCTGAGAGCAGATGGCTACAACAATGCAGCCCAGCAAGTATACGGGCTTAGTTGCCGATTTAATGCCCAATATACGGGCTATGAGATATTCTGGACTGTTTATGCACAACTTTACTGGAGGCAGCACCTTTATGAAGAGGATTTACTCGTCAGTACATATGGTGGTGCTAGTAATGCAGATAGGATTTATCCTGGCTAATCTAGCGTTGAATGCGGACGAGGTTAATGAGTTGTGCGGAAACACGATAACCACGTTGTTTTTTACGCATTGCATTGTTAAGTTCGTCTATCTAGCTGTAAATCAAAAGAACTTTTACAGGTGAGCAGGCACACTACTTATTGGAAGGGGGCTTAAGTTTTTCTTTTATTTTGATCCTGATCCAGAACTTTAAACATTTGGAATCAGGCCAACACACATCCCCTGTTTGCCGAATCAGATGCTCGTTATCACTCGATAGCTTTGGCCAAAATGCGCAAGCTCTTCTTTCTGGTAATGCTAACAACGTTCGCCTCGGCCACGGCCTGGACAACGATTACGTTCTTTGGCGATAGTGTTAAGTTGGCGCTTGATAAGGAGACAAATTCGAGTATAACCGTCGAGATACCTAGGCTGCCAATTAAAGCTTTCTATCCGTGGGATGCCAGCCATGGCATGTTCTATATGATTAGCTTTGCACTTCAGGTTTATTATGTGCTTTTCTCAATGGTGCACTCTAATTTGTGCGATGTTATGTTTTGCTCCTGGTTAATTTTTGCCTGCGAACAATTACAGCATCTTAAAGGCATCATGAAACCATTAATGGAACTTTCCGCTTCACTGGACACATACAGACCCAACTCGGCGGCGCTGTTCAGATCACTGTCAGCGAACTCCAAGTCGGAGCTGATACACAACGAGGGTGTGTATTTGGCCTAAGTTAACTAATTGAATATTAAGCTCAAATTAAATTTCAGAGAAGGAACCAGTCACTGACTTGGACATGACAGGAATATACAGTACTAAAGCAGATTGGGGAGCACAGTTCAGAGCGCCATCCACGCTCCAGTCCTTCAACGCCGGCGCCAACGGCAACGGCAACATGGCCAATAATCCTAATGGACTCACCAAGAAACAGGAAATGATGGTTCGCAGTGCTATCAAGTATTGGGTGGAGCGTCACAAGCACGTCGTCCGGTGAGCTAAAACTCAAATACAGTTTGTGTTTAACACGAAAATTAAACAACAAGAAAGCTAGGGCACAATATGTGTGTGTGTGTGCATTCTCCGACCCCATAAAGTATATATATATGAACAGTATCAACAGTCGACTCGATATAGCCATGTCCGTCTGTCTTTAAGAAAATAAAATTGTATTCAAAACTTTTTTGTTTTTCAAGATATCTTGACCAACCTCGCCATTTATATCATGTTACCGGCATTTATGTAAAATCTTATATACATCGGAATACTATATCAAATAGCTTCCATACGAGCGA